TCGAGGAAGGAAAGTCGTCGAGGCAACGTACAAGCCTTACCTGGCCTGTGCGTCGATGGCAGGAGAGGGGAGCAAGTGTCACTTTGGCAGCCCGCCGCAGCCGCCGCAGCGAGCCTCTCAGTCTCGGTCTCGCAGAGATCGACGAGGAGCGCGGCTCGGGCGGCCTGCTCCCACGCTCCACATGAGGCCCGAGCGGCAGCACGCTTGCCTTGCGCGGCGCCGCGTCCGACGTCGAGAGAGTCGCGAGTCTTAGGGGCCTCTCTTTTTGCTTCTCTTCCTCCATCGTACCCAACAGCACCCACTCAGTCTCTCTTGACTTCTCTCGAGCCGCGCGCCAGCCCCATGCGTGCCAGCAGCGCCATGTTGGGCCTCTCGGCGCGCACATCTGCGCCCGTGCGCCTCGTGCTGCTCGACGCCTTTGGCACGCTGCTGCGCCCTCGCATCGCGCCGCATCTGCAGTATGTGCGTTTCGTTTCGCTTCATTTCGTTTCGTTTGCTGCTACGTGTGGTGGCACAGAGAGAGAGGTTGCGCCAGTGTGGCTTGCGCGCAAAGCTGATCAGCATTCTCTCTTACCTCTCCGCCCCCCGCCCCCCCCTCCCCGCGGGCGCGTGCACATGGTCAGGGAGAGGAAGCGCACAAGCTGGGCATCGAGTACGATGCCGACAAGCTCGCGCCGGCCTTCAAGCAGGGTGAGGGGCGCCCCCAAGCGTGGGCGTGCCGCGCCGCACTTCGCCACTTGGATGCTGACGGGCACACACACACACACACAAGCGTTCAAGCACCTCGCGGCAGCGCATCCCAGCTATGCGCCGCTCGGGCCCGACGCCTGGTGGACGCGCCTGATCGTGCGTACGTTTGCCGAGTGTGCGCCCTCTGCGTCGTCTTCACAAGTCACAGGGGAACTGGCGCCGCGCTTGCTGCGGCGCTTCGCCTCCAAGGAGGCCTACGAGCTCTTTCCCGAGACGCTCGAGGCGCTGCAGGCCTTGCGCGCCCTGCCTCCTGCGCGCGCGCCCGACGTGGTGCTGGCGAGCAATGGCGACGCGCGCATCGTCGCGGCGCTGCGGCAACTGCTGGCGGCGCATTCGGCGGCGCATCTGCTCGAGCTGCGGCCGGGCCTGCGTCTCAGTCCTCGTCTGACGTGGGACTTACGCGCCAGCAAGCCCGAGCGGGCCTTTTTCCGCCGTGTGCTGGCGCGCGTCGGCGCCGCATCCGAGGAGCAAGCAGAGGGAGAGGGAGAGAGATGGGATGAAATGGCACGCCAGACGCTCGTGGTGGGCGACATGCAAGCAGAGGACTACGACGGAGCAAGGGCGGCGGGCACGCAGGTGCTGCTGCTCGACCGCAACGGCACACAGCGCGACGTCGAAAGCGACGTGCGCATCGAGAGCCTCAACGAGGTGGCATTGTATGTACAGCAGGCGAATGCACATCGATGACCCAGAATGCAACACAAGGCAAGAAACGAAAGAGTGTAGAGCGCGAGAAGGCAGCAAATTCTAGGCCTGGCCCTCCTTGGTGCTCTGCGTCTCCGCCATGGCATTGTAGCCCGGATCGCGCCGTGCGCGGCGCATCTCCTCGCGCGCAGAGCTGAAGATGGTGCCGAGGCCTGGGGGGGCAGAAGGAGGGGAATGAGCTTCGAAGCGCAGTGCAAAATAGTCTCGCCCACATCTTCACTCACAGGCGCCAATGGCGATGATGGAGACGATGCAGAGAGCCCAGAAGGGCCACGGCACCACGACGTTGTCGCCCCACACGCGCCGCAGGTACATGTCGTATCTCTGTGTTCTGCAGGGGTCAGCGTTGGAGGCTCGAGAGTTCCTGGGAGCGGGATGCAGGGGGAGACGCACCGCGGTGGCCACGTCGTTGTTCGAGTAGCTGTTCGCCATGCGTGCGAAGGCGACGGCCTTGCCGACTCCGCCTGCGGTGACGACGGCGTTTGCGCCTGTCCAGAAGACTGGCAGAAGGAGGAGGAGGGAGGAGTCGCGTGGTCAGCCTTGCTTCTGCCTCAGGGCCCGGGGGAGGGGGGTTGGCAACGAGGCAGCGGGGCGGGCCGAACGACGGACGCACACAACATGATGCTGCTCCACACGACGCGGCCGCGTGGCGAGAAGTGGTGTGCCAGGTCGACGCATGCGAGGATGAGGGATGCGGCGGCGCATGCGAGGACAAGACTGACGCCCGTGATGAGCACGATGGTGAACTCGTACAGCGAGCCGGAAGCTTCGCTCCAGCCAAAGCCAAACGCCAGCGTGAAGGCGGCGCACACGGCGGCCAGCAGCGCACACACCAGGTGCGCCACGGCCCAGCCTGGGCGCTCGGTAGGGCCGTGTGAGCCAGTCATGACTGTTGGATGCGGGTGTGTCGAGGTGAGTGCGAGGTGTGGATTGGTGAGGAGGGCCTCGTCGCTCCACCCACGGCCGTGTGGGTGCGCTTAAGAGGCTCGCGGGCGCCGTCGGCGGCCGTGGCCACAGCCAAGCGAGCCATGCTTGGCGTTGCCTCGCCCGCGGGCTTCTTGGCCCAGCCCACATGGGGCACAGCACCGCATGGCCCATCAAGACTCTGACTGCGCCCTGACGCTGCCTCAGCTCGGCGCTAGGGAAAGGGGCGACTGACTGCGGCTGTGCGGCATGCGGGCACGGGCGATTCTGGCGCCTCGCTCACGGCGCTCGGATGCGCTGCCGAAGCGAGCCACGAGGTCGAGACGCCGCTGCTGCGCCCTGCACCTGGTGGAGGAGTCATGTGCTGCGCGCCCCCGCGCGGCCGCGCCCTCGGTCGCGCCTTCTTGGCGCGGCGCACGACGTCACCGCCCTGCGCGACCGCATGGTCCCCGATGCCGGCGCTCGGATTTCCGAGTGCTGGCTTTCTCCGCTGCCGCCACGCACGCCCCGCGCCTGCGACGCGCGACTGCGGCCTTGCTTGTGGGAATTGCGATCAGGGCTACTCGCGCCTCACATCGCAGAGTCCGTGCGACGCCACGGCTTCGTTGCCGTCGCTCGCCGGCCCCTGTCGCGCAGCCCCTATAGAGCGATCTCGCGGTCCGTGCCGACGCCGCTGCGGGACGCACGCGCCGACGCCTCATTGTCGCCGACACTGCGCCCTTTCCTGCGACGCCTCGCATCGCCGCCACTTGTCTCCTCACCGCCGCCTCGTCTCGCAGACCGTTCTTGTTCCAACAATCTTCGACTCGCCGCTCCGCTCGCCTCCGATCCCCGCGTCTCGTCATCTGGAAGAGGTAGGGGCAATTGCGCTGCTCACGCTCGTCACAGCCGGCGCCACCGCCTTTGCACACGCCGCTGCGCGACGCCCAGCAACCGATCACCGCCTTCGTCGCCGCCGCGCATGGTTCATCCCGCGTCGGCTCCTCAACCTCTTCCTTTCACATCACCCCCTCCATCACGGCGGGTGTCGCAGCGATGATTGCCGAACCTACCCTGATGCTGCGAGCACAGGCAGGACGTAGGCATCGCTCGCACCTAGCGCTCGCGTGCGCCCCTCAACGCCGCCGGCTCATCACCCCCTGAGCCGGCGGCCGCCCCTCCTCGCCGTCCGATTTCGACGGCTCCTCTCTCAACACTCAGGCTGCGCCTAGTGTCTCTCCTCGCGCCATGCGCAACGCACCGCGCCTGTCTCGCTCCTCGACAGGCGCGCTCCCCTCTTATACTCACGCGAGCCAGCCCCCGAGCGCACACGTCACCCAATTACTCCCCTCTGTCTTTACATTGCCTCTCACAGCAATTGACTCGTGCGCGCTCTCTCCAGAGTCTGCCCTTGTTCGCTGAGCCGCCGTCACCAGCCCCGGTGAGGCCTCTCCGCCCCCTTCGCGAGCCGCCGTCACCAGCCCCGGTGAGGCCTCTCGCCTATCGAGACGCGTCGCCAGCACCGACGTCGCATCTCAATCGAGTCGCTTCGCCAGCCCCGGCGTAGCTCCTCGGACCCGAGCCGCCGCAGTCTTCATCGACTGGGCCTCTCGGCGCGTCGCGTCTACTTGTAGACGTCACGCTCGGCTCCCGCTGCCCGTCACACGGCTGCAAAGGTGTAGCGCTGCACAACAGCGTTGCCTCGATCGACACCGGCACTCTCACCCGTGCCAGTGTATCGTCTTTGTCTGCGGATTCGTCACCGCAGCACCAAGCTTCCGCTCTCGGTCTCCGACCACCGCTCCGAGTGCGCTCCCACGCCTCTCCCGGCCGGTAGCGCTACTCCGCGGCTTAGAGCTTGGCGCTCCTCGCCGGTCGAGGTAGCCCCAAACTCAACTCATCTCGGGTGTGCATCTTGCTGAAGACGTGCACAATCACGCCTCGGGCAGCGCGAGCCGGCAGCGGGCAGAAGAGAGAAGGGAGACTGGCCCATGGAATCGGGGCGCCCTCGTGCCAGCGGAGGGCAGAAAGCACCCAGAGCCCGAGTGGCATTGGCATAGCCGCATGACAGAGATATGGTGATGTGAAGACACAAGCAGATCGGCGGAAGATGCTCACCAGCAGATGCCTCAGGCCGCTCTTGCAGCAGCGGCTGTGGGGCCTAATTAATGTGTTGCATGGATGGCCACGTATTGACGGCGGCGGCGGCGGCGACGCGCAGGAGCGAGACGCGTGGGAAAAACCCGGCCGGTTTTGAGTCCTCGGGTTTTCGGCGAAAGAAAAACCAGCACGACCGGGTTTGCTTTCCTCTGACCAGACGCTCTGCTCTGGTTGTGAGACGGGTTCGCACGAACAATCTGGATCTCATCCAGATCCACAGCCACGTGAATTTCACAACTGAAGATGAGAGGCTGGCTCGCAAGAACGCAAACGCGGAACATTGGGCGGCGCGGCCTCCAAGGCGCGGTGCGCTCGCGTCGCGTCATAAATGAGCAGGCCGTCAGGGGTTAATGGCCACGCCTCGAGATCGCTCGAACATCCAAGCCCGCGACCCGTGGCATGTGCAGGTGTGAGCCCGCGCTGGCATCGTCTCGACCACATCGACCTTGCGCCATGCCCGTCTGGCGAGAGCTCGAGCAAGACTGCATTGTCCACTGGTACCACCACGGCAAGTCGGGCCTGGGGGCCTTTTGATCGCTCGCGTGCCCGCAGCGGCTCCTGCTCGTCCTCGCTTGGCGACTCGCGGGACTGAGGCTCTTGCGGTGCTGAGGCGCGCTTCGACACCTTTGACAGGCGCTTGCGCGGGCTCGAGCGTCCGCGGGCTCGGCTTCAGCGTCGGCCGGCGTCTGCCCCGCATCGCCGGCCTTGTCGGCCGACAGCTCTTGTGCGCTTTCCTCTGTATCGGGCACAAAGGATGCGGTCGACGCACGCAAGCGCCTTGCCTATCTTCCCGCCTCCATCTCATGCTCCCTCTCTCGTTGTCTGCGTGCCGTCGTCCATGCCCGATCGACTGATGCGCGGGCTGCGACGCAGCTGCGGCGAGCTATCGCCGCTCGAGCGACCTCGGCCGCGGCCGTCGGTGCGCGAGATGCGCAGCGGCGGCTGTTCGTCGTGAGGCAGCGTGGAAGGTCCTCTCTTGGGCGAACTGCGAGACGGCGGCAAGTTGGCGTTGTCGCTGAGTTGCAGGGCTGCCAGAACTTTTGCAGGCTATGCAGCACGAGTCAGCGGTGCACCTGATCGCAACACACGCAACTCACACTGCGCAGACCGTCGTCACCAGACGCGGCAGTCACGTCGGAGCGCTTGCTCTGGTTGCTGTCGTGCGAGGTGTCGCCCGCTGTGCCGCTGCTCTCGTAGTCGCTTCCCGAGACACGAGCTCGGCGGAGACGCACAATCAACATCTTCTGCAAGCGTGTCAGCCTGCGCCTGCACGCTCTGGCTGCCTTGGCCTGCGGTCTCACCTTTTCGGGGCTGCCATCGGCGGCGTTCATGTCCGTGAGACCCAAGCTCGATCCCTGCGAGTAGGAGAGATGAGCGGCGCCGCAGTGCTTGTCGAGCGAGACACGCACCATTTCGTGAGCGCCGCTTTTCTCGTGCTCAGAAGCGTTGCGATCGGCACTGGCCTGGTCGTCCGGCAGGCTGGGCGACTCTGCATCGCTCTCCATGGACTCGTCGTCGGTGAGGAGGTCATCTGCTTCTAGCACCATGTCTGCGCGCCGGGTGTCAGCCGCCGTACTCTGCTTCGTGCTTGCGCGTCTTTCACCGTCGTCCTCGCGCCCACCGGCTGCGTCATCCAGCAGCGCGAGTCCTGGAGGCAGGTCGACTCGATTCCTCGACTTCTGCCAAGCCTCGCTCCCCATGGCCGATGCGACTTGAGTCCACAGTATCGTCGGACGGCCCAGCTGCGAGATGTCGAGGAGCAGGTCAAAGGCATCGAAATGCGCAGAAGAGGCAAGAATTGCGCGCGGTGCGAGAGTTGCGCACGCGGTGACAGGCAAGTACAGCGTGCCCCGGATCAGCTCGTCGGGTCGCGGCGAGGACTCGGCGCCCACATGACGCATGTCGCCTAAGAAGCACACGAGGAGAGGCGCACTTTCCAGCTCGGCGACAATCGGGCTGAGGATCGCGTTGTCGTACCAGAAGTAATTGGTGCCCGGTTCCGGGTGGTCCGGACACGTGCGCTGCAGCGCGTGGTGAACACCGCCGGCCTGCCGTTCTGGAGTGAAGCAGAGCGCAAAACGCTCTGGCTCGGCTCGAAGTGCGGAGTGCAGACGGCGTCGATATGCGCGTCCGTCGTCGAGCTGAATGCCGCCGGAGCTCACGCGCGAGACAGCAGCATAGCCGCAGTATCCGTCTGGCGGCGCCCTGATGACTGCGCCACCCAGCGTGCTCCAGGGCAGACAACAGCCGTCGGCCACGGTCTCGACGCCGCGATCTTGCTTGACTCTCGCCGCACGAGCGTTGCGCTCGCAGAGCGTGGTGTCGGCAAGGAGCCGAACCCCCAGCTCGTACTCATCGAAACAGTCGCACGGATGATAGCCGAATTCGAGCGATGACATGCGCCGCCGGTGGTCGCGCTTGCTGACAAACGGCTCGCCGGGCGACACGTCCGGGACGCTGTGGCCGACGTCTGCGCCCGCCTGCGGCTTGGCAGGTGTTGCTGGGCGGCGGTCCGACTTCGAGCGGTCCACCTGGTCTTGGACTTGGGGTTTCGACGTGTCAGGTGACGCTTGGGCTGCGTGTGTGCTCTGCTTGCCCTTGCGCGCCGAGCGCGAGACGGCGCGTCGAGAACCGTTCGTGGGCGGCGAGGCAAAGCGCCGCTTCGGGCGCGACGACACGGCCTTGGGCGGCGGCGGCGGCAGCGGCGAGGCTGGCGCATCATCGTTGGCGTCCTCCTGCGCGGCAACGTCTCGTTTCTGCCGTAGAATGACAATTTGCTTGCGCCTCGTGGCGACGACTGCGGCGCATTCGTGCTCAAAGTCGACAAGCTCCCTCTCCATCTGTGCAACGGCGTGAGCAGCAAGGCAGTGTCGCACTGACAGCCAACTCACCGTCACCCAGATCTTCTCGTTGTGCTCCCGCGTGCGGCGCTCCGCATTGGCCAGAACGCGTGCGCGACCGTGTGTGACCAGCAGCTCCCGCACGCGCTTGTCCTTGTTGAGGCTCGTGATCGCTGCGAGCGCCTCACGCAGCTGAGCCTGGTCGGCCGGCGTGGGCCAAGTCGTACTGGCCGGATTGTCCTTGAGCGCTTTCTTGGCCTCCTCGTAGCTCGACTCAAAGCCAGGCGCCTCGAGGCGCCACGCCAGCGTCGCCTCCTCGCGCAGCGCCTCCTCGGCCGCCGGCGTGAGCGAGCCGCCGAGCAGCTCTTGCACGCGCAGGAACATGACCTCGACCGTCTCCGACGTCTCGCCCTCGTCGACGGGAATCTCCTCGGCCTCGTCCTCGTCGCTGTCCTCGGCGTCCGAAGCCTCGTCGCCGTTGAGCGCACAATACAGCCGGTGCACGTTGTTGGCGGAGCGGCGCGCGCGTGCGTCTTCGACCGGCGTGAGCTTCTCGCCCGCGACGCTCTTCTTGATGCCCTTGAAGAGCTTTGCAGGGTCCGTGCGAGCATAGGCCGGCACGTGCTCCTCCACGGCGGCGTGCACACTGGCAAACGACGGCACGGCGCGCAGACCGGCGAAGAGACCGTGCAGCAGAAGCTGGAAGAAGGGGCCGTCGGGGCTGCGAGCGTTCTCGACTCCCTTCGTGCCCCTGCCAAGCGCCTTTCTCGCGGCCTCGAGCAGCTCGCGGTCGAAGCCGAGCCCTCCCTTGAGCTGCGCGTCGGGAAAGATAAAGACAGCAACGCGCTCGGACAGCGTGGAGTTGCGAGTGAGCACCGGTGCCTTCTTGAGCTTGAGAGCGGCCTCGATGCCCTGGCACATCTGCTCCACAAGCTCGCTTGGCTCCGTCTCGTCGCCGGCGTCGAGCGGAGCATACGGCTTGCGCCAATCCGGCGCGGCGTCCTCCTCGAACACGTCGTCGGGCGCCCCACGCGCCTTCTTGTCGATCTCCTGCACGATCTTGCCCCACACGACCACGACCGTCCAGGGCGCGCTGCTGGGCGTGTCGATGGCGCTGGGCACCGCCTCGTCAAGGACGACGTCCGACCCTTTGCCCGAGAACTTGTGCTCCTCGCCGACGACGGCGCCCTTGGCCGCGCTGGCCTCGGCGACGACCGCCGGGCCGAGCATCTGCGCGAACAGCAGGCCCGCTGCAGCACAGTAGAGCGCGCTGCGATCGGTGGCAGGGCGCTGCCCGCGCAGGTTGGCCGCCAAGGCCTCTGCGGCTTCGAACAGCGAGGCGAAGCGGCTTGGCGGCGCGTCCTCGGCAGCCTCGTCCGCGTCGCGGATGGCCTGGCGGACGAAGCTTGTGAGGACAGCAGGCTCCAGCAGCTCGATGACCAGGCACATGTCCTTCACAAGAGTCTGTGCCTCGTCCTTGGTGGCGTAGCGCGCCGAGAGCGCAGGACAGTCGTCGGTGCGGCTCGCAAGCTCGGCCACGGCGCGCATGAAGGCCTCGGGGCGCAGGCCGTGCAGCGGCAGGGTCGGCACGGCCTTGCGCAGCGAGTTGAGAATGCGGAGAACGTTGTTGTGGTTGAGCGAGGTGTGCGAGCTGGGGTCGGCCCAGATCAGGGCGAGGTGGCGATCGGTCGCGCCTGCGGGCACCTCGCTGCCTGGAGCGGGCTCAGCGGGCTCGGCGACGGAGAGCTCGGCCAGGCGGTTGAGCTGCGGCAGGAAGTCGTGCGTGCGAGTGGCAACAAAGTCGGTCATGCTGGAGGGAGCAGTGGATGGTGGAGTGACGGCGCCAGCAGCACACTCGAGGCCACGGCAAGCAGAGGGAGCAAGGGCGCTCACGCGACGCGTCCCGAAAGGGTAACCCCCTGTTGCGCCCCCCTCTGCGCCGTGGGCGCATCAGGGGCTCTGCGCACGTGCGAGGATGCTGCTGCGGCCCAGCACAGCCGCACAAGGCGGCGACAAGCCGTGGCAGCGTCCCCTTGCGAACGAGTCGGTGCAGTGTGGGACAAATGCGCATTGCGCCCATCGCCCAGGCCCCCCACGCACTCAAAAGCGGGCCTGCGCAGCGTGCTTCCTTCGTTCTCCACCACACTTCACTCGCCCACACTCGCCTCGCTACACTCACCTTCACACTCATCTTGCCCGCCTCATGGGCTTCACCACGGGCGGGGCCGGCGGCGGCGGGCACACTGCACTCGCGCCTGCCCTCATCGGCGGCGAGTCCGTCCGCGCCCGCAAGCTCGTCCACGTCCATCGCGGCGAGCGCGCCGCTCTCGAGCACGCCATTGCCACCGGCGGCCCCCTGCGCTTCCTCCTCGTCGACACCACGCCCATCGAGTACGCCATCACAGCGCGCATGGCCGACGCGGCCGTGCCCGTGCCGCAGACCGCTGCTGCTCTCCGCTCCGCCGTGCTCGCTGCTCTGCGCGCCGAGCTGCTGCGCCTCGGCGCCCTCGGGCTTGCTGAGCGCTCCATCTTCTGCTGGGACGGGCCCAACGTTGCACTCATCAAGAAGGACACAACGAGCAAGCGCATGCAGGCCATGGCCACCGGCCTCCTTGCGTGGCAGCGCGAGGCAGCCGAGGCCGCACCGCGCGAAGCCCAGCTGCGCCAGCACGCAACGCACGCGGCCATGGCCATGCTCTCCGACCTCTACACGCCCGAGGGCGTTGCTGCGCTGGTCGCCGACCTGCCTGGCCACGTCACGGCTGACGAGGATGCCGTCGCCGGCAGCGCTGCGCCCATCGTGCACGTTGTCGCCCACAACGAGGCCGACTTGCTCATCGCCCGCCTGTCGCGCTCGCTGGGCCACGGCGAGTCCTCGGCCGTCCTCTCCATCGACAGCGACATGCTCGTGCACGCCCTCGACGCGTACCGCTGGGTCGTGCGTGCCGTGCCGTTGGAGGAGCACGACGTGCCTGGTGCGCCGCCGCCCGAGTTTCACTGGCAGCACCTCTTCGACCGCAACCGCCTCGCGCACGCCCTCAACACCACATGGTCTGCTGCCTTCGGCCCGCACCTCGACGAGGCCCGCGTCCTTGCCTTTGTCGCGCTGTGCAGGACCGACTACGGCAACGGGCTGCACCGCATCGGCCCCAAGCAGCTCATCAACCAGCGCCAGCTCGCCAATGCGTTGCTGCACGTCGGAGCACGCCCGCTGCTGGCCGCACGGGTCCACGCCATCATCGAGCGCGTTGGCCACAACCACACCGCCGCCGAGGTGGCGGCTGTGCAACGCATCGCCGACGTCTACCTCCTCGCCGAGCACGGGGCGACCGAGACACGCGCCAAGTGCCGCAACGAGGCCACCCGCGCCGCAGCACAGGCGCGGCTCGGTTTCCGCGACGGCAGCCGACTGGCGCACTGGGAAGAGCACCCACAGGAGCATCGGCCTGTGGTGCCGCCACTGCGCGCACCCGACCACGGCAACGTCGGCGGCAAGGCGCTTGGTTTCAAGCAGCAAGTGTCGCGCGCCGTGCTGTCGCACAAGCCCGACATTCTCGTGCCGCGCACGCAGGGCAATGTCCCGACGACTCACCTCACGCCCAAGCGCCCGGCACCCGACCGCGTGTTCGACAAGAGCAAGCAGGAGGCGGCCAAGTCGAAGAAGCCCGCGCGCGGCAGCACGGCCGTCAAGCTCCTGCGCAAGACGCCCAAGGTCTACGACGGAGGTGCAAGCACGACGAAGATCAAGGACAGCACAGTTGACAAGGAGACGATGACCAAGGTGCGTGCGGCAGTGGGGCTTGCATTGATCCTGGCTGACGTGCCGCAGCACTTTGGGCTTGCGACGCACTGCACAAGCATGGCGGCACTGGGCAACAGTGGCGTCAGCGAGGCCCATCTCCGGGCCGTTCCGGGCTTCGCTGCTCTCGTCTCAACGGAGGCATACTCGAACCAGCACTGTATCGTCGTGTGGCGCGTGGCACTCGGCGAGATGCTCAAGTTGCAGCCCGGCTGGCTCACCTGCAGCGACGCCACTGCAGTCGATCGCCTCAGGCACCTCTTCCTCGTGTGCCGCAGCGGCTGTTCGAGCAAGTCTTTCCTGAACAAGGGCATGGCAGCGCCCAACGGCTACACCAACGACGAGTTTGCAGCCGTGCGCTCGTCTGGCGGCTGGAGCGACGAGATGGTGCAGGCTCGCCGCGCCGTGCAGCAGGCCGGCTATGTCCTGCCCGACTTTGCAATGCTTGACAAGGCAACACCGAACGTCCTTGCGGCACACATCTTCGGCGAGTGGTCGCGCCTCGCCGAGCGGGTGCGCGGCGTCGTCAGCAGCGCCATCCATCTGCGCTACGGGCACAACAAGCGCGGGCGGACGCTAACCAAGCGGCTCTGGTCGTGCGAGCTGCCTGATCGACACGGCCGTGCGCAACACGGCGTCGCACGCGACTCAGAGCTGCAGGCGCTGCTGTCGCAGCGTGACGCACACGTCGTGGCTGCCCGCCGCACGCTCGAGGACAGCGCCGAGGGCGGCTGGGACCTCACGCTGGACCAAATCATGCGCAGCGCGCGCGGCACGGTGACGCTGCACCTGCTCCAGGGCTGGGCCGAGGCGCTGAGCGGGAAGGCGCTGCTGAGCGGCACTGCCGCGCCTTCATTCGTCGGCATATTCACGCGCTCGAGCCTCGGCCACTTCTTCCGCTTTGGCGCCAAGCGCCTGGCCGCCTTCGCCTCATGGATCGACACCAACAGCACGCTGCTGCGCGCAGCCGCCGACTCCGAGCGCCTCGCCCGCTGCGGCGTCGTGCGCCACCCGGGCCGCTGGGCGCTGCGTCCGGACCTGCCTTCCATCTGCGCCGAGATGCAGTTCCGCGTGCGCCGCCAGCTGGGCCTGAGTCCGGAGCTCACCAAGGACTGCACGAGCTTCGACAAGGCCGCCATGGACTCGACGCTCCACTTTCTTGAGACTGCTCTCGACATGTCGGCGCGACAGGCGTGGGGCGCCATGGGCATGGGCGTCGCATGGGTCCCGACGGGCACGGTGACGAGCGACGGCGCCAGCATGCGGTGGTACTACTGCAACCTCACTCGACCGGTGCGCTTCCGCATGCTCGACGCCAATGCCCCGCCCGAAGAGGACAAGTACCGCGTCGGCGCACCGGTGCTCAGCGAGTGCGCGGCGCGCTTGGCGCCACACCAATCAAGCATGGTGTGGCGACGCCTGCAGCGGCACGAGCGCTTCTGCGGGGTGCAGGTGGGCGTTCGGCGCGCCGTGGTGCTGCCGCTGCCGAGCAACGAGGACTTCACCGGCAGCCCGGCTGCTCGCACAAGCGCCAACCAGGGCGCACTCAGCGGTGAGCAGAGTGCTGGCGCTGGCTTCTTCTGCGACTCACTCTTCTTGCTCAGGCACGACATCGCGCAAGAACACGCGCCTTGCCATCGGCAAGGCACAGGCAGCCGGCCGACCCGTGATGCACGTCGGCGTTGACCCCGGCATCAACAACATCGTCACCATGGCCCGTTTCGTCGATATGGAGCCCGGCACTTACTACACGTGCCCTGATGGCACACACCCCGACGGCCGAGCGCCGCTCACGGCCGACGAGCGCGTTGCTGCTCGCCTGCCGCCACTGGCGCCGACACGCACCAAGCGCAGCCTCTCCGACGAGCTCTACGGCGCGACCGACGAAGACCGCCAGCGCTGGCGCCGGCTGCAGGCCGTCGCGCTGAAGAAGGAGACGATGACGGACCAGTGCAACTGGCTCGCTAGCGAGATCGCCAAGCTGCGCCGCACGCACGACGCAGCGGCGCCCGTGGGCGTTGCTGCCCGGCACATGCATGCGGCAGCCTTCGAGCAGAGCCCGGCCGTGTCGGCGCTGCGGGACGAGCTGCGGCGCGTCAAGAAGCGGCAGCTGCAGCTGGCCGTCGACGCTATCCTCGAGTGGCTGGTGATGCGCGAGGGCGTCGGACTCATGTCGCAGCGCTTCCAGACGTGGGGCAGCAGGGATGCGCTGGTGGTGGTGCATGTTGGGAACTGGAAGTGAGTCGTCCGCCTGCATGGTGCGCGCTGCGGCAGCTGACACGACGCGCAGATCCACACGCAGGCCCGGCCTCGCAGGGCAGACGAGCAGCGTGCTGCTGCGCGAGTGCATGCGCCAGGCCAGACTGCGCGGCCTGCCTATCGTGTGGCGCCTGCAGGACGAGTTCATGACGTCGCAGGCGTGTCCCTCGGCATGCACGTCCACCGGGCGCAAGATTGACAGCAAGAAGAACCTGCGCGGCGAACCACAGCGGCTCAGCGGCCTTCGCCGGCGCTTCCGATCCCGGGCGTGAGTGTGTCTGCTCCCCTGCACTTGACCTCGCTGACGCAGCTGCGCAGCGTCCGCGACATCAAGCACTGCACGAGCTGCCATCGCACGTACGCCCGCGACGTGGCAGCAGCCGTCAACATCATGCTCGCAGGCCTACACCAGCTGCGGCACAACTGCGGTGCTTTTCGCCCGCCGCCGCCCAAGCCGCTGCGCCAGTAGGCACCGGCCGACTGGCCGCAGTGCCACCGCACCAAACCTGAGGTTTGGTGGCTCGAAGTCTTTGTGCCTCGAGTCTGGGAGTTTCGACTTCGTGAACACCCAATCCTCCCTCGGCCTGCGCAGCCACAGGTTAGATCGCTCCTTCCATAGATGTGCGAGCTCAGCGGCACGGCTCACACCTCGGCAGTCGCGCCTCTCTACGGCTTCACTCCCGACTCTGCAGGCGTATGGGAGAGGAGCATGGTCCACCTTGCGGCAGGTCGCGACGGCTCGCAGTCAGAGAGAAAGAGAGAGAGGCTCCTCAAGGGCCGGGACGAGGACGCCTCTGCGCTGGGGCGGCTCAGGCCCTGCAGTGTCAGCCTTTCTCCCCTTCATCAAGACGAGGCTGGAGGCAGTTTGTGCAAAGGCCACGTTCTCGAATGCCCTTGCCTGTCCGTCACCGAGCGGCGGGATGCTACAGTTCTCTGCTCGGAAGCAAAAGCGGCCGGCAGCATGTGCCGGGCGGTGCATCAGCCGGAGGCCCCGCACTCATTGGCGCATGCATGCCCAGTCGAGTAGCGTCTGTGAGGCCGACTACTCTGTCACATCGGCCTCGCGTTATGCCCGGTATCACAGCAGCATGGGGGCAAGAATGGGGCATCTGATTTGGCACCGGCGCGCGTGGGTGAAGCATCGAGAGTGTGGGAGGTGGCAAGGCGAGAGGATGATAATAGTAAGGATCGTGGGCGGGCGTGCGTTGTGGACAGCGGAGTGAAAGTGAGTTGAAGAGGCAGACATGAGAGAGAGGCCCGGCGCGGCTTCCATTCGGATGGAGCGGCGACATCGGGCACGCGGCGGCGCTTTGCAGCGACACAAGCCAGCGTGGTGCAGATCTGAGGCAGAAGGAAAAAGGAGGGAGAGGTCGTTAAAAAGGGGTGTGGCAAAAAGAAAGAAGGCAGTGGCGAGCGAGAAGGTGAGCAAGGGGTGAGTGAGTGCAGCAAAGAAAGGCAGCAAGATGAAAAGAGAAGCACGCGCGCAGAGAGAGATGCTGAGGGCAGGGTAAAGGCGGACGGACGGAGACGGTGCTGATGCAGCAGACCTGCCGATGACGGAAGCGGAACGAAGAAGGGAAAGGCGGCGCACTCGGTCGGGTAGACGACGGAGAAGGACTGGCCGGGGGGTATTCAGGCACGATGCGAGCCGGCTGGCTCGTCGCGCAGGTGCCATCCTTCCGGACTCGGAGCGCCGCGCTGCTCCGTCTCGGCCAGCTCGCCCTCCTCCTCGTCGTAGCCGCGGCGGCCGCGGGCGCCGAGGCTGGCGGGCCGCGCGTCGGAGCGGTCCTCGGCCATCTCCTCGGAGCCGCGCTCGGGGTCGTTGTAGGCGGCGCCGCGCCGGCCCGTCGAGCGCGGCTGCGAGCCGGCGTCGCTGCCGTCGTCGGCCGGCACGGCGCGCGCACGGTAGGTGTTGCCGCGGCCCGCGGCGCCCGACGAGCCGGCGCCGGTGCGGTAGTCGTAGGCGCGGCGGCCCCAGGCAAAGTGCGGCTCGTTGAGGCTCTCCTGGTCGAGGTAGAGGAACGTGTAGATGCCAAAGCACATCTCGAAGAACCAGAGCAGAACCTGCATGCCAAACGTGGCGTACGCCAGCGGCACGGTCCAGTTGGTCAGGTCGCACACGTGCTCAAAGTCGTCGGGCCGCGGGTAGTGCAGGTAGCCGTCGAACTGGCAGTTCTCGTAGCCGCGCATGTCCGACGCATAGGCGAGCGCGCCCGAGACCCACAGCACGCACATGGTGAACTGCAGCAGCAGCTCGAGCTTGACCATGAAGAGGCCGTAGAGGAAGTCGCCGTAGTTGATGAAGGGCGCGAGCGGCATGGCAATGTTGTAGCCAAAGTAGATGATGCAGGTGACTGGTGCGTGGGCGTGAGCGGGGGGGCACGCGCAGCAGTGCGGCGAGGTGGCGCGCGCGCGCGCGACTTACACAGGCCGAGGATGATGAGGAAGATGAGCGAGCCCCACGACGGCCGGATGATGGGGTCGTGCTTGTTGTAGTACTGCGAGCGAGCGAGCGAGCGGTCAGCACCACCGCAGACGGGCCCGGCTCAGCGCCTTGCCGTCGCCGCCTCTCGCGACGCGTCCGCCACGGCCTGGGGCCCTTGCACACTCACGTCGACGACGAGGATGGCCATGATGGCCGTGGCGAGCGCGAGGGCGCAGACGAGGCTGGTGAGGATGAAGCGCACGCCGAGGATGAGGTTGGGGTTGATGGCCGGCGGGCCGCCGGTGCGGCGCGCGGCGGGCACCGTGGCGCTGCGGCGCTCGGGAAGACCCATGGTGTGCGCGGCGGGTGCGGCGAGCTGCGAAGAGACGAAGAGAGAAGGTGAGAGGTGGGGGGGCCGAGGAGAGGGAGAGAAGGGGGTATGAGGCCACGCGGGCCGAGCAGAGGAGAGGGCCGGAGAGAGGAAGGAGTGTGTGGGGGAGAGAGAGGTGAGAAGGGGGTGCGGAGAGGGCCGTCTGGGATGAGCTCGAGCGGCAGCGGGCAGCCGCGCCAGAGCGAGAGCCGGGTTCGCCCTCGCCGGCCGGACAGGCACAGCGTGAGCGTGAGCCCTGGCAGGGACGCAGCAGCAGCAGCGCGGGGCTCGGCGAGCTTGACGACGCAAAGTCGTGCGCACACGGCGCGCGGGCTGCGAATCGGCGGCCTGCTCTGCTTGCTCGCCGCAGGGCGCAGGAGAGCAGTCTGGGGCCCTCGTCTGCGTGAAGGGCCGCGCAGAACGAGCCCAAAGTGCGCGGCACAGCTCCTCTCGCAAGGTGCCCGGGCGATCATTCAGCGCGCGCTGCCGATGGGGAAATTGGGCAGCGGCAGCCTCAGCGGTGCGGCACACGGCTGCGCGGGGCCTCCTCGCAGACGTCGTGCGTGCAGCGAAGCGCCGCTCTCGCTCTCCGCACCCCGACGGCGACGGCGTCGGCAGCGGCCTCGCCTCGCCTCTCTCGCCTCGCCGTGCCGCCGTCACGGCCGACTCCGCCAGCAGGCGCTGCGTCCGCTGCGCAGCTGCCCTTGCAGGCGCAGGGCGTGTCAAATATCCGCTCCCCGCTGCAGCGCCCGCTCGAGGCACCGCAGCGGTGCCGTGCACGCATCGCCGTTTTCCGCCGCGCTAGAGCGGTGCTCGTTGGCCCGCCGTCGAGGCTGCACACTCGTGTGCTGCCCCAAGGGGCTAGCGAGGTCTCGCCTTGCTCTCCCCGCAGCCCAGGGCGCAGAACGCAGCAGCGCCCAGGCACTGCGCCAGCGCCCGACAGCTCGCTCAACTTGCTGCCTGACCGCCTTAGCGCAGCGCGACTTTGCGGTCCATGACGCACAAGCGCGGCCGACTACAGCCCCGCGCCGCCGCACTTGAAGCGCCGACTACAAAGCTGCTGCTCGCCGGCGAGACAAGACCGCAGCAACGTGAGACCGCGTCCATCCCTGTGCGGCGTGCGCACCCCCTCCCGCGTGCCGCATCGGGCTGGGCGTGAGGTGATGGCCTGCGAGCCCTCGCAAGCGCAACGTTATGCGTGCCGTGGGCCACGTCTGCGTGCGATTGGGCGCGGAGCGGCGAGGCGGTCGATGGCGAGCGCGGCATAGAGGGGCTGAGAGGCTTCCTGCGCGAGCTCGTCGTACCATTCGCCCTCGGCATCGCGGCGCTGCACTGATCGGCAGCGCGCAGCAGAGCGAGGGCTGCGTGAGCACGGCAGGCGGCGCAGGAGCCCTCGGCGAGGGCGTGCAAGGAGCCCCCTCTCGCGTCTGCATCCGCCGCCGCGGCCGAGGCGGAGCAGCGAAGGGCTCCGTCTCGCCCGCTGCGCATAACACGGGCGGAGCTCTGCACAGCTGCGCCGCCGCTCGACTCCGCCCTTCGCTGCCCACTCACGCGCGAGCTGCATGCGCCGCAGGAGAGCAGCCGAGTGTCCAGACCTCAGAACGCAGCGCTGCCTCGACTTGTTTGTCAGGCTTTCGTGCAAAGGCCTTATTTGCCGGCGGCTGCGCGTCTTGGGCGCTGCGAGGGCGCTCGCGTGGACGATGCGCGCGTCGCCGCGCGGGTGAGGTCCTCTGCAGTCTGTGCTCTCTGCGCGCCTTGCCTCGCCACTTCGCCCGTCTTGGCCAACTGCGGGGAACTGCGGGGTGCGCGCTAGCGTGGCCGCTGGCAGCGCGAAGGAGCAACGTCGGCGAAGAGGTTGAAGGAGAGGGCACTCAGACTGCAACGGCAAGGCGCGGCTCCGGCGGAGCGTCACGTCACGCCGCGCGGCCGCGCCTGCGCGCAGGTGTCGTGCGGGGCTGATGGCGCTGAAAGAGGAAGCGTCGGCGTCGGATCCGAGACTGCACCGAGAGCAGAAAGCCCTCGAATCTGAAATGTGGCCAGCTCGTGTGCATCCTGCTCCTCCCCCGAGGCCGCATGGGCCGACGTGCCCGAGGTGCCGTGTGCCATTGGGACGGAGGTGCAGCATCGTCGACGACGAGGGGGTTGCAGTCACGTGACATGGTCTCGCCCCGAGCAGTGCTCGCACGCTGGCTCTAGGCCCTTGCCCAACACCTGCAGGGCCGACGAGAGGCCGTCGTGCCAAGTAGAAGGCGAGCAGCATGCAAGGGTGAGACTGCACGTCAAGTCACCTGCTGCTGGCATCGTCAGCCGAGTCGCTGCTCCCGCCGTGAAGAAGCGTCTGCACGACCAACGCTCGAGGCTGCCAGCCAATGCTCGTCTGCAACACCGCTGCGCTGCGCCTGCCTGTCTCGCAGAGCCTGCTGGACACACGAGCGGGCAAGGATGCAGGCGCCTTTTCCGCTGTCCGCCCGATGCTGAAGTGGCTCGCAGTCCGACTGTGTCCAGCAATGACGACTCTCGCCTGACAGCCTGCCCTGCAACTCCTCATTCGGCCGGCTGGAGAGGGTCCGCTTCCAGCTGTGCTCGCAGCCCAATGGCTCCCCGTCCAGCCAGCGGGAGCGGACCGCTTCCTCCGCTTCTCCATCTGCAGCGCGCACCCGCACCCCAAGACCGTTCGGCGGGCGTGACGAAAAGCGCATCAATTCGAGCTGACGAAGTTGCGCGCCTTGATGGCCTCGCGGTTCTTGCTGCGCAGAGCTTTCCGCTGGCCCTCCGGCGAGTCGTCGACGGCCACTTCTGCCTTCTTCTCGCTGCCCTTGCGCAGCTTCGAGGCGCGCTTCAGCGCCGCACGCTGCTCGCCCTTGGTCATGCCCGCCGAGGCGCCCGCCACGGCGGAGCCGGCGGCACCGGCAGTGTGCAGCTCCCACAGCCATGCTGGATAGTCGGCGTCGGGCCGGGCGACGGGGTCAGGCGTGTCTTTGAGCAGACCAAGACCCGTCAGCACGGTGCCGGGCGGACATGATGAGGTGAAGCCGAGTGCTGGAGCTGCGAAGCGGGCGCGTCAGCAAGCGCATCAGTGACAGGAGAGTTAGGCGTGCTTAGCTGCTACAAGGCTGACAGCCTTCCAGAGCTGCAGCCGAGCTAGCAGCGACACACAGCCCTGCCGTACATCACGCTTGCACACTCACCGGCAGCCTTCTCGGCGCCCTTCTGCGGCGCAGCGTCGCCGGCCGGCGGCGGCTGCGGCGCCGGGTCGCCCAGTGCCGACGAGGCGGCGGCGGGCCGCGCGCACACGCGGCTGGCGCTGGCGTACGAGGCGCTGGCGACGGGCAGCAGGTGAGGGCGCGGGCGCAGCGTGGTGCGCAGGGCGGCGAGGAGAGCCATGGCGGTGCGTCGAGGGTGCAAGGGGGTGATGGTGGAAGAGGGCGACAGGCGCAGGCTGTGGGAGCAGGCCCCTTGGCGCCGCGCAGCGCGCACGTGACGGCAATTATCGAGCAGCCGCGGCACTCGGCCATGGGGCGCTTCTCCTCTCCTGCTGACTCGGCCCCCGTCCTCTCTCCGCACCACACCCCCGCACTCGCTGCACCGTCCGCCGTGCCTCAGTGCATGCTTGCGTCTCTGCTGCGCCGCTCCGCACGCCCCTCGCTGTCCTCTGTCCACACCCGCCTCGCCGCCCGCGCACCTGCCGCCGCGCTGCCGCGAGCCTCGTTCACCATGTCCGCGCCGCCTGCCGCGCCCGCCCCGGGGCCCGGCGCCGAGGCCCTGCCGCTCGGCCCCGACGGCCAGCCCATGACCAAGTCGGCCGCAAAGCGCGCCGCAAAGGAGGCCGAGCGTGCGGCGCAGAAGGCGGCCAAGCAGAACATGAAGGAGCAGAAGGAGAGCGCCGCCGCCGACAAGCCGGCCGAGCCGAAGCGCGCAAAGGCCAAGAAGGAGAAGAAGCCCGAGATCGAGTGGGTGAACAACACCAAGCCGGGCGAGAAGAAGGGTGAGTGTGGCTTGCATGCCCTGCTGGTGAGTAGCTGGGAGCTGACGTCCGGGTGCAGACCTCTCGGGTCCGATGGAGAACGGCTACAACCCGGACCACGTCGAGCAGTCGTGGTACGAGTGGTGGGAGGCGTCGGGCTTCTACACGCCCAAGGAGCCCACCGATGCCGACCCGTACGACCTGGACCGCACCTTCGTCATCCCGGCGCCGCCGCCGAACGTGACGGGCGCGCTGCACATCGGGCACGCGCTCACCATCTCGATCCAGGACACGCTCGTGCGCTGGTACCGCATGCGTGGCTGGCGTGTGCTCTTCAACCCGGGCTACGACCACGCCTCGATCAGCACGCAGGCCGTCGTGGAGAAGCGCCTGATGAAGCTCGAGGGCAAGACGCGCCACCAGTACGGCCGTGAAGAGTTCCTGCGCCGCGTGTACGACTGGTCGCAGGAGTACAAGAAGCGCATCGGCGGCCAGACGCGGCGTCTCGGCGCCTCGTACGACTTTACGCGCGAGGCCTACACCATGGACGCCACGCGCTCGCGCGCCGTCAACGAGGCCTTCTGCCGCCTGCACGAGCAAGGTGTCATCTACCGTGCCTCGCGCCTCGTCAACTGGTGCTGCCGCCTCAACACGACGCTCTCGACGCTCGAGGTCGAGCAGAAGACGCTGCCCGGCCGCACGCTTCTCCAGGTGCCCGGCTACGACGAGAAGGAGCGCGTCGAGTTCGGCGTCATTGTCAGCTTTGCGTACCCCGTCTCGGGCTCGGAGAGCGACGAGCGCCTCATCGTCGCGACGACGCGTGTCGAGACGATGCTGGGCGACTCGGCCGTCGCCGTGCACCCCAAGGACCCGCGCTACACGCACCTGCACGGCAAGACGCTCGACCACCCCTTCCTGCCCGGGCGCAAGATCCCCATCGTCACCGACAGCATCGCCGTCGACATGGAGTTCGGCACGGGTGCCGTCAAGATCACGCCGGCGCACGACCCCAACGACTACGAGGTCGGCAAGCGCCACTCGCTCGAGTTCATCAACATCCTCAACGACGACGGCACGCTCAACGAGAACGCGGGCGAGTTCAAGGGCATGAAGCGCTTCCACGCGCGCCGCGCCGTCATCGAGGCGCTCAAGGCCAAGGGCCTGTACGTCGAGACGAAGGACAACCCGATGACGGTGCCCGTGTGCTCGCGCTCGGGCGACATCGTCGAGCCGCTCATCAAGCCGCAGTGGTGGGTGAGCTGCAAGCCGCTGGCGGACGCGGCCGTCGAGGCCGTCAACAGCCAGAACATGGTCATTGTGCCCGACTCGAGCCGCCGCGAGTTCTTCCGCTGGATGGACATCATCCAGGACTGGTGCATCTCGCGCCAGCTGTGGTGGGGCCACCGCTGCCCGGCCTACTTTGTCAACATCGAGGGCAAGGAGCAGGACGAGAACGACGCGACGCAGTGGGTCGTCGGGCGCACCGAGGAGGAGGCGCACGAGCGTGCCGCCAAGCTGGCCGGCGGCGCCAAGTACACGCTGCGGCAGGACGAGGACGTGCTCGACACGTGGTTCTCGTCGGGCCTGTGGCCCTTCAGCATCATGGGCTGGCCAGAGCAGACGCCCGACCTCAAGCACTTCTACCCCAACGCCATGCTCGAGACGGGCTGGGACATTCTCTTCTTCTGGGTCGCGCGCATGGTCATGCTCGGCGTGCACTTCACGGGCAAGATCCCCTTCAAGGAGGTCTTCTGCCACGCCATGGTGCGCGACGCCCACGGCCGCAAGATGAGCAAGTCGCTCGGCAACGTCATCGACCCGCTCGACGTCATCTCGGGCGCCACGCTCGAGGCGCTGCACGAGCAGCTGCGGCAGGGCAACCTCGAGGAGAAGGAGGTCATCAAGGCCACGCAGGGCCAGAAGAAGGACTTTCCCAAGGGCATCCCGCAGTGCGGCACCGACGCGCTGCGCTTCGCCCTCTGCAACTTCACCGCCGCGGGCCGCGACATCAACCTCGAGATCCAGCGCGTCGAGGGCTACCGCAAGTTCTGCAACAAGCTCTGGAACGCCACCAAGTTCGCGCTGATGAAGCTCGAGGGCGACTTTGCGCCGGCCGACGAGGAGCACGTCTCGGGCAAGGAGTGCGCCGCCGAGCGCTGGATCCTGTTCCGCCTCAACGAGGCCGTGCGCACCGTCAACGAGGCGCTCGAGGCGCGCAACTTCATGGCCGCCACGACTGCCGCGTACAACTTCTGGCTGTACGAGCTGTGCGACGTGTACATCGAGGCCATCAAGCCCATCGCCGACCCGGTGGCGGAGGACCAGGCGGCGCGGCGCTCGGCGCAGGAGACGCTCTACACGTGTCTCGAGGCCGGCATGCGTCTGCTGCACCCCTTCATGCCCTACGTCACCGAGGAGCTCTGGCAGCGCCTGCCGCGGCGCAAGAGCCACACGGCGCCGTCCATCTCCATCGCGCCCTTCCCCGAGGTGCTTGACGCGCGGAATCAGGCCTCGGCCGCGCACGACTTCGACAACGTCATGGCTGCCGTGCGCTCCGTGCGCGCTCTTGCCTCGGACTACGGCCTGGCCACCGGCATCCAGGGTGAGTGCTGATTCCGCATCGTGCCGATGGCTCGTCGCTGACATCCAGCTCTGCTCAGCCTACCTCGAGACGTCGGACGCGCAGACCGCCGAGCTGCTGCGCTCGCAGCAGCTCATCATCGTGACGCTCATCAAGGGCTGCACGTCGGTCGAGGTCGTCTCTGCGTCGGAGGTGCCGCAGGGCTGCGCCGTCGCGTCGCTGCCGTCGGCACGGACAAACGCGCACGTGCTCGTCAAGGGCAAGGTCGACATTGACTCTGAGCTGAGCAAGCTCATGGCCAAGGTCGAGCTCAACGGCGCCGCGCTGGCCAAGATCGAGACGCAGCGCTCGAGCGCCGACTGGGAGAAGACGCCCGCCGAGGTGCAGCAGGCCGCACTGGAGCGCGAGCAGAACCTCGAGGCCGAGAAGCAGGCGCTCCTCGCCGCAAAGGCCACCTTCGAGTCGCTGCGCGGCTAGAGGCGGCGTCCTCGTCACCATAGAGAGTTAGAGAGGGGCGCGGCACGCCCACCACACCCAAAATACGATCGCTTCACCGCTTCTCAGTGTCCGTCAGATTGCTGCGGAACCGTGTGCGCGCGCCGCACGCTGAGCATGACGTCTAAAGTAGAAGATGAGGAGGGTATGGTAGGGGACATGCAGGGGCGAGAGAGCGGGCGCGATCTGCCGGCACCGGGCTGCGGGGCCAGGCCGCGCTGCGCTCGTACGCATCGATAGGACGGCAGAGGAGCCGGAGCCGGGGCCCGCTCAGAGCGGAAGCTCTAGCTGTCCGGCGCGCGGCTGCCCGAACTCGGGGCACCGCCTCGCTCGGACGAGGGTGCGTGGCTGCGACGCTCTCCGCTGCGTGCGGAGCGCGAGATCGAAGGAGAGCTGCTCGGCGTCTTCTCCTTGTTGAGCACTGAGGCACAGCTGATGTCAGTCATGCGTCAGCGCGCCACCCTTGCGAGGAACTCACAGCTCTGGAAGAAAGAGTGCAGCACTTCCGACTGCTTCACGCCACCCGGGCTGCTCGCGCCCGGGGACGAGCCGAGCAAAGGACTGGTCGGCTTCGACGAGACAGAGTCGCGCGTCGAGTCCTGATGCAGGGTGGCGGTCAGCGGGCAAACGAGGCGCAGCGCAGCGCAGAAGCAGGGCTCACCCTCCGACTCGTTCGTGGCGGCTTGACCGTAGCCTCCGAATCCGGCGTGTCTCTGTCCTGCATCGCCCGCTCCACGCCCGGCAGGCTGAGGCTGACGCTGCGCATCGGACCGACGACTGAGGGTGTGCCTCCTCCTCCCCCGCCGCCGCCGCTCGTGAGACGAGCAAGGCGGCTCTGCGTGTCTGGGTCCTTTTGCAGCGTTGCGAAGTGCTGTGCCAGGAAGGCTTGCTCGTCTGGCTCCTTGACCCGCGAGGAATTCGGATTTGGCGCCTGTGCTCGGGACGTGAGCGGATGCGCAGCAAACGCAAATCGAATGACTCACCGGTGCGGCCTTCCACCCAGCAACGAGATCCTCATACAAGCGCACAGCGCTTAGCACACCAGCATCGGCAGCGGCAGCAGCCTGTCCACGATCCTGCTGCCGCGCCTCATCCTCCAGCTCCGGCGCACCCTTCGCAAGTCCTCGCTCACGCCGCACGCGCTCCGTCAGCACGTCGCACTCCCAGCCCGCGGACACGGGCGCGCATGCATAGCCGTCACGCAGCGCGTGAATCTTGCCCCAGCTGTCCCAGCCGCTCGGCACGATGAGAATGTCGCGCTCGACGGTCGAGGCGCGATGCAGAAACGGAAAGCGCGTCGAGAGCGCCGTGCCGCCACCGGCCACGGGGCCCTCTGATGGCGCACCGTTCGGTGCAGCGGCAGCTTCTGTCCCAGAGGAAGCGATACGGCTGGCCGGCGCAGGCGTGAAGAGGCGGTGCAGAACGTACGACCGCAGCACATCGAAAGTCTGTGGCCGGCTCTGTGCCGTGTAGAAGAGCGCGGCACCGTCTGTGGAAAAGCCGGAGATCAGTATACGCGAGAACGTCTGAGCGATCGGCCTGCAGCTTACACTTGATGCAGATGGTGCGCAGCATCTGCTGTATTTGGTCAAACTGCTCCTCCTTCAGCTCGCGGTCCTTCTCCAGCCGCGAGATCTGATCAGCCTGTCGCACGCAGGGTGTCAGCAGTCCCCTGGCCACGAGCGGCGCCCACGGCAGGGCGTACCTTGGTGCAGACGACAACGATTGACACGCCGAGGTTGTGCTGCAGCACGTCGTCTCCCAGCGGCAGGTTCACGTCGACCAGGCCTGCAGCCGACGCTGGCAGCAGCGTGGGCGCAGTCGCGGCGCCATCTGGCGTCTGCACACCGAATCCTGCTGTCGCAGCAGGCGCTACCGGCTCGACGTATGCCCTAATGTACGTCTCCACTGCGAGTGTATGCGTGAGATCGGACAGCCAGAGCCTGGGCCGTTCGGCTCAGCCGACTCTTTCGTCTGCGACTCACAGCCTTCTTGCAGCTCGCGCGCAAACTCTTGCTCCCGGCCCCACTTGGCTTCCTTCTGCGTCTCCGGCACGCCGAGCGCCTCTCGTGTCGTCTGCCCCACGATGTCAAGCCATGTCAAGAGCTGATCGAGGAAAGCTGAAGGGTTGCTCCAGTCCAGCACGAGCAACCAGAGAGTGCTGCGCAGCGCGTCGGCCTTGGCTGATGGGCCGGCCGAGGAGGACGCCAGCTGCGGCGGCTGCAGAGCTAGGGGCAGCAGCGAGACGTGCAGCGGGTGCGACGAGGGCACTTGGTACACGCCAACGCGCGCCAGTGTGTCTGAGGAGACTCGAGTCAGCTTGAACGTAGGAGCAGCGCATCGGCACGATTTCAAGGGCGCCGAATCACCTTCGCCGTCGTCATCCCGAACGTCCCAGTAGGCATAGCCCAGCCCCAGATCTCTTACTTCAGGCGTCGCCGAGACGCCGTTCACGTGCCCGTTCATGTTGGTAGAAGAGCTGCTGCTGGGCATAGTCGCAGCGACAGAGGGTCCGGCGCTCGTGGTGCTGCCGCTGGCCAGGCCGGCAAGAAGCGTCGACTTGCCAGTGCCCGTCTCGCCTGTGTGGCCGCGTGAGCATGCGAACAGCGCAAGGCCAGCACGATGCACGACACTCACCGAGCATCACGACATTGCGCACCGGTGCGGCACGGCTGCCGTGCACGCTGGCGAGAATGCTGGACCAGAGTTGCGCATCGTCCTCGCCCGGCGCTGCGGTGCCGTTGGGCGCAGCGGGCGTGGCTGGTGGCTGCAGCGCATCGCCGGCGCCGTTGGAGCCGGCGGCGGCGTCGTGCGGCAGTGCGCTGCGCTCAGACAGCATGTGCGGCACGCGCGAATAGAGGAGTGTGGTAGACGGAGCGAGAGGAGGGAACGAGCGGCGTTGGGCCGCGCTTGTGCGTGTTGGACGGAGGAGGCGCGAGCGAAGCGGCGGCCGTGCGCATTACAATACGGGCGGTCCCACGGTCGCCATCTTGTATTGTGCTCTCACGTGCACGCTACCGCCGATTACAACGCGCGCCGCCCGCCCCCCACAACATCGCGCGCCGGCAGGAGAGGAGAGGCGCCGTGCGACCTGGACGCCGAGTCGACGAGCTTCCTCTCCGCCATACCCCTACCTCCACTCCGCCCCGGAGGCACGCCGCTGTCCTCAGCCGCCTCTCTGCCGCCCTCGCACGGCGCTGCGCACGTCGCACTCCTCGCGCGCTCACTGCCGTCCGGCTCCGCCTGCTGCGGCACTGTCCGGGCTCGGAGCGCGTCGCGTCGCACGACCACACGGCGCCCGTGCCGCGTCCTCTCCACCACTCCTGTGCCGCACCTGAGCAGCGTCACGTCGTCTCCGTGCTGCACGTCCAGTCTCCGGGTGGTGTAGAGCTGCAGACGCCGCGAGCGCAGGCTGCTCGAGCCGTGGCATGCCGCGCGGCAGTCCTGCGGTCGCGTCTGCCCTGGCGTCCACCTCCTCCTCGAGCGCCATGCCGTCCGCGGGGGCTGCAGCGGCTGCACCTGCGCCAGGCTTTCCCTTTCTTCCGCGCGCGCTCGCCGGCACGGGCAGCGGCAGCGGCGCGGGTAGCAGCAGCAGCTCCAGTGCGGCGCACGGCAGCCATGTGCGCCGTGCAGCCTCGCCGCGAGCGTCCGGCTCGAACTCGCATGGCGCTGCAGGCCTGGCTCGCTCTCCGTCGCCGCCTGCGCCTCGCTCGCCGCCACCAGCGACGCCATCGAGCTTGCTGCAGTCTACGTCAAACGACGTCATGCCGTCGCTGAACATGCTCGGCAAGCTGAGCACGACACTGTCGCGCATGCGAAGCGAGACGCGCCAACGTGCCCAGCGTCTCGATGCCGACTTGCAAGACGACCTGGCTGGCCGCCCGCTTCGCAGCAGTGGCATGCAGACGCGTGCTCGCAGCGGCAGTGCCGTCAGTCCTGGTCCGCGCTCGACCTCTATCTCGGCAGCTGCCGGTGGGTCGGGGCACAAGTTCCGCATCAAGCGTGATCCCTCGCTCTCGGCCTCGCTGTTGCCCGACGGAGATGGACGCGCCGCCTCGAGTGGCCCGATTGCTGAGAACGACTTTGGCGCCTCGCCGGCACGGCCGCCGCCAGCGCGCACATACTCTGGGGTTGCGCGCCGGAAACGCAAGCGCGAGAGCGGCACGGGTGCCGGAAGCAGCAGCGAAGACGAGCCGCTGAGGGCACAGCAGCCGGTCGAAGCGCGCACGAATGGATCTGGCGCGGCAGAGGGCAAGGGCGACGGGAAGCTGGGCATCAGGTTGAAAACGAACATTGTGCTGCCGCGAAAGCCAAGGGTGAGTGCGCACACATACAGGGAGGAGGCGGTAGGGCAGGTGCGATCCGTGTAGTGCACAGCGCTGGCTTGTGTGCGCATACATGCTGTCATTGCGAGACCGCACAGGCTTGAGCTTGCTCGCCTGCGGCTGCGCTCGAGACGCGGTGTCTCCACTCGCCTGGACGTAGGACTGACGCGCGCTTCGTCTCCAGCGCAACTCCGATCACCCGCTGTCCAGTCTCGCCCTGTCCGGTCCCGGCGCGCCAGACGGGCCTCCACCCGCCGGCTGGGAGCTGCCGCCGCGGCACTTCTCCGTGCCCGAGCTGCGTTCTGCGCGTCCGCCGCCTGCACACGCGACGCACCCGCTGCAAGTGACGCAGGACTTCTCGTCGCAGGACTGGAAGGAGCGTGAGCGCGAGCGCGATCGCCTCGATGCCTTGGCCGGCGCTTCTTCCGGCTCAGGACAAAACACTGCGCTGGGCCGCGCCAGAGACAAGAAGGGCGAGCAGACGCCGCATCACGTCTTTCAGCACTACACGGACACCTGGTTCCGTACGCTGACTGAGGATGATCTGGCTTGGCTGAGCGCGAAAGTGAGTGGAGCGGCGTGCAACCAGCGCATAGGATTGAAGAGTCCGCTCGAAGCCCTCGCCCTCTCTCGAAAGCTCTCTGACCCGCGTCCTCGCAGCGCGACGACTCAGATCTGTTCCAGATTCCGCCGCTTGGACGACACTACAGCGAGCAGTGGGCTGCCGAGGACGCCGACTTCTTCGGCATCAGCAGCGCCGAGGCCGCGCATGCAGCTGGCCTGAATGGTCTCGCTGGCGGCAGCGCCGGCACGCCAGCTCAGCGCCTCGCTCTGCCGCCCGCTGCGCCTTTCGACCCGCGGACGATGCGCGACGAGCACGCCAGCGGCGCCTCTCGAGAAGACGCCCGCGGCGGGCCGCTGACAGAACGACTGCTGTCTGCACTGTTGCCCGTGCCGCCTGGCGGCAGCAGCGCAAGCTTGCCGCTGCCGAATGGCTCGGCGTTCGCCTCTGGGTCACGCCCCGGCACTGCGCCGCCGAGCCAGAACGGTGCCGCATCGCAACCCAACGGCCGCTCGCCTTACGTGCCTGGCACGCCGAACGGGCACTCGGAGCGCAGGGAACCGATCGTGCCGCCTCGTGTGCAGGACATGCGGACGTTCGAGGAGCGATTGCGAGGCGAGCTGCGCATTCTGGATGTCGTGGGCGACGAGCCGGTGAGTGTGCTCTGGCAGGGCGAGTAATGCGAGCTGCTTGCTAAGCGTTTCGCCTTCCTCTTCTAGACGGACTGGTCGACGCGCCAGGACGACGAGATCTCCGCCATGCTTCGCACCGTGCAGCACGAGCTGCGCACGCAGATCGACGTCAACGCCGCGCGCAAGGAGCGCCTGTATGCCATCGCGACGGACCGCATGGCGTATCAGGACTACATGTCGTGCATGACGTCGGTCGAGAAGGAGATCGAGATGTGCGTCGCCTGCCGAGCCAGCCCCTTTTGACACATGCTCATCTTCTGTCCCGGCGCAGCGGCTGGAACAAGCGTCAGGCGGCCATCAAGCGCAGCCTCGCGCCCAAGAAGAAGAAAGGCGGCTCTGCAGCGGCGGCCGCGGCGGCGGCTGCCGCTGCTGCCAGCACTTCGAACGGCCATGCCAGCGGCACAAGCCAAGGCGCCGCTGGCACGAGCTCTGGCGACGGCGCTGCAGCTGTGGGCACGCCTGGCGGGCCCGGCGGCGCCTCAATACCCGGCGCATCGACGTCTCTGCCGGGCCCGGCGCCGCCGCAATTCTCCGACAGCCTCATCGCTGCGCTCAAGAGCCGCGAGCAGCTGCAGCGCGCCTTCATGCCCATGTTCACGGCGCAGCCGCACGCCTGGCGCACGCCGCGCCCCGACGAGAGCGTCTTTGCCGACCTGCCGAGCGAGCAAGAGCCGCATCGCGCTGCGCCCCATCCCGCCTCCCAGCCGCCGCCTGAGTAGCACCTCAGCTGTGCGCCCCTCCGCAGTCTGGCGTCGCCGGCCGCCCCTCCTCGCGCGCCTCTGCGCCATGTGTACTCTGCCCGCGCAACCTGCTCCACCTTGCAACCCTCTTAACGTGACCCCTCCTCGCATGTCCTGTCAGCTGTCTCCCGGCCTGCACACTCTCGAACCCATCCTTTGCTCGCCCCCTTGCGCGATCCTGCGGCGCCTGCACCTCTCCGCAGCCGCTCGCTACTCGCACACAGGCGCACAGACTCGCAGAGGTCCAGGACTGCTGCATGCATCAACTAGCTGAGGGCGTGAGGGGAACAGGGGGGGCGGATCGAGTGGGTCGTAGAGGCGACGCGCTGCAGGGACGCGGCGGCATAGGAGAACAGATCGCCTCGTGGAGTCGTAGAGCGTGAGGTCGTGTGGCGCCGTGAGGGCGACGCCTGAGGTGTGAGCGGCGCGCGCTCGATGGGCGTTCGTGGAGAGGCGTGTGGAGGAATGAGACACGGGCGGAGCGGTGCAGATGAGGAACTCGGGGAGCTCGTAGAGACTTGGGATGGGGTTGTTGCGTTTGTAGATGGAGGATGGAGATGGCGGCCGCAGGCGCACGCACGGGAAGATAGACGGAGCTGAGCGTGGATGGCAGCTTCAGCCAGCACATCGCGCCAGACCGCACAGCTGAGGTCGGTATCGTAGACGGGTATTGAGTCGCCGCGAGTGCGGTTGAGGCAGTCGCAGACGAAGAGGCCGAGAAACAACAGACAGGCGCATCACTGCCCTTGCCAGTCGTCGTCGTCGTAGTCGTCCTCGGCGTGGGCGTCCGGCTCCATCTGCAGCGGACGTCAGCGCCATGCTCCCGCGCGCATCGTCAGAGCACTCACCTCGGCCATCGTGTGGAAGATCTCAGTGGCAAAGGCATTCATCAGGCCTGGTGTCACACCCTCCGCCGCCTCGAGCGCACGGCGGACATTGAGGATCGTGCGCTGCGCATCGGGATTCTGCGACACGGCGAGAGAAAGCTGAGAGAGGCGAGCGTTGAGCGACCGCGTCCTGGCACCTCGTTCACGGTGCACATGCACTTCAACTCACTTGCTCAAGAACAGGCAGGAACACGCCATGCAGCGCCGACGGCGGCGCCTCCTCCTGCGCCTGCCGCGAGGGTGCATGCTGTTGCGCATCCTGCTGCTGTCTGCCCGCCAGCGCCGCGGCAGTGCGAGGGTCCATGCTGCCTTCGCTGTCGGTACTGCTGTCCTTGGCGTGATGCCTCAGACGCATCTCCTCCATGCGCCGGCGCTCCGCCTCGACCGCGCTGTCGACTTGCGGCCGAGGATGAGTCGGCGGCGTGCTGAACTCCTCGCGCCGCGCGCCTGGCGTCTCCTCGTAGCGGCTTCGCTGAGGCGTGCCGTATGCGCCATTGGCTGCGTACGCGGCAGCATCGATGGACGCCTGCTGCTCGTAGCTGCGCGTCTTGGCCGCCGCCTGCGGGCTCACCGGCGGCTGAGCGCCATAGTCGCGTGCGTTGACAGTGATGCCGCTACCGCCGACGTTGTGCACCGAGGGGTCGTACTGGCCGTGGTTAGACGGGCCGGGCGCCGCATTGTTGTCCAGACCCGGGATCGCTGGGCGCGCAGCACTGGCACCCGGCACGCGCACAGTGCCGCCGGCCGAGCCACTGCCCGCCGAGCCCGACGAGCGCTGCGAGTTGAAGCGGTCCATGGGCAGGCCCATCTGGTGTGCCGCAAGCACCTGCTGGTGCTGCTGCTGCTGCTGCTGGCTCATTTGCGGCGGCGTCGGCAGCTCCTTGTGCGGCGCGCGGCCGTTGTTCTGCTGCGGCGCAGGTGGTGCGCCGCCTGCTGCACGCCCAACTGTGCCGCGTCGCACTGTGCCGAAGTCCCAGTTGTCGTCGTCGCCGTCATCCTCCTCCTCTGCGCCGCGACGTCCGTCATCTCCGTCGTCGTGTCCATCGCCGCCCTCGGCGCGCCAGCGCTCTAGCCGCTCGATCAGCTCGGTCAGGTACGACGTCTTCTTGGCGCCGCGAATGAAGCGGTGCTTCAGCAGCTCGCGCGCAGTCGGGCGCTGCGCAGAGTCAGTCAGCAGGGCAGTTCTGCGTCTTTTGCCTCGCGTGAACTTACGTTGGCGGGGTCACGCTGCAGGCAAAAGGCGACGAACTCGCGGAACGTCTTGGAAAAGCTCGCGTCGAGCTGCGGCGGCGGGTTCTTGGGAATGAGGAAGAGCACCTGTGAGAGCACGGGCGTCAGCTTGCCGGCAACACGAGGGCCGTGCTTGAACGTACTTTCATCGGATGCAGGTCCGCATACGGCGGCTCGCCCATCGCCATCTCGATTGCCGTGATGCCCAGACTCCAGATGTCGGCCTTGAAGTCGTAGCCGCTCTGCTTGATGACTTCGGGCGACATCCAGTACGGCGTGCCCACGAACGTGTTCTTCTTCGTCATCGTTGCCGTGAGCTGGCCCGAGACGCCAAAGTCTGCCAGCTTGACGTCGCCCGAGGACGAGAGGAGCACGTTGGCCGCTGCAGACACGCGCGGACGTGTCAGCTGCAGTCGCGCCAGCGTCACGACTGCGAAAGGCGACACACCTTTGATGTCGCGATGCAGCTTGCCCTCGCCGTGCAGGTAGTCGAGGCCCTTGAGGAGCTCGCGCAGCACAATCGCGATGTAGTCCTCGCGGAAGCGACCGGGCTTCATCTGCGCGCCGCCACCTCGCGTCAGTCTCGCGCCTCTCCTCCGCCTGCCTCGATTGCACGCACCAGATCTGAGCAGCTGCCGCCGCTGCAGTACTCCATTACAATCCACAGATTTGTGCCCTTCAGCCACGAGCCATGGTACCTGGGCGAGCGGATCAGGTTACGCCTCGGTGCAGCGCACAGACCGTCAGACTCACTTCGTCACGTGGCTGCTGTCGAGCTGGCTCAGGATCGAAATCTCCTGCTGGATGTCGTCGATCTCGTCCTCTGCATTCTCCAGGTCGATGATCTTGATTGCCACCGGCTGCCGTGTGAGCTTGGAGAAGCCCTTGAACACCTCGCTGCGGGCGCGCCAGGGCAGTGTCAGCGCTGGGCCCCGGACAAGTCGCGGCAAGATGGTCTGCAAAATGCTCATGCAGGGCCGCTGCGCTCGCCGTTGCCCTGCCTGCGACCAGCTCGTAGCTCACGAAGCGGAGCTCGGCAAGGTCCTACCTCCAGGCCGAGCTGACCGGCCTGGCCCGGCCTGCGAGCAAAGTGCGTCTCCAGCCCAGGCCCGTCCAAGGGCGCGCGCCACGCATCGGATCTGCCGTCTTAGCAGCGGGCAAGCTGCTACGGCCGTGCTGTCGCAGGCGAGGAAGGCTCGAGATCCGGCGCCATCTGTACAGAGCGCGCGACAGCCAGCAAGCGCTGCGATGCCGGGATGCCCGGACGAGCCAGCGCTTCTCGCAGCCTGTGACCCAGCGGCGCACGCACTGCCGCCTCCTGGCCTCGCTGCGAGCCGATCCGAGCAAGAAGGCTCACTGCTCCCTCGTGCCGCAGCGACTGTTCTCCACTCAGCTCTCGGCCAGATCACTCACCCGAATGAGCCCTTGCCAATGCGGTCCTGGCGCACGTAGTACTCCTCGGGGTCCGAGCCCTGCGGCGGAGCGTCCTGCGGCGGCGCGACAGGCGACGTCAGCTCTGCGCCTCGCAGATGCGCACAGAGCAAGCAAGCTGAAGACTCACCATCATATTGACGAAGCTTTACGAGCTGGCGGGCGAGAGGAGAATCGCGACGCGACCGCGGCTGCGCGAGGTTGAGCTCACGGGCAGAGCCAGCGGGCTCGAGAGATGGCGCGGCTCAGGTCACGCGACGAGCGTGAGATTTCGTAAAGTGTGCTGACGGGCGTGCGATACGCTCTCGGCGCCGTGACTGGGGCGTGTTCGAGGCGTGAGGATGGAGCGGCAGCGTGCGCAGTTGCGGCGTGCGCGAGACGAGGGCTCGGGCGCGCGCAAGGACGTGAGGGCGTGCGAGACGCGGGCTGCGGCAACTGTGCAGCTCGTGCCGAGGCTCAAAGTGAGAGAGAGCTGGCCGGCGTGAGGAGTGACGGCGAGGAGCGGCGAGTGGCTGGGGGAGAGAGAGGCAAAGCAAGCGAGCGGCTGGGCGACGACACAGAGCGGCAGCAGCTGCTTGCCGTGCGCAGCGGGCCGTGTGTGTCTTGTGTGCGGTGCGGCGCGTCGTGCTGGCGGCCTGCCTCGCGCCGCGCGCCGAGGCACGGCAGCTGCAGCCGCGGCGCCGAAGGCAACCCACCGCCGCGGCGGCGCCCACGCGCGACGCTGCCGCCACGCTTGATGCTGGCTGAGGCCGGGCCTCCGCTCGCTGCCGTTCCTTCTCGTCGCACCGTTGCAGCGGCTCGCACTCGTCACCTTGCACTGCGATCGGCTCCGATTGCCAGGCGTGTCGAAGCAAGCTTCGGCAGCATCCAGGCTTGCGGGCCACGCACGCTGCAGCAGCATCCCTGCTCGGTGCTGTCCACGCAAGCTGGGCGAGCACAGCCACGCGCGACGCCTCCCTGCGACGCACCGACGGCCGCCCTCCGAAGCATCCTGAGAGCACTCAGCCCAGCGTTCGGGCCGGTGGCTATCTCGACAAGTGCTCTCGAAGCGGGTCATCATGTCGCTTGCTGACGACGAATGGCGACGACGAAACGCCGTGTCGCCGTCGGCGTCGCAATCAAATCTCTCATCAGCCCCTGCGAGGCGGCCCGGACGGAGGCGCCTCATCATGGATGCCGCGCGCCCTCGCCGCAGTCGACGGAGGACGTCTTCCAATCAGACGTTGCCCTCGTCGGCGCTGCTGAGCTGCGTCGACAGCCACATTGTCCCGCTGCTCGTGTCGGCCAGCGTCGGCAGCAGCATGGCAGCGGCCGGCGGATGCTGGCGCGTGCGCGGCTGCAGGGGCTACGTCCGCAGCCTGTCGGATGACGGCGCGCATGAGAGGCCTTCCCCGCGTCGACCTCCGCTCGCTCCGCACGTCTCGCGGCCCCTCTCGCCCAACACCTCCGACACCGCCTCGCACTCTCCTCCAAAGGGCAGCAGGATTGAACGCCAACTCCGAGCATAGTGATGCTGCGGATCGCAGAGCCCGGGCGTCATGATCTATCGCAGACCTGCGTCTAGAAGCCATGGCGCAGCCCCTCGCGCTAAAGCTTGGCGACGCGCTACGACCTGGCGCACCTCCTCTTCTCGCAGCGGAGCATCCCTTTCAACTCGACCCCAGCCTTGCGCTTCGCGTCGCCGCACCGGCCGTCGTTCGCTGCTTCCAGACGCACGCTGTCTGCACGACGAGGCAGCGAGCGACAGCGAGGCAGTGGTTGTCAGCGCTGCATCCGCCCTCAGCCACAGGGCGCAGCACATCGCCCGCACGTCGGGGTGCCGCGACTAGTGCGGCGCGGCCCTCTCATGCTTCATGCCTCGAAGCGCTGCACTGCAGCTGAGCTCTCGTCTTCGCGCGCCAGTCAAGAGGGCCACTCCAACCGCTCGCTTAGCGTGCCGCAGCGACAATCTGGCATGCAGGAGAGGCCGTCCGGATGGACGATTCGCCCACGCGCGGCAAGTGCGGACGACGAGCTCGCTGGGCCAGCCACGTGCGAGCAAGGCCACCCTCGACGGGCGTGCAGCGCTGCGAGTCAGCGACTCTGGGCCAGCTTCTGGGGAGCAAAGCGATTGCGACGCAGAGACCTTGCCATCAGGCCAGATGATCCGAGGCCCAGCTCCCGAACCACGTTCGGGGGCGCCTCGAGAAGGGGCCGCGGCGAGTCGCGCCTCCGCGAGGCCAAATTTGGCGGACGCACCGTCTTCCTTCGGACGAGTCTCTGACCCGTGCAGATTGTGTCGCACTCTGTCGTCCCACACGCAGTGCAAGGCGAGCATCAGAGGGCACAAGGATGGCCGCAGCGGACGCGGGAGCAGGCTGGCTCTCGGCCGTGCTCGTGCGAGCGTGGGACCGGCCAGGCCGGCCGCATCACGTGCGCGCGCGGCGAGAATGTCTGGGACGTATAGGTAGCCCTGCTTGAAGTCGTGCGCGAGCGCGCGGACCAGTTCTAGCCCTTCTCACCCTCACCACCCTCTTCGCATCTGCACCTCTCTTCACCGGCTGCGCTCCTGAAGCTCCATGCTCCAGCCAGTCAAGCGGAGCTGAGCTGCCGGTGCGCGCCGCCGCCTCCTCCGGGCCCATGCGTTGCGCGCGAGCGTCGCTGTCCAGCTGCGCCTCGCTCGGCCTGCCTGGGCTCGCTGCGGCTGCCGGCAGCCGACGGGGCCCGCTGGCGCTGCGACTGGCCTCGTTGCTGCCGCTCACTGCAGGGCCGTCGCGATTGCCGCAGCCGCTGGCGCTGGCTGCTCGGCCCATCACCACTCGCCCGCCCGCCTTCTTCCATCCTTCGCGTCCCGACTTTCTTCCATCGCCGTCCAGCAGCGCCAGCAGCTCGGCTGCACCAGACGCTCAGCCTACGCATGAGCCTCACTCGCACACCTTCTATGTGCCGTCTCTGCCACAGCCGCCGCCGCTCGAGGCGCTCCCGCCACGGCATCACGACCTGCAGCACGCCGTCAATCTAGACGATGCCGACGCAGCGTGGGCCGCATGGCTCGCGCTTGAAGGCGAGACACTGGACGCCTCGCTTCTACGCTGCTTCTGGTGGCAGATCGCGTCCTACTCGCCCTACCTGCCGCCTGCTGCCGACTTTGACGAGCACTCTGCGCTGCGCCAAGATGCGCTGCGGCAGGCCGGCGAGGCGGTGCGCGCCGCACGGACCTTGCGACAGCGCCTCACAGACATCTGGACCGCGCTGCAGGACGGCGAGCGAGAGGCTCTTGGCCCGCTCGCGTCGCAGCGCTACGTCTACGCACATCTGCTGCCGTCGCTGCTGCTCGAAGAGATGCAGAGCGTGGCGCCGCTGGACACGCTCTACGACGTGCAAGAGGCCCAGCTGTGTGCTGCTCTCACGTGGCTACCCGAGCACAGCGCTTCTCTCGTTCGCCGAGCCGCAAGGCTTCTTGCTAGCAGTGGGCATCTCGCGCTGGCCGTCGAGGCGCTGCAGGACGCGCCAGCCGCTCTCGACGCCCCTCTCGGCGCTCACATCGTGTCCCTTGCCGCTTCCGACGAGAGCGCGAGGCAAGGCGCCACAGGCCTGCTGCAAGTCCTTTCGCAGCCGGGCGCTCATCCTGCTCGGCACGTCCTCACCCTCAACACGCTGGTGAGCCTGCTTGACGAGCGGGACGTCGAGGCGCTGCTGGCGGAGATGCAGAGCGACTCGTGGCTTGCGCCGTACGCGGCTCTACACCTGCTCAAGCGCTCCCATACGGTGCGAGCGGAGGTGCTGCAGTACGCGCAGAGCAAGCCCAGCCCAGCTACGGAAGGAAGAGACGAGGCCGCTCGAGGGCGCAGAAGCGCGCGTTCAGAAGCACTGGAGCTGCCCGACGAGCCCGAGATGCTCAAGAGCTTCAGGGACATCGATGCACGCTCGGCGCTGATGCATCAAGTCGCCGCGCAGCTCGCACAGGAAGCGCTCGAGACGTTGCGTGCGCCGCGCTCCGGCAAATCTCGTGCCGGCCAGGATGCCGAAACAGCGCGTCGGACGACGCCTAGAGCTCTGCGGCGAGCCATGCAACTGTGGCTGTCTGCTCCAGAGGCTGTACCTACGCCGCTGCAGGCTGACGAGATGCTGGTGTCATGCGTCTTCGAGCACTTAGACAGCGCTTCGCGAGCTGGTCCAGGCGTGCTTCGCGCGGCAGACAGTGCCATGCTGCCGCTCCTGCGCAGCCTCACCGCCGTGCTCTATCAGCGCGAGGCTCGCAGCACGCATGCACGCAGACGGACCTTCGACTTGCGCAAGCGCTCGACACTCTCAGCAGAGGAGCGCGCCCAGCAGCTCAAGCTCAAGCCTGCCTCACACGCGGCCCTGCTCGAGGCGCACCTCATGCTGGGCGATGAGGCGGGCGCCCTCGCTCTCTGGCGCGATCTCGTCGCTCGCGAGGTCTTTCCGGGCCAGGAGCGAGACGGCGCAGGACAGATCCGACACCGCACTCGCGGCGACGTCTTGCTTCGACGAGAGTACTACGACGTGATCCTCGACTCGTGCGTCGTGAGCGCAGCCTCAAGCAGCGGCAGCTACGTGTCTGGCGCTGCGATCGATCGTACGCCGAATGTCTCGCCAACGGAGGCCATGCTGCTCATGTCGCTGCGCATGGCCCACTCGCCTCTCGACCCGCCGCCTGACCACGTCATCCTGAAGGTCGTGCGCGGTCTGCTCCAGCATGACGGCCTGGCGGCGATGCATCTGCTGCAGCAGCTCGCCGATGCGCAGGTGCCGCTCACAGCCCGGCTTGCCACGGCCATCGTGCGCGCCTTCCACGACGCCGGAGCGGAGTGGGCCGATCAGACACTCTCACTCGCCGAGGCCTTCGTGTCGCAGTGGTGTCGCCGGGCAAACAAAGACAACGCCGGCAGAGTCACGCTGCGGAACGCGTTGACGGAAGGGCCGCGAGGCAGCATCCTTGAACAGGTACGAGAATGGCTTGCTATCGGCAAAACGAGACAGAGAGATGCACCGCCTCTGCTGCTCTTCGCCCTCGCTGTGAGCGCAGCCGGCCGGTCCTTCGTCGACTACACGCCTGAGCGGCGCGTGCGCACGTTTGACCTTTTCAACGCGATGCGCCTGCTCCTGCAAGCCCAGCTGCTCTCGCCAACGGCTCTGCAACGCACGCAGATCGGCCGCGACGGCTACCGGAGCTGGTTTGGCGACTTCGCTGCGTCGCAGGTTCGCTCTGGCGCGATCCAGTACCAGACGCTCTTGGCCGCCTACAACGGTGCGCTTCGGACCGTGCAGGCAGCGCCAGCGTACGAGACTGGGCATTCGGAGCTGCAGCTGGAGCCCTTGCGTCTCGAGCCGACACAGCTGCTCCCCGACGCGCTACACGCCTCACCTCGCAAGACTCAGTCGGCCGCACCCGACGAGGACGACTCGCTCTTCTCCACGGTGCGACGCGAGCTGGAAGACGTGCTCGGCGTGCCGGGCAATGCCCAGACATGGGCGCTGCGCATTACGGGCTACCTCATGCCCTACCAGCCGCCGCCCGCGCCAGGTGACCCGCATCCTCCGTCATGGGCCAGTCTCGAGATGTCGCGCGCCGAGGTGTTCGATGCCCCGCTCAGGCCTGAGCGCCTGAGCGCCGCACTGCAGCTCTTCCGTCTCGCCGGCGAGGCCAAGTACCACCGCGGCGGCGACTACGTGCCGCCTTCGCAGCGCGAGCGCATCGAGCCGCCGCGGCAGCAAGTGCGCATCAAGTCGCAAGACGCCGGCCGGCTCGTCGTGTGCCTTGCGCGCGCGTCGCGCTTCGAGGAGGCACAGGAGGTACTCGACGAGTTCTGGGCGCGCCATCTGGGCTCAAGCCACGGCACGCCCGGCGGCTGGACGGCGGGCATCATCGGCGCCGAGCTGGCGCTGCACGCCATGCAAGGGCGGGCCGAGACGCTCGAGCTCAAGCTGGCCGAGGCCCAGCGACTCGGCTACCGCCTCACGCCGCACTGGAAGCGCAACCTGCGCCTCTGGCTGCGGCAGAAGGGCGGGAGCGTCGCGGCGTTGGCGCCGGCGCAACAAGTATCACCAGCGGATCCGCCGCGCGAGGCTGCCGAGCTGCCCCTGCCGGAGCGGGAGGATGAGTGGCGCAGGCGCGTCTTCAGCGCCCTGGCTTCTGGACAGCCAGCTTGGTCGCGTGGGGGCGAGCTGGTCTGAGCAATGCAGCGCTTCGGACAACGTGAAGATGTGTGCAGTGGGCGGACGTGGATCATACAAGTACATGGTAACGAGGAAGCAGACCCGGGGTAAGAGACGGAGAGAGGATAGGAGGCAGGACCCGCTAGACGCCGGTGCGCGTCAGGATCTTGCGCGAGTTGGAGAGGCGCAGCACGTCGCGCCGCTCGAGGATGAAGATGGTGCGCTCGAGGGCGTGGGCGGTATAGCCCTGGCCGTCGACGAACTCGGCGCGCAGGCGGCCCATCGAGACGCTCCAGCCGATGGGCAGGCGCCGTCGGATTTCCTTCTCGAGCTTCTGCACCTCCTCCTGCAGCTCGCCGCGCGTCATGCCGTCGACGTTGCCCGCCTGCACGGCGTCCATGGTGGAGAACTTGAAGAGGCGCATCGCCTCGTCGACGTGCTCCTCGCGCACCGACGTGCTGAGCGTCACCTTTGCCAGGCTCTCCGACATGCGGATGATGGCCTCGAGCTGGCGCACCGTGATGGGGATGCTGCTGCGCTCGTCGTTGTCGCGCTCCACCTGCGCGATCTGCTTGCGCAGCGCGACAAAGTGCGAGCTGAGCTTCTCGCTCGCCTCGGGCGACAGCCGTGGGGCGCAGCGAGCCTTGCAGTAGGCCACGTAGCGCTTCATCTTCTCAATGTCGATCTCGCCCACGGCGCCGGCGTCCGTGTTTGGCCTGTTCATGTGAATGTTCATGACGTGCTTGGCGATCGTGCGGTCGCGCCCCTCGTCGTGCTCGTCCTTGACGATGAAGATCATGTCGAAGCGCGACAGAATCGTCGTCTGGAAGTCGATGTTCTCGCCGGGCGACTTCATGTCGTCGTAGCGGCCGAAGACGGGATTCGCGGCCGCCAGCACCGAGGTGCGCGAGTTGAGAATCGTCGTGATGCCCGCCTTGGCAATCGAGATCGTCTGCTGCTCCATCGCCTCGTGGATCGCCACGCGGTCCTCGTCCCGCATCTTGTCGAACTCGTCGATGCACACCACGCCGCCGTCGGCCAGTACCATCGCGCCGCCCTCGAGGTAGAACTCGCGCTGCGCAAAGGGTCAGCGCAGGCTGCGAGGCACGGGCGCACGCTGCCGCACTCACCGACTGCACGTCGCGCTGCACCGACGCTGTGAGACCCGCCGCACTGCTGCCCTTGCCACTGGTGTACACGGCGATGGGCGAGGCCTAACAAAAGCGTGTCAGAGAGGAGATCAAGCTGGCAGGCTCAGAGTGGCACGCACCTTCTCGACGAACTTGAGCAGCTGCGACTTTGCCGTGCCCGGGTCGCCGAGCAGCAGCACGTTGATGTCGCCGCGCAGCCGCATGCCGTCTGGAAGGATCTTCTTGCTGCCGCCGAAGAGGAGACATGTGATCGCCTTTTTGATGTCTGTCGGCGAGTCGTCAGCGCTAGAGCACGAGCAGCTCGAGCCTGAGACTCACCTTCGTTGCCAAAGATACTCGGCGCAATGCTCTTGGCAAACTTCTCGTACAGCTCCGGCGTGCGCGCAAAGCGCTGGAACTCATCCTCCTCTGCCGCGCTGAAGAGGCGAGCAGCGCCGCGGCCGCCTGCGCCCTCAGCGTCAATCTCGAGGCCCACGACGCGCAGGTAGGGCGTGCGCAGCGCGACGGCGCCCGAAGCCGAGCCCTTGCCCGACTTTTGGCTTGTGAACGTCGAGTACACGCCGGTCGCGATGATGCGGCTGCCCGGCACGACGCGGCCGCACAGCGCGCGGTCGGCGGAGAGGAGCATGTGGCGCGGCAGCTCGCCGACGGGCACCATGTCGGGCGCCTCCTGCAGCTTGATGGTCTGCGTGTCGACGAAGCGGCACTTGTCGTGCAGGATGACGAAGGGGTCGACGCCGGTGCAGCGCTGTCCTGCCTCGGCACTGTCGCAGTAGCGCGGCAGCGTGAAGCCGCCGAAGCCGGACTGGATCGGCAGGCCCTTGCTCGTGCGGCACTCGCGGCACATGACTTGCAGGTGCACAGCGCGCGACGCAAGTGTCGAGGCGCCGATGACAATGCCCGGGATGCGCACCAGGTGCGCAATCGAATCGGCGTGCAGGTCGCGCATGCCCAGCAGGTTGGCCGACGAGCGCAGCGTCACCTGGCAGTCGGGCGCCTCGGGCCGCGCGCCGTCGGCGATAGGGTACATGATGCCGCGTGCGGCTCTCCGGACAGCCGACTCGAACTGCGAGGCGGGATGTGAGCAGCAGCCCAGCGGGAATGAGCAGCTGCGGAGCAGTGCAGGCATCACAAGCAAGGCGGAGCAGCGCAGCCAGCCAGACGGCCAGCTCGCCAGGTGGCCAGCTAGGCAGACACGATTGAGCACTGCTCGGCCTGCATTGTCGCCGCGCACGGAGCCAGACAGCCCTGAGTACGCCTCGCTCCGCCATGCATCCGAGCCCGCACATGCCCGGCAACCCTCGCCCCACCTGGCCTCACCACACCTCGCACAGCACTCACCAGCGGCAGGATCTCGCCGGGCTCGGTGCGCATGAGCTGCGCCAGGCCGACGTTCCAGAGCTGCACGTGCTCGAGCATGACCTCGAGCACGTACTGCTTCGCGAGCAGGTTGGCGCGCAGGCGGTCGCGGTACACGTAGTCGGCGCCGAGGCGGAAGCGCTGCACAAAGTCGAACAGGCTCGCCTCGGTCTGCGCGGGCGCGTCGGGCGCGCGCGACGCATCGTTGCCCGAGAGCACCTGGGCGCTGTAGAGACGGCCGGTGTCGTAGCCGGACATGGTTGCGGGCTGGGTGGTGGTGTGTGAGGGAGAGCCCGTGCGGAGTGGCAGCGTCGGCAGCGAGCTTCGCGCCGGCCGAAAGCCGCCCTCGGCATCGCAGCAGCAGCGCAGCACCCTCCTCTCGTGCCTGCCTCGCAGCAGCTCGCCGCCGCCCTGCCGCGCCAACACCAAGACGCGTCCTGCGTGGACGCGTAAAGTGGCGCGTGTCTTACGTCAGCCAGCGCGAGGGCTGAACCCTCTCTCACGCGCGAGAGCATTCCTGCGGCTGGCACAGCCTCCACCCTGACCGCCCAGCGGGCCTGGAGCTCGAAGCGGCGCGATGACGTCGGGATCAGCGCCCGCCGCGCCTCGAGCTCGCTGCGCATCTAGCCAAGGCCAAGCCACTCGCGTGAGCCCGTTGCGGGGTGCATCGCGCTTGCCTCGCTCTCACCACCACCACCACCTCCCACATCACCTCACAGCCATGGCCTTCATCGCCAACAAGGTCGCACGCGGCTTCATCGAGCGCAACGCCAAGCAGTACGAGCCCGTCGACCCGTTCTACGAGTACTACGTCGATGCCTCGGGCAAGGAGAAGCGCAGAAAGGTGTGTGCTGCCGAGGTGGCACGTGTGGCGGACGCAGGCTGACGGTGGCCCTCTCGCTTGCAGCGCCCGCCGCCGCCTGGCCTGACAAAGGAGGAGGCGAAGCTGCTGCGCAAGATCTCGCGCCGCGCCCACTACCTCGACAAGGGCTTCCACATCTGCGGCTTCAAGTTCGGCTGGACAGTGAGTCAGGCGCGGCGAGAGAGACGCGGACATAGGGACGGCGTGTGAGGCATAGGATAGAAGTGGCGTTCGGAGCTGGCGCCGCACACATTTCCCTCATGTGTTGCTCGCTCAGCTTGGCGCAAGTCTGCGTGCGACCTGAGCACCTCTCGTGCCTCATGCTGACGCCCGCTGTCGCAGTTCATCATCGGCATCATCCCGGGCGCCGGTGACATCGCAAGTGCCGGCCTCAACTACACGCTCGTGCTGAAGCCCGCTAAGAAGGGCGTCGACTTGCCTGACTGGGTCGTGCACCGCATGGTCGTGAACAACGCAGTCAGCGCTGGCATTGGTGAGTGCTTGCGGGGGATCCGTGCTCTGAGAACGCTGGCTGACGCGGATGCTCGAACAGGCTTCGTGCCGCTTGTGGGTGACATTGCACTGGCCATCTGGCGTGCCAATTCGCGCAACGTGAGTCTGGCGATGCGTTGCCATTGCTTCGCCACAGCTGACGCATCTCTGGCCTCAGGCAAAGCTGCTGGAAGAGTTCCTGCGCGTCAAGGGCGAGGAGCACATTCTCGCCGGCCTGCCAGGCCTGACCACCGAGCAGCCGCTGCCCCCAGGTGCGCGCTCCAAGGATGGTGGCACTGCGCCGGAGCAGCACCCCGCGCAGGCATCGGCCAAGGAGTTCGTCAAGAGCAACAGCTCGAACAACCTACAGCCGGGCGGCGCTCAGGCGGCCGCACGCAAGTGAGCTGCCACCCGTCTCCCTGCCGACTGCTGCTCTCCGCATACCCGGGTCTTCGTCGCGTTGCCTCACCGCGGACTCTGCTCCTGAATCGCTCTGCGCTTGATAATCGTCGCTGCTCAATGATATACCTCTCCCTCGGCATCCGGTGTCAGAAGCGGCGCAGCGCAGCTCGAAGAGACAGTGCATTGATGTGGAAGACGGTGACGTGAGTGTGCACAGGGACGCTTGGATGATGGAAGGGGCGAGAAAATGAGAGGGCAGAATGGCGCAGATCTTGATGTCGTGAGGTCGTGAACGAGCGTCTAGGTGATCATCTGCAGCGCCTCGCCGGATGCTTCAAGGGCACGCCACTTCTTGCGTGCCGCAGCCATGTGGCGCCGCACGTCGTCGCGCGCCAGGAGCTGCGAGACCCAGCGGAGCAGCATGTCGTCGTCCGTGGGCAGGAACTCTGCGCCAAGCGAGCCGAGGATGACTTCAAAGCCTGCGGCCTTCGCCGCAAGCCGTCCGCGTTGAGCCCAGAGAATGGCGAGCGCGAAAGCAACCAGCACGTCGACGCCCTCGAGGAGCATGGCGTCCCAGAGGCGGATCTGTGTCTGGAAGGGCACGACGTTTGCGAAGAGCGTGATGTACCACTTGGTCGCGTACGCGCTGGTGCTGATGTCGTGGGCGCGGAAGTTGGCCATGAGGTCGGGCATGAAGAGCTCGCACAGCTGCTCCTGCACGTAGAAGTTCTCGACGAGCCCGGGGAAGCCGGGCGAGAAGGTGCGGTGCAGCGCATAGCGCGGCGTGTCGTGCAGCGCCACGAGAGAGGCATAGGCGCGCTCTGGTGGCAGATAGACGAGCAGAGTGGCGGCGATGGGCCCCATGCCCTGGCAGTAGGCGCAGTCGGGGCAGTGGAGGCTGAAGGCGTGCAGCACGTGGAAGAGGCTGCGCTGGCCTTGGCCGTAGCGCGTGTGGAAGAGGACGTGGCCGCTGATGGTGCGCGGCACGTCGAGGTCGATCTGCACGTCGTGCGGACTGGCGACGGCCGCGAGCGACTCGAAGCGCTTCTCGGCGCTGAGCTGTGCCTCGGATGACGGAATCGCGGCAGTCGGGTCGTTGACGGCGCCGAACGCCTCGATGTCCTGCCGAGTCTTGAGCGGCAGCATGGCCCACCATGCGGCGGCACGCCAGCGATCAGGCACGCCCTTGTACACGCGTCGTCGCAGCTTCTTGCTGCCCAACAAGCTGTTGGCCAGCGCATAGGAGCGCACATTCTGGCCCTCGTCGCGCGCATCAGGACGAAGCATAGCCTGCCACTTGCTGACGCGGCTCGTCTCGCGTACGCGCTGTGCAGACTCGCTCGAGGCGCGAGCGCGCCGGGCCGACTCGAGTTCCGCTGTGCTGCTGCCTTGCGAGCCGTCGAGAGAGGCGGACGAAGCATGGCCTACGACGCTCTTGGGCTCGTCGGCGCCCTTGCGACCCATGCTGCTGCGCCCGCGAGAGTGCTTGGGCCGCAGTGCAGGAAGAAGAACGCGCCCAGGTAGCTTGTCGTAGAGCCGCGAGTCGAGCACGGTGGTGCGAGGCGGACGCCCGGACGAGCTCGCGTCGCTTCCTCGTGAGAAGAAGCCGTACCTGAGGTAGTGTCAGCGCAGCGCAACCTCCAGCACGACATGCCGGCTTCGCTCCCGACTGCTACCACTCACCGATCGACCTCTCCAAGCATCGCCTCCTTTCCCGATCTGACTCTGTCCATCTCCTCCTCCTCCTCTGCCAGCGCGCCGGGAGACAAGGGCGTGCGCTGATGTCCCGAAAAGACGCTCTCGTCGCTCCTTGCGAGCGAGATGTTGCTGAAGCTGGTCGCCGAAGGAAACGTATGCTGCTCGTTCAGCACCGGCGTCCGATCCTTGACTGAGGAGGCCGGCGAGGCAGGAGTGAAGCCTACTTCAGGCGAAGGCGTGGTGAGCGGCGAGTGTACGAACTCGCGTGGGTGTGAAAGAGCGGGCGAGACGATGGAAAGACCGAAGGTCTGTATCGTCGCTGGCGAGAGCAGCGGCGAGACAGGCGGCGCCGAGAGGCGCTGCGAGCCGGGCGCGCGTTGCGTCCATGCTTCGTGGGGTGCGAGACGACCAGCGCGGCTGGGAGGAGCGCTGAGACTGCTGTAGGTGTGGTTGCTGCCGCGTGACGGCGGCGGCTCTTCCCAGGCATGGCCATTGCCGCGCTCGCGTGTCCACTCCTTGCCGTCGGCAATGCCGTCGTCTTCCACGCCCTGCCGCGCAAAGTGTGCGTAGGTGCGCCGCACGTAGGCGCCGTCTGCGTCCTGCGGCGGCACCCAGTTCTCGGTGTGCGACGAGGCTGCCGAGCCGGAGCGCGACGCTGCGACGAAGCCCACTCGGCTCGTGCTGCCGGCAGCAGAGGCGGCGAGCTGCAGCGGCCGCAGCTCGCGCGAAGGACGGGCGCCGTCGGGCGTGCTCGTCCGTGCTGCGCTGGCGGCGAGCGGCGCCGACATGGCGGCGAAGCTGCAGCTGCGGCGGCGGCGAGAGAGTGGCGGAGTGCTGCGATGAGCAGGACAGAGAGCGAGCGAGGGCTGCTGCTGTGGGTGTGCGGTGGATGAGGAGATGAAGCAAGCCATCACACGCGACACGGCGCGAACCCTGCCCTGGGACCGTGCATCAGCCAACGCCGAAGGGCGGCGCCGCGGCCGCACCCCACAGCCACACTTTGACGCCCTCGCGGCCTCTGCGCCCAGAGATGCCAGCACTCTCACTCGCATGCCGACCCGAACTTTCCGTCCATCTTGCCCTGCTGCCTCGTGCGGCGTGCAGTCGATACGCTGCCGTGTGCGATGCGCCTTGCGCTGCAGGGTGCCAAGGTGTGCATCTCGGGAGCGCCGCGGCGTGCAGCAGCTTCTTCCCACGCTGCGCCCTGCAGAGGAGCGCCACACGACGCCGCGTCCTCCTTCCCTTCAACCATCAGCAAGCAGCAGCGCACTCCTCAAGCCTAGCTCGAAGCACAGCGTCTGCGCCGAGCTCGCCGGCATGTTCCGCGCGTCCAGCAGCTGGCGGATACTGCCGCAGGCAGCACCGCAGCGTGGGTTTGCCAGCTCTGCGCGCCTCGCATCGGCCGCTTCGACGAGCGCCAATGCGGTTCCGCAGGGCTGGGAGGCTGTCATTGGCGTCGAAGTGCACGCACAGCTGCGCTCCAAGAACAAGCTCTTCAGCTGTGCGTGCTCAGGCGCTGACAGTCCACGCCGTCTGCTGACTTTGGGGGATTGCAGCGGCACCCCTGCCCACCCCTCTCTCCCCGCCCAACAGTCTTGTCTGTGGCTTCGACGCTGCGCTGCCCGGCTCCTTGCCTCGTCTCTCTGCCTCGGCGCTCGACAAGGCATTGCGCGCCTGCTTCGCCCTCGAGGCCGATGTACAGCTGCGCAGCACGTGGGATCGCAAGCACTACTTCTATCCGGACCTCACGAGCGGCTGGCAGATCACGCAGAAGTACGGTGAGCTTCAGCAACGCACGCGTGCAAGTCTTGCGCTTTGCTGAGACTGGGATTACAGCGCCGTTGGCGGTCAACGGCATCGTACGGCTACGTGCCGACGAGGGACAGTTAGGCGCAGGCGAGGAAGTGGACGTGCTGATTGAGCAGGTGCAGCTCGAGCAGGTGAGGCGCAGTAACAGGCTCAAGGCAGGCGCTGTGACGATAGCTGACTGACAGAGATCAGGACACGGCAAAGTCTCAGCACTACATCTCAGCCTCGTCTGGCGGCAACGAGACGCACATCGACCTGAACCGCGCCGGCTCTGCGCTCGTCGAGATCGTCAGCGGGCCTCAGCTGCGGTGTGTTACGTCTGAATTCACTGTCCAGCTGTCTTTAGCTGACTCCTTCTTCTCTGTGCAGCTCTGGCGAGCAAGCGGCAGCATACGTGCGCAAGATCCAAGAGCTGCTGCGGCGCGTGGGCGCCAGCGACGGCAATATGGACGAGGTGAGCTCTAACCGTGGTCTTGGGCTTCTGCGGCGCCCGCTGATGTGACATCCACTGCGAACAGGGCTCACTGCGCTGCGACGTCAATGTGTCTGTCCGACGACCCGACGAGCCGTTCGGCACGCGCTGCGAAGTCAAGAACTTGAACTCTGCGCGCTTCGTGGCTCTCGCCATCGGTCAGTCGTGCATCGCCGCAGCGAGCAGGCCAAGCCCAGGCGCTGACGTATGCTGCCACAGGCCACGAAGTCAGTCGTCAGATCGCGACTCTTGAGCGAGGCGAGCTCGTCGAGCAAGATACGCGCGGCTACGACGAAGCGACTGGCACGACGTTCCGCCTTCGCTCAAAGGCAGATGCACCAGACTATCGCTACATGCCCGACCCGAGTCTGCCGCCGCTCGTGCTGACGCAGGTTCGTCGTTGCTTGCGTTCAGAGACAGGCATGCGCTGACGGGTTCTCTGGCTCTGTGGCGCGCAGGAGACGCTGGACACAGCACGGGCAAGCCTGCCGGAGCTTCCTGATGCTCAGCGCGCACGTCTGCTCAGGACGTACCCCGATCTCTCGCTGCGCGACATCAATGTGCTCATGCGCATCGGCCTGGAGGACGATATTGCTGCGTCTGGCTCAGCAGTGACGGTTGCCGACTCGGTGGCCTACTTTGAGCAGGTCGCGTGCGGTCGGGATCCGCAGGTCGCGATGAACTGGTGCGCAGTCGGCGTGCTTGGCGCTGCCTGACGCTGCTGACCCATCATGCACTTCGCAGGATCATTCAGGACCTGCTCAAGGCGCTCAACCAGGCAGTGGTGTCGTTCAGCGCCAATCCTGTGGCGCCTGAGGCACTGGCAGAGCTCATCGATCTAGTCGCGGAGCGGCAAGTGACGGGTGAGTCGACAATTTCCTTGCGGCTGAACGTGCGTGCTGAGCAGATCTTGCAGGCACCACGGCTCGGCAACTACTGGCAGAGCTCGTCTGCGGCGAGCAAAAGCTCCCGACGGGCGCCACGCCCGTGCAACAGCACCTCTCCTCACGCGGCATGCTAGCGATGGGCGGCGGCAGTGCGGGCACCGAGGCACTCGATGCCCTACTTGACGAGGTAGTGCGCGATCTGCCGAGCGCAGTGGCAGCAGTACAGGCGGGCAAGACCAAGGTGCTCATGCGCCTTGTGGGCGAGGCGATGAAGCGCACACAAGGGAGGGCAGATGCGAAGGCTGTCAAGGAGGGACTGGAGAGGAGAGTGCTGGGCGGCAAGCAATAGACCTCTTCTCATCTACAGCGTCAGCGATTCCGCGGGCCTGGTCTCTGGAGCCTGACCGAGCGAGCGGTAATGTTCTCACTGCGCCCGATGCTTCATGAACAGCTCCCTCCTCGGCGACTAGCAAACACGCTGCCCTGAAGACGCCGCACGATTGCGAAGGACCTCCGTGCGCCTATATGAGGTGACAAGCGCCATCGTCTTGCATACCTCTCAGCAAAGGGTTTGTTAGGCGCAGCGCTAGAACTTCGAGTGCTCATTTTGCTGACATGAGAATGCGGTGCCCCGCACCCACTTGACTGTGCTCTCTCGTTGTGGGTGATTTGAAGAGTGAAGACTCGCCACCTCTTTCTCCTATGACAGCTCCCACAGGGCTGTACCAGGAGCGAGTCACCTAGCGATGAAGCTCGTCAGCCGTGCTTGTCCTTGTGCAGCCCCGGATTGTGGAATGATCCAAGTCAGAGCGTACGTCAGTCAAGAGCGGCAGAAGTGCTCCGCTGACGGCATCGCCGAGCTTGCCCTTCGACGTGGAGCTCAGCATCGCTGAGAGAGCAGAGGCACGCTTGATGAGTGTTGAGCTCGCTCCGCCCCGCAGCCTTGATGCTGGCGGCTGCTCGTGGCACAGAGGGACGAACGCTCACACCCCTCGTCAGCCGGCTCCACCCCTCGAGCGGGCCGCGTGTGGCGCCCGTTTTGGGCGCAGGCACGAGCGGAGCTACTCCTGCGTTGATCTTTACCTCCTGTCCGGCGCTGCGCCAGGCAGAGCAGGCCAGATTTGGGCATCGGCTGACTCCAGGCTTCCTTCTCGCTGGCTGTTGCTTCTCGAAGGTCTCGCTCTCTTGCATCAACCCCGCAGCCGCGGATGCGAAGCGAAGGAAGCGCCCTTCGCGTCACACGGCGACCCGGCTTCTATCAAGCAGAGTAGCGGCACCCCAGGGCAGCAGGGCGATCCTCTTCAGATGAAGCGCTGCAGCGGCTGAGGCACCGCACCGGTGCTGGTGCTGCGCCTCGGGTGCGAAGGCTTGTCTCAGATCTCGAGAGAGCGTGCCTAGCGGATCCGAAAACTCGGACCGCCGGTGCGGCACCCGCCGGAGCAGCGGAGACTTGCTGCGCCCACGGTATCGCCCCTCGCACACAATGCACGGCGGAGCTCCTAGAGGGCCGAAGTGCCCGCTGCGTCCCAACATTTCGCTTCAAGTCGGCTAGGCTCTGAACTCGCTCCTCGTCCTCGTTTTGAAGAGTGCTTGAAGCCGCGGCCGAGGAGTGCTGGAGACTACGTGCTGTGGGAAGCGGCGCGAGCTCGAGAGGCGCTGCCTGCGCAGCTCTGACGCGTTGCGAGCACGCACCATGCAGACGCGCGCGTCGCCTCAGAGGACCTCTGCGGCGCGCTTGTAGAGCTTTATCCCGAGGAGTGAGGCGATGCGCTGAGCAAAATGGATCGAAGGAGCTCACACAAACTCAGCAGAGCAGACCAGGGGGAGAAGAGCGCGGTACGAGGCCGCAGGGCCATGCGGAAGCATCCAAGAGCGCGGGCGGGAGCTGTCCTCCTCCGCGTCCGCAGGCTAACCCCTGACGCGCCGGCTCCCAGCAGGGCACGTGCAACGTCTCTCCCGTGCCCCTCTTCCTGCAATCAAGAGATCGACGCGGCGTGCGTGCCTTCCAGCGCTAGGCCATCCGCTGCTGGTGCTGAAATAAGCATCGTCATCGAGCGCCCGCCGCTGCCCCGTGGCGGCACTGTAGGCCAGCGGCCGGAATAGAGCGGCTCTATTAGAGCGTCACGGGCAGCCCGAAATAGAGATCTGGCAGAGCGGCAGGCGCAGAGAGGAGAGGGCGGAGGGCGCCGCTGCCGAGCGGCTCTTCTAGCTTGGCTTGCCGCAGGCGGGACCTCCTCTCTGCACTTGCCGCTCGCCCCTCCTGCGGGCCGCAGTGCGCACTCGAGGACGATGACGCGTACACCTTCTCCTCTCGCCCCGAAGTCTGCTCTTCCTCCTCACGCAGAGCTCAGTGCGATTGCGATACTCATGGCTTCGCGGACCAGAGATAGCGGGTGACTCTTGACCTGCTGAAGTCCTGCATCCGCGGCAGTCCTCAGGAGCGAAGGCGATGCGCTGGCCGCAATAGACACTGCGGATGCGCCACAATCGCTCCGCCCTGAATATGGCGCTCTCCAGCCGGGCACTGGACAAGTGTGCCATGACGCCCGAGAGCAGGCCGCCTCGGCGGCAACCTAGCGAGTTGAGGCCGCTGCGTCTGCGGTGCGGGCCCCACTCCGCAGCACTCGGTGAAGAGGGGAAGGCGGAGGGATAGGCGCGACGCGACGCGCACAACGCCCCGCAGCCCCCAGGTCGCTATCTCTCCCGCCGTCTCTGCGCCGTCACATCTTGCCTCATCACCCCCTCCCACCCCTCTCGTCTCTCAACATCCACCGCCTGACCACTACACGTCAAGACGACCATGCACCACATGTCGATGCAACAGCACCGCCAGCCCATCTTTGGCGCCCCTCGGCATGCGCCGCAAGACTTCGTGCCTACACACGCATCCGCTCGGCACGACGACGCCGCCAACGTGCGCTCGCTGGCGCACCATGAGCAGCCCGTCAGCCGCAGCATCAATACCGCAGATGCTTGGCGCTCACACAAGTCGGTCGAGCACGAGCAGCGGCACCGCAGCCACATGCACGGCCAGCTGTACGCCGCCAACATCCGCTCGCGCAGCGGCCGCGCCAAGTACATCGAGAGCATGAAGGAGGCAAAGGTGCGACTTGCCCACCATACAGAAGCTCGTCCAGCGCTGACCTCCACCATGCCACAGGCTAAGCGTAAGACGGCGCGCGCCCGCATCCCTCAAGCATGCAACGCCTGCCGCCTGCACAAGCGGCGCTGCTCGGGTCATTTGCCATGCGAGCTGTGCACGAAGCGAGGCCGCGCTACGTGGTGCACCTACGAGGATCCCGAGGACGAAGACGACGACGAGGAGGGAGCGGGCGAGATGGATTTCGAGCAAGTCTCCAGCCAGTTCATTCGCGATGCTCGTCGTCGATCATACAGCCCTGCCTCGCCGCCGAGCTCGCCGCTCGAGCCAGCCGATGACTCGCGCACTCGAGCGCCGCAGTACAGCCAGCGCAAGACGCACAAGCGTCGCGGCAGCGCCGGTAGCAGCGACGACAGTCTCGGCGGCTCGAGCGATGACGATGACTTTGCCTCGCACAAGCCAAACTCTGCGGGCTCAAGCGAGCCGTCGAGCAGCGCCATGTCACGTACCGTCACCCTCGATGACGCGGCAGTAGCCAACATCGTGCAGCCTTTGCGTCGCTCGCCTTCCGATGGACACGTCGGCGGCAGCGGCATGGCAGCGCTCTCCCTCTCCGCTACGCTCAACTACAACAAAGACAGCGGCGCTCGCGCCGGTCCACCCCGCATCCGAGCCGCAAGCTCAGGCGAGTCGGGCTTCTTCCGTGGTCCACTGGGCGACTCGCGTCCTCGTTTCCGCTTCGGCTTCCTCTCGGGCTCGAAGAGCCCTCAGTTTGAAGAACGTCTCGTCCTCGCCGGTCCGCCGCCGACTTCGCTTGGCCTCTCGAAGATCATCTGGACGTACGGACGCAAGCTGCCGACGCCTCTGCCGCTCACTTCGCCCGTGCCTACGACTCCACGCGGCCCGGGCCAGAGCTTTGCGTCGGCCCGCCACGACGCCGACAATCTCATGTCGCCGCCGCTTCCCGTCGATCTGGAGCTCGTGAGCTGCGTGCTCGTCGACTCATCTGGACGGCCTCGTCTCTCTCGCGCCGACCTCGAGGTCGGCTGGCCGGGCCTCTTCAATGCCCAGCAGGAGATGAGCCCTACTGAGGCAGCACGTCCGCTCACCGCACCTATCTCGAGCTCGCTGTCCACTTTCCTGCCTGCGGCGCAGGGTGCTCGACCCTCGTCGGCTGGCAAAGATCTTGCTGCTGAGCTCGAGGTGATCGAGGACGACGTTGCCATGTCAACGACTTCGCCATCACGGGCTCCTCGGTCTGCATCGATGGTCCGTTCCTCCAACCTGCAACTTTCGCCGCCTGTCTCGGCGCCGGTCCACACTGTGCATGGGGGCGGCGTCACACGCTTGCATCTTAACACGGCCACTCGTCCGTCGCTGGTGGCCAGTCCGGAGGAAGACATGGCCTGTCCGCCTCTCCCTTCAATGCTGCACCTCTCAAGCTCGCACGAACAAGCCATCGCTTCAGCACAGTACGACGTGCTGTGCCGCGGCCAAGGCCTGCCGTCTGCCTCTGCTGTCACCAAGACTTCGCCGAAGCACGAGACGATGCCTGCGCCGTCGCGCTTCAAGACCAAGGACTCGCGCCGCGCCAGTCACGGCAGACGCTCGCGCTCCTCGACGGTGGCGTATGTGCCTTCGCAGCCGGCGCTGCAAACGGCAATCCGCGGCACGCAGAATCAGCAGCAGCGACAGCACGAAGCGATGGCAGCGTGGCACGAGGAGCGCAGCGCCCACAAGTCCAGCTCGGCCACGCGTCTTCGCAACCACTCGCAGCCCGTCCGGCCAAGCGAGACGTTCTCCATGCTACCTGCGCAGCAGCATGAGCTGACATCGACGGTGCACGAGGCAACGCTTTCACCGCGCAAGCGCAAGCTCGACAGCAGCGCTTCAGATGGCGCCCATCATTCGCCGACGAAGCCACACGCCGGCTGCGGTAGTCCTTCGTCGCGCCAGCCAACGAGTGTCTTCACGCCGCTGCCTGGCTCCCGCGACGGCGCGGCCGCTGGCATGGTGCAGTTTGCGCCTACGGCGCCGCACCATGCGGGACAGCGGCAGCACGATGGCTCGGTGCACGAGAGTGCCGGCACTCACTGAACCAAGCTCCGCTCTCTTCTCTCTTCTCCCTGGAACCCTTCCCTATTTCGCACCTCGCCTTTCGGAAGGAACCGTCTCTCTGTCGTCGCTCCGTCTATCTCTCGACGTCATCCTTCTCTCGGGCACATACCCTTCCCGGGGCGCTTCTGTCCGCCTCGCAGCTTGTACCTCGGTCTCATTCCGCGACGTGTCAAAGACTTGATCTCATTTGGCTGCCGTGATTGTGAATGTGTGTGCTGTTCGTGCGTGCTCGTCGTTCTTGTTTCCCGCGCGGCATGGCTGTCTCTACAGCTCGATGTGCTTAGCCGACTCTTTCAGCCTCTCCTCTCTGTCCTTCTCCTCCGTGTCCTCGTCATCATCGGTGATGACGCCCCACGTTCCCTCTGCCATGCCTCCACTCAGATCCTCCTGCGCCTCCGCGATCTCCTCGGCGTCTTCTCCGCCCATGTCAAATGCCGCCGCCACGGCCGCCGCCGTACTGGCCGCCGCCTTGAGCACGTCCGTGACGCGCGTGACTGCCGGCGTGGCAGCCTCTGCGGCGCTTGAGAGGCTGGCGCTGGCGCTTTCTGATGCTGCCTTGGCACTGGAGGCCAGACTGGCAGTGGCGCTGGTGGCCGCGTCCTTTGCTGTAGAAGCCGCGGCGGCTGCCATGCTCTTGCTGGCAGCTAGACTTGCGCTCGCGCTCGAGGCGACATCCTTTGCCGTAGCCGCTGCTGCCGCCGCCAAGCTCTTGCTGGCGCTGATCGACGACTCCTTGGCTGAAGCCTTCGCAGCAGACGCAGCATCTTGCGCGAGTTGATACTTCTCCTTCACGTCTCCCGGAGAGCGGCCAAGGGAGATGAAGCGCCAGAAGAACGAGAGGATGCCGACGCCTCTGTCCCACACGCGCACCTTGAGGATGTAGGCGATGCACAGCACGAAGAAGAGCGCCGCGCCGGCCAGGATGGCGGCGTCGATCAAGTCGGCGCGCTCCATGCTGCGGATCAACGTGCCGCTGTTGCGCAGCATGTCGCCGAAGGAAGTGTACTCTGTGGAGATGCCTTGCATGGCGGAAGAGGACTCGTCGAGAAGTGCGGAAGAGTAGGAAGACTTCTCGAGCTCGGCGGACATGGAGGCGACGGTGCGCTGCAAGGCGGTGGTGACGTCTGAAGAGGCAGTTGCAAGCTTGTCATCGCCCTTGACTGCGCTCTTGGATGAGCTTGAGCTGCAGCCATGTAAGTGAGAGCGAGATGGAGAGGCACAGAAGAGAGGGACTCACTCGAGACCTAGCTCGCGCCGCGCTGCAGTGGCGCCTTCGCTGGCCACGGCTCGTCGGCCAGCGAGGAGAGCCGTGCGGAACTCGCCGCGCAGTCTGCAGTCAGAGAGAGAAGGCTTGAGCATGCTGTGCCCCTCGCATGCACCACTGCTTGGCCCACTCACGCCTCGACGTCCTTGGCCAGTCGCTGCACCTGCTGCGTCCACTCGCGCTGCTGCTCCGCGCTGCCCACGGCATCGGGCAGCTCGAGCACGAGCTCCTTTGCCTGAGCATCAGCGCGTGCCAGCTCGGCACGCACGTCGGCCTCGGCGCGCCGCAGGGCGTCGGCGGAAGGTGCGCTGGAGAGGGCGGGCAGCTGGTGCGTGCGCACGTCGGCGAGCTGGCGCGAGAGCGCGTCGAGTGCAGCGGCGAGAGTGGCCATGCTGGGAGAGGGGTGAAGGGACAGTGCGCAGTGCTGCGAGTGAGGCGCAGAGGGGCGAGGCTGAGGCGGTGGTGGTGCAGAGCCAAGAGGTCGTGCAGCGAGCAGCTCGGAAGAAGAGGCCCGCTCGCTGTGTGTGCCTTGCCTCTCTCCTCGCTGTCCAGTGTGGAGGCCAGCTTCGCTCAGGGTTCGCGCTCCCACGCTGTCCGAGCGCGTCATGCCGAGAGCCAAACGCGTCCAAAGGCGGTGACAGTGACGCGCTTGTGCTTCTCGCTCCCCCCATCCCCGCATCTGCCGCTCGGCGCTTGCACCGCCCACTGCGTCACCGCCGAGCCGAGCACCGCCGCCTCTGCGCTGCTCCCGCACAGACTTCGGCAACGGCTCGTCGGCCTCGCGCCTCTTGCCCAGCGCTGCAGCGACCGAGCTGCCCCGAGCGACTCCTGCTGCTGCCGCTGCCGCGAGCCACGCGCTCCGTTCCCCTCGCACTCTGGCAGCCATGGGCGACGCCGCAGCCAGCAGCTCGCAGCCAGCGCAGGCCGCCGCGGCTGCTTCTGCATCGTCGTCCGCCGCCTCGCGTTCGCTTCTCTCCGCCCTGCAAGCCAGTCTCGCACCTCTGCTCTCCTCGCCCCGGCTTCCACGCGGCGCACTCCGGCTGCACGCTCTCTTCTCCGCACCTCGTCCCGCGCTCGAGCTCTTTCCCTTCGCGCACGTCGGCGGCAGCGGCTCAGCAGGCGTCGGCGCACCACTCGAAGCGCGCGTGGAGCATGTGTTCTGCACGGCTGCGTGGAGCGACGAGGAAGAGGATGAGCTAGCGCAGGAAGCGCAGCCGAGCGGTGAGAGTCAGGCTGCGTCGCTGGCGTCGCAGGCCACTACAAGCGACGTCGGGTCCGCCTCGACGACAGCAGCCGGTCCAGGAGGACGCACCTCGCGGCTCATCTACGCGCTCGAATGCTTCCTCTACACGATCCCCTCCACGCATGCGGCGATCCTCTACGTCTCCAAGCTCGACTCTTCGGGCTGGGCACCGGCCGTGGTGCCGGCTGCCGTCGTGCCTTTCCTGCCTTCGGCGAGCGAGGGCGGCAGTGCGGCGGGCTGCTCTCTGGTGCGCGCCATCACGATTGGCTTTCTGCGGCACTTCGCCTCGCTGGAGCACTGGGCCTCGGCACCAACGCCAGTGGAGCACTGCAGTATCCACGTGCTGGCGCGTGCTCAGCCGGCCTATCTCTTCCCCTCGAGTCCGGACAATCCGAGCAAGCACGTCCTCTCGGATGGCAAGCTGATTGCCTGGTGGCGAGGCGTGCTGAGCGACGTGGCGAAGGAGCAGAGCAACGCTGAGGGGAGGAACTTCTACATTGTGCCGGGGTACGATGAACGCATGTGAGTTTGACGAGGGCTCGTGTGCTATGCAACAGCTCAAGGCTGATCAAGTTGGTGCAATCAGGTCGACAGAGCTTCTGCCACTTCCTCCGCGAGAGGGCGACTCTGCTTTGGCACGTGCTCGATGGGTCTACGGCCATCCGTACTCCCGAGTCTCCTCCAGTGCGCCTCCTCTGCCGCTTCACCGACCTCACCGCACACCTGCCGGTGTCGAATACTCCACAAGCAGCGCCTCAGACGCAGCAGCAGCAGCAGCAGGCGCAATCGCCACGCTCATGCCTCACTTCCCGGACGATCCGAAGAGCCGCTTCATCGCCGAGATCGCTCGTGATGCTCATGAACTGCACGCTCCCGGCACACAGAGCACGAGTGTCGAGAGTCAGAACGAGCCCGACGCCAAGCGACAGCGACTCAATGTTGCTGAGCCGACGTCTGCGGCCTCCCAACAGTCGTTCGACGACGCTTCACAAGCCACAACCACCAGCGTCGGCAGTAGCCAGAGCGCTCGCCTCTCCTCGAGCGTGCGCAAGCTGCAGCGTGAGCGCGCAGCGCTCGATGCGGTCTCGCCCGATGAGTTCTGGGAGCGCATGGGCTTCCGCCAGGAGTGTTGCGCGGGCAATGCGGTAGGGGTGTTTGTGTGCATCTACGACCAGGTCGCTGCTGCCAGCGTTGGGGCGGCTTGCACTGCGGAACCGACGGTGGACATGGGGAGCGCAGGCAGTTCCACGAGCACGACAAGCTCGGCAGCTCAGCGCATGGCTCTGGCGCATACCACACTGCCCGACCTCATTCGCCGACACATGATGCGCGACGCATGCGACTGGTCCTCTCGGTCCGCAGCCGCAACGCTCACCCGTCAATGGAACGAAGGTGTCCGGCGCGCCATCCTGCGCAAGGGCGGCTTGAGCGCTGTGGAGGCCGAGCAGGCAGATGAGAGGCTGGGAGAAGACGTTGTCTGGACAGATGTAAGGGTGCTAGGCTCGAGCAAAGAGACGAGGGAGCAGGCGAGGAGGAAGTGGGAGGAGGCCGGCAAACCGATGCCGCAGAGTACGAGCAATGAGCCGCCGAAGGTCGTCAATGCGCTCAGCGTCAAGCGCAAGAAGAGGCCGGCGCCGGCGCCGTGAGCCCACTCGGACAGCTTCATCATCATCGACACGGCAACGAGAGAGGATGAGGGGTATATCATTATTGCGACACCGCTCTCATGCGGCGTCTGCCGGCGTATTTATGTATCGGGAAGCATCGACCGAGGGGCAAGTCACCATCTACCTTACACTTCCCTTCTCAATCAGAGTCACTCAGCACGATAGCCTGCGAGACTCGAGCGCGTGGCTTCTTTGCGCGCTTGCCTTGCGCCGGTGTCGCGGCGAGGGGCGTGTTGACGGCACGGGTTGAAGCGGCGGCGACGAGCTCGAACTCGGACGACGAAGTGCCGCTCTCCGCTTCTGCCATTGCGCGCGCTGAAGGACGAGTCGAAGCCTCTTGAGGCGAAAGAGGAGCGTCTCGCTCTGCGCGATCTGCGCGAGAGGCACGAGCCGATTGCTGTGCGGCATCCTTGCGCGGCGACTTCCTCGGCGGTGGCAATGCGCGCCCGTCCTGCCGTGCTGCGCTAGCGCTCGTTTTCGCAGTCGTTGTCGAGCGTGCCTGTGCGCGCGAAGAGCCAGCCGCATGGAGCGTGCCGAGACTGGGGAAGCTCATGTCTGAATCTGAGTCTGAGTTGGACGAGGCGAGAGGCCGAGGCTGAGCCCGCATCGCTGGCGCAGTGACTCGTGCAGAGGCACGCGGAGTGGCGCCCGACGCAGACGCAGCTGCAGACGTAGAGGTCGTCGTGCTCGATGCCGTGCCAGGCCAGCCAGAGCGCCTGAGCAATGCGTCCTCGAGTCGCTGAGATGCAGGAGAGGGCGAGCGTGCCCATGCCTCAGCGAGCGAGTCGCTCTCTGACTGTCCGGCCTGCTCGTCGGAAGATGCGACGCGTGAGGGCGATGAGCGGCGAAGCGCGGTTGAGCTGCTTAGCGCCGGCGTCGCGGCGGCCAGCTGCGGTTCATCGTCGTCAAATGAGGAGGAGGAGAGAAGAGCGGGAGCTCGCGCAGACGGTCCTGCCTTGGAAGCCTGCGCAGCGACGCTTCCCGTGCGCCGCGAAGGTGGCGTCCTCGGTCGTCTAGCGCCGGCACTGCTGCCGCTCGTCTTGCCAGCAGCATCCGTTGCAGCTGCACCTTTGTGCGGCCTCAAGAACGCCTCCAAGGTGCTTTGCGACTTTGCCCTGCCATTTTGTCGTTCCCTCAGTGCCTTTCGCCGTTCAGCATCCGCCTTGTCCTGTTCTTTCTCTGCTCGCTTGCGCTCGAATGTCTTGAGTTGCGCACGAGTCTCAGTCGACGAGCAGAGCAACTCGCGAGGAATCCACAGACGCAACGTCGCATCGTGATCGACTGCTTTCGGCACCCTTCTCTGGCCTTGCTCCGACTCCGAATCGTCGTCGTCCTCGAACATCGCACGTTCTGCTTCTGCAGCTTTGCGTGCAGCAAGTGCAGCGCGCCATGCGTCTTCGGAGTCGGAGATGGCGCGACGAGCATGCGAGACGAAGGCTGAGACGTCCCATTCTACGCGCACCTCGAGACCGGACGCTCCTTGACGTGTGGAATGGAGATCGACGAGAGTTGCGCGTGGCTTCTGGGCAGACGAAAGAGATGCATCTTGCTCATGCGTCTCCTCCTGCTCTTGCTCTGCAGCTGCAGGCTCGCTGGACGAGCCGCCGCCAGCGCCGGAGAGAGAAGCAGAGGCGAAGAAGTCGGAAATGCGAGTAGCGGTGGGCGAGTCATGCAGTGCTCTGCGCCGGCTAGGCTTTGCTGGCGCTCGAGGTCGTGACGACGAGGTCGCGGCTCTCGGTGCTGCAACAGTTGTCTCGTCGTGCTCCAGCTGGCGCACAATGATGCCCTCCCAAATCAAGCTGCGACAGCGGCGAAGACACGCTTCCTCTCCCCATCCCAGCGAGACTCGGATGGCGCGCAGTAGCGCATGCAGATCCACCGGCCCAAGATTGACGGGCTCGGCTGCCTCCTCTGCCGTCGAGACGAGCGGGTAGACATAGCTGCTGAGCACCGCCAGTGCATGCGGCGTGCTCAGGAACGCTTGTATAGCTTGTGACGCCGCGAGCTTGACCTGTCGAGTGCTGAGAAAGCCAGATGCGTTTGAGCGCAGCTCGGCGCGCAAATCCTCGAGCCACTCGGTGCGAAAGGCGGGCCAGGAGGAATGCATAGTGGGTGATGGCAGACCGGCTGAGGATGCGTAGCTGCTGCGTGAAGGGGCTGTACTGAAGCGCTTGAAGCCGGCCACGAGACGAGCGCCAAAGCCGGCTGCTGCTAGCCCGATCGCGATCTGGGTCTCTCTCGTCAGCCGCAAGGCTTGCGCTCTGCGCAGCGGGCAGCAACTCACTCGAACACCGCACCGCACCAATCCCTGCGCATCATAATCGCCTCCCGACATGAGTGCCACAAGAATCAAGCCTTCGCGGTCGAGCTTGAAGTCGGCCAATGAGAGCTGAGAGGAGCGGAAGATGGCCACGGTTGCTTGACCACCTGACTTCTGCTTCCGCGGTGAACTGGGCGGCGCTGTTGTGTCTTTGCGTGGAGAAGAAGGACGAGAGGAGGAATCGCTGCCGCCGGATGGAGCTGAGGAGATGGCGGAGCTCCAGCTGAGGCGAGCGCGCGTCAGCTCCAAGCCTCGCGTTCCCCACGCCCCCCCTCACTCACTTGCGCACGAGCAGTCTCGCGCCAAACAGCAGCGCATCCACATCATCGCTCATCACGCCCTGCACCGAGCCTCTCTGGTTCAAGACCGCCAATTCCGCCTCTGCCTCTCCCGGTGCCTCTCTCCACTGCATGCCCAGCGCCTCCAGCAGCTCCTTGAGCGCCTTTGTCTCGCCCCAGTCATTGACTCTGCGGATCGAGCCGCGCTTGGCGCGTGGACGGAGGGGTCCATCAAAGATGAAGAGCGGGATGAGATGCGGCTGGGAGAGAAGTCGGAGCAGACGAAAGAGCAGAAGCCGCAGAGAGGCGTTGGCGCCGCCAGTAGAAGCGCGCGCGTGGTAGATCCAGGCAGAGACGTCGATGCCGAGCACGAAGGGCGGAGGCGAGGAAGAGTCGGGGCGGGATGAGGTAGCAGTGGCGTGATAGGGGTCGAAGAGACTGGGTCCGCTTGGACCAGCAGCGTCATCCCGCGGAGCAGCTTCGGCGCCGGCACCGAAGCGCTGTGGAAGCGCAGCGAGCGGCAGCACCTCTGTCGGCGCCAGAAGCGGCCAGAGACCGGGCACTCCCATGGTTGCTGAGCCAACACTGCCCCAGTGTGCTTAGTGTGCGAGCATCGCTGCGCGCATGTGAAGACAGACGAGCCAGGCCTAAGATGCGGGGATGGTGAGAGTGAGAAAGCGAGCAACACGGCGCGCCTCATCAGCAGCGCGCAGCCTCCACACAAACATGCGGCGCGCCGCCTGGGAACACGCAGCAGCCCAAGTGCCGCGCGCGCCCGCGCACGTGGCCAGCCGCTTGCCTCTCAGCCACGACCTTCTCTGCAAGCTGCCAGCACAAGTCTCGATCCTGGCTCCCGTTCGCGTTGTATAGACCAGCTGTGTGGCATCAGGACGGGTCTTCAACAGCGAGATGGCGCCTCACTCGGCTGCACCGTTGGCGCACGCGCACAAGCTCTGCTCGCACGACGAGCTGCCGGCCTGGGCACACGACAATGCCTTCATCCGCACCGGCTATCGGCGGCCAGGCGGCACTGCCGCTGTGCATGCAGGCCAGTCCAGCGATACGGCTACTGCGTCGGCAGTGGATGGAGATGCTGGCGAGACGCGCATCCGCACTCGCAGCGCAGCACGCGCGGCGGCGGCCAAGACACAGCCAGAGAAGCCGCCAGCAGAGCTGTACGAGCACGACTCGGTCGCCAAGTGTGTGCAGAGCATCTACAGCTACTGGCACAACGAGACCGGTGCGTCAATCTGCAGGCAGCTTCGCTTCGCACACTGAGCCCTGCAGCACAGTCAACATCCACACGCATCTCTGGGGCGCTGCCGTGGCCTTCTCCGCCCTGCTGCTCTCGCTTCTCTGCGCCGCCGAGCTCCTGCCAGCCTCGGTCTTGATCCATCCCATTCTTTCGGCGCACGCGCCGCGCACCGGCTCGCTGCTGGCGTCCAGCGTACGCCTCTCGCCCGTGCCAGCCGACAACACGTGGATCGACGGCCTGGCCTTTGCGACGTTTGGCATTGCGGCTGTCATTTGCCTTGGCTGCTCGGCTACTTTTCATACGCTCCACGCTCATTCAGAACAAGTGAGGGCTGACTGATGATCCTCTAGGTCAAGGCCAGATGCCAGCCCACAGGTCCGTCGCTCACCACGTCATGTAGGTCTCGCAACAGTGCAACTCTCTAGATTAGTGAGTCGCGAGATACAGCTGTGTCCCGACGCGCACTGACGCATTCATTCCGCAGCATCGGGATCGGTACGTGCGCCCGATGCCCTTGTCTGGCTTGCCGCCGCTGACACGTGCCTCTCTGCTTCAGTCGTCATGATCTGGGGGTGTGTGCTGCAAGGTGACCTGCACGTCGCCATGCTGACTCGAGCCTTCCATCAGCTCCTTCATGTGCGTTGAGTCGATATCGCGAGCAGCGACACTTGTTGATCTCTGCGCCTCCATCTAGTCCTGCTCTCCACTATGGCTTCATCTGTCATCCGCATCTGCAGGCAGCGTACGCCGCCTTTATCACCGTCCTCTCCGTCATGGCCATGTACACGGTCGTCACGCCCAAGTACCGCACGCCAGCCTACCGTCCAACGCGCACCGCCGTCTTCGTCAGCCTCGGCCTGAGCGCCGTGGTGCCAGTTGGGCACGGCTTGCACCTGTATGGGGTGCGTGGCTAGCAGCGATCCTGTACTTGCTCTCTCGCTGATCGCTGCCTGCGCAGTTCGACCTCTTGGCCCGCACGATGGGCCTGCACTGGCTGATGTGCGTGCTGCCTTGCTGCTACGACACTCGAGCTGACCGCCTCTGCTCAGCGCAAGCGGCGCCTTCTACATCGTCGGCGCGCTCCTGTACGCCTGCCGCGTGCCCGAGCGCTTCGCGCCCGGCCGCTTCGACTACCTCGGCGCCTCGCACCAGATCTTCCACGTCTTCATCCTCCTCGCCGCGCTGGCGCACTTCGTGTGCCTGCGGCGCGCCCACGACTTCTGGAAGTCGGCCACGCTGCCCGGCCTCGAGCGCTCGAGCCAGCAGGCCGTCTGCTATGCCCTCGACCACTTTGCCGACAAGGTCTTTGAGCGGCTCTGACGATGACAATGAAATCCGCAGGCGTAGAACTACATGGGCAGGCGCGACACGTCGACGGGAAGATAAGCAGGCAGGGCAGAGGCACAGAGAGGAACGGATCAAGCGGCAGCAGCCCGTCGCGAGCGTGTCGCGCCGGCGGTCTTGGGCCGCTTCGACGGCTGCTCAATCTCAGCATCGCCGTCGTCGTCTGAGGCAGAGGCAGCAGACGAGAGCGAGCCCTCGCGGTTCTCCTTGGCCGCCGCAGCCTTGCGCTGGCGCTTGAGCTCGTTGCGCTTGCGCACGGCGTCGCGCTTCTGCTGCTTGGCGCGCGCGCCGCGGCCCTCGGCGGCCTCGCCGTCCGTGTCGGGCTCCTCTTCCTCCTCGGAGCTGAGCGCCGACGCGGCATCCTCGTCGTCCGAGGCATCGCTGTTGCCTGCCTCGTCCTCGTCGTCGGAGGCGGCGTCTGCCTTGCGCTTGCGCTTGGGAGCGGACGCCTTGCTGACCCGTGCCTTCGGCGCCGCCTTGGGCCGGGCCACACGCTCCTTTGCACCTGCGGCGCGGCGCTGGAAGGAGACGGTCAGCATCAGTGCATGCTTCGCGCACGCGCGCCGAGTCCGCTCACCTTCGCTCCCGGCTGATGATTCTTGCGCTCTGTCAGCGCCAGAACGGTCGCCTCTGGAATGAAGACGCGCTCGTACACCTGCGTGAGGACCGTGCGTCAGCTTGCGTCGCCGACGACGGCGCCGACCAGCTCACCTCTTTCTGCACCTCGCGGCTGGGCAGCGGCCGGAAGATGTCGGTGGGCAGGCGGGTCTTGCCCGGGTAGGTCTGGATCGTCCAGTTCTGGCTCGCGGCACGCAGCCGGATGTACAGCTGCGCGAGCTCGCTGAGCGTGTAGAGGTTGTCCGAGTGGGCCGACGTCTCGACATCGCGCACGCCCTTGAGCTTCGTGGCGAGGTGGTAGAGCAGGCCGACGTTCTCGGCATTGGCGAGAGCATCGAGATAGAAGTCGATGTACTTGCCCGAGTCCGACAGCTCCTCGACCGAGTCGCGTCCAAAGTCCGGGTGGTGCGCCAGCAGATGCAGGAAGCGCGTAAAGGGCAGCTCGAACAGCTTCATGCGCCACTCGCCGGGCATGTTGCGGTACATCGACTGCGCGTAGTTGACGACCATCTGGCGGTTCTCCTCATCCGGATCGTAGGCTGCGAGGAAGGGCGCGGCGTTGAAGCGCGGCGGCAGCACACGCTTGCGCAGGAAGAGGAGCAGCTTGTAGAGGAAAAGGGTGCGCACGTTGGAGCACTCGTCCTGCACCATTAGCGCGAGACTGACAAACTCGTGCTTGATGCACTGCTCCAGCTTGTCGACGCGTGCCATCTTGAGGATGCAGATGCCGGCCTGCAGGCGCATGCGGCTCTTCGACGCCGGCGACGCACCGAGTGGCCGAGGCTCGCCGGACGTCAGCGTCGCGAAGAGCAGGCGAAAGACTGGCACAGCGACGTCCGTCACGCCGTCGGCGCTGGCGTACGCCATGCAACGCTTCGTGAGCAGGTCGAGGCTGAGGAGCTTGGAGCGCAGGCTCGTGCTCATGTCGTCGTCCTCCACCCACGAAGGCGCATCGTCTTCCTCTTCCGCGGCCACTGTCTCGTCGGCCGGCCAGGGCTTCTGCAGAATGCCCGTCAGGAGGTGGCGCACGATCGCATCGCCAACGTCGGCAGCCGCCTCCGGCGCATGTTTGACGATCTGGCCGAGTGCAGCGAGGTCGGCCACGAGGCGCTCGCCACTCGACGTGGGCAGCCGCTTCGTGAGCTCCTCGGCCAGCTGCTCGGCAGCGGTATGGGCCAGCTGCGCACCGCGCGCGTCGAGGGCAGTGGCGCCGGCCTTCTTGCCTTTGCTGAGAACGGAGATGAGGCGGCCCGCATACTTGGCCTCGTGCATCGTGCCCAAGCGGACGTAGCGCGAGAAGCGCTCGATGGCCTTGCGCTCCACCGGCATGGCGGCCGGCTCGTTGAGCGCGACCGCTGCGAGCGCGCGCAGGCTCTCCTTGGCGAGCGTGTGGTTCGACTCGGCACTGAGCGCCTTGACGAGCTCGGGCACGTGCGACGTCAGGATCTTGGGGCAGTTCTTCGCCACGGCACGCAGCAGGAACTCCGAGTCGCGGCGAGCAGCACTGAGCTCCGCCTCGCGAGCGCTTGTCGCCAGGATCGTGCCCTGCGTCTCGTCGCCGACGTCTCCAGCAGGCGTCATGCCAACGTCGCCGACGTCCTTACTGTCCTGCAGCTTACGGATGAGCGTCGGAATCGTCGAGCGGTTGACGATGAAGAGGCAGGCTGCGCGCAGCAGGTGCTCCATCGTGTCCGCGACGCCGGCGTCCTTGTCGCGGATGCGCTGCAGCACGTCGGTCCGCGCCTTGATCAGGCCCTTGAGGTCCGTCGCCTCGTCGAAGCACATGCGCAGCAGCTTGTAGGCGCGGTTGTCGTTCATCTTCGCGAACGCGTACAGGTCGACCTTGGTCTTCTGCGCATCGGCGAGCTGGCTCGCCATCTGATTGATCGAGTCAGTCAACTTGCGCTTCACCAAGTCCTCGTCATGGTCGATGATGCCGCCATTGTACGCCTCGCACGCCTGCACGAAGGCGACAAACTTCGTGCGCGCCTTCTGCAGGTTCGTCAGGCGAAGCAGCGCCTTGCGAGCCGAGTCGTCGAGCTGCGACATGACCAGCAGCAGGCGCCCGGCCCACTCGTCCTCGGACGCGCCCACGGTAAGGCGCAGGAAGTGGCGGTCCAGTGCCGCAGCGACGTGCTGCATGATGTCCGGGTCCTTGCAATAGATGGCCTTGAGCACCTCGCGCGGGATCCACGAGAATTGCGAAGTGGCCTTCGGGTCGCGGCTGATCAGCTCGCCGCGCGCGAGCTTGTAGACGCGGCCGAGCGTGTCGAATGCCTGCGCGCGCACACCTGCCTTGCGGTCCTTGCAGCGCACCGCCGTCTCCTCCCAGACTCGCTTCTCGACGTGGTGCAGCGCCGTCTCGTAGTCCAGCGTGCCGAGCGTGTGCACCATGGCGGCGCGCACCTTGTCGTCTGGATCTCCGAGCTTCGCGAACACGACCTGATTGAGCTCCTCGCGCTGCTCGGGCCGCAGCACAGTGAGCAGCGGCCCGGCAGCCTCTGCCCACGAGATGCGAATCGTCGTGTGCCGGTCGTTGGCGCGGCCGAGCCACTCGCGCCACGTCGAGCTGTACTTGCGTGCCAGGTCGCTGCCCGTCTTCTCGGCAAACATCTGGCCGAGCGTCTTGGTGGCGATCTGGCGCACCATGAGATCTTCTGTGCGCAGCTCCTCCTCGAGCGCCGGTACCACGTTGAGCAGCAGTGCTGGCACCGCGCGGTTGATCTGGATCACGAGGCCGTGTGCCGTGCGCAGACCTTTCTCCCGCTCGACCTGCCCCTCCTCGGACGAGGCCGTGACGATGACCTCCGAGAAGTACTGCAAGACGCGCGTGAGCGGCGGCGAGGGCGCAAGCCGTGCTGAGACGTACCTGAGCAATATTCTTCTGCAGCCGATCCTTGGTCGCAGAGCAGACCTCTACAGCGAGCCGATGAGCGGCCGGGTTCGCTTTCTGACGACAGGCGGAGCGTCAGCAGCGTCCAGGCGACAGGCCGTGCGAGCACTCACCTCTGCCTTGGAGGTGAAGGCGGACAGCAGAATCTCGAGCACGTCCGACGGCAGCGACACACACTCGTCGATGAGCTGCACCAGAATGTCGGCCATGCAGATCTCGACGTTCTTGGTGATCTCCGGCCTGGCGGCAGGCGACGTCAGAGACAGCAAGAGCGGGCGCAGGGCTGACATGCTCACCGGATGAGATCGAAGAAGCCGCGGAAGACATCGGTGATCATCTCGTCGGCGCCCGGCAGGTCCGTCACGAGCGTGATGCTCTTGACGTTGCTCAGATTCTCGAGCAGGTAGAAGCAGTCGGCGTAGTCGGCGCTGCCCGGCTTCGCCAGGCCGCCCTTCTGCGAGATCAGGCGGTCGATGAAGAAGGCGAAGATGTCCTGTGGCCGCGCGTGAGCACGCACTGCTGTAGGCTCGGGGATGCCGGCGAGGCACAGCAGCGTCCCTTCAGGCCTGGCTAGCCGATCGCCTCTCATCCGCCGACGTCGCAGCTACACCCGCGCCCGCTGCTGTCGCATGCCGCCCTCTTATGCAGCGCGACTCACCTTCAGCTCGCTCGCTGTGTACGGCGCCTTGGGCGCATACAGCCGCAACAAGTCCGCCAGGCAGCAGGCCGCGCTCGCCCGCACGGCGTCCGACTTGTGGTGGATGATGCCATTCGCGATCAGCTGCTTCGTGAGCGGATTGAGAGAGGCCGTGTCGATAAGCTCCTGCTCCATCTCCGACAGCTCCTTCTGCACCGCCTGGGAGGAGGAGCGGCTCGCGTCAGCAACGCTGCAGGAGTTGCGCGCAGCGGGGAGAGGCTGCGGGGGTGCATGCCAGCCCGCCCACGCCCGTAACTGCACCGCTCTCTTGTCTCACCTTGAGCTTCTTCAGCAGCGCATCGGTCGAGGCGCCCTTGGTGTAGAGCGGGCCTGTGTTCTGCAGGCGCATGCGGCTCGCCGTCGCCTGAGGGCGCACCATGACGCGTCAGGCGGCCGGGCGCAGCGCCGGGGCGTGAGAGTGGTGCTGGTGGCGCGAGAGGCACGGATTGCCAGGCAAAGGAAGCAGTCTAGGCGTCGCTGCGAGCAGGCCGAGTATGCAGGCAGTCCGAGAGGCTGGGCAGCGGCGGGAAGGGTGATGGTCGGGAGGCGGTGCGGCGGCGCTGCTGCGCGCGCGTCTCACGCGCTCGACGCGTCGCGCGCGAAATGACACAAGGCCGCGTGGGAACAGGCCGCGAGCCAGCCAGGTGGAGGGGGTGTGCCGCTCGCTGGTGCTCACTGCCGCACCAGCACTCGGCAGCATGTAGCACGCATGACATTCAGGGCGGCGGAATGCCTCACTCGTCCTTGCCGCTGTGTATGCGCCGCCGCTGGATGGCCTGCGCGTCGCTGGTGTCGGCGTCGTGCCGCCGGCGCTCGACGACGGCGCGATGCCGCCGGACGGCGAGCAGGCCAGCGAGCAGGCCCAGCGGCGGCGCCAGCCAGCAGATGAGCCAGGTGAGCGTGCCGAGCAGCGACGTCGTCTCGCGGCGCCACTCGTGCACCAGCTCCTGCACCTGCGAGCGCAGCGCCGGCGACGCACCGGCCCCCGAGCCCTGCGAGCCGGCGTCCGAGCCCTGCAGCGCCGACGAGTTGTCGAGGATCACGTCGGCGTATGGCAGCTTCGACGCCAGTGAGTGCTGCGCCGCCAGACGTGAGCGTGCGTCCTCCTCCGTCAGCCCGGCAGCGCCGTCGCGCGACAGCATCCGCGACAGCTGGTCCTCCGGCGAGCTGTGCGCGTGTGAGCGGAGCGTCGCCAGGCAGCTCGTGCTCACTCACCACCACACGATGACTGTCCGTGCGCACCATTTCCACAGGCCGGCCTCGACGAGCAGCGGCGCATCGACGACGACCAGGCGCTCGCCGGTGAGCCACATGCGCACCAGCGTCCACGCCATGCGCCGCCGGATGGCGCCGTGCGTGATGCGGTTGAGCGTGGCGCGCTTGGCGTCGTCGCCGAACGCGATGCGCCCCAGCGCCGGGCGGTCCAGCTCGCCGTTTGGCGTCAGGATCCCGTTGCCGAACGCCTTGACGAGCGCCTTGAGCGTGCCCGACGAGTCAGAGGGCGCCACGACGGCGCGCGCCAGCTTGTCCAGGTCGACCAGCGGCACCGAGGCGTTCTGCAGGAGCGTCGAGACCGTCGACTTGCCTGTGGCACAGCTCAGCTCGGGCACCGGCAGTACATCCTGGCGCGCTCCTCACCCGAGGCGATGCCGCCGCTCAGGCCGACGATGATCATGGCGGAGGAGGAGCTGGTCGAGAGGGTGGAGCAGCCGGGCCGGGACTCGGCGAGCCGCTGTGTGGGGTGAGCCTGCTGCTGCGCCGTGATGCACGTGACAGCTCCTCCTCTCCCCGGCCCTGCTCAAGCTCCTCACCAGCCTGCCTCCGCCGGCGAGGCTTCCTCTGCCCAGCTGAATGGTTCAATATTCTCGCATCACTCCGTTCTATTCTCGATTGCTGCATCTTTGGCGCATGCTGCCTCTGCAGCAGTGCGGCACAGGGCATCAAACACATCAAGCTCAAACTTCCGCTGCTTCGACGCCAGCATCCTTCGCCTGCAGCGTGTGGCTGCGAAATGATTGGCGGGCCGCCAAAGCGGCGATCATGCGTCAGATCTCGGCTGAGCCAGCTCGAGCAGCGAGTGCGTCGGCAGGGGCAGAGAGGCACGCTGCGCTTGCTTCGGCGGCACCGCAGCCGGCGTGCGGTGCGGCTGCAGCAGGCGCGCGCATACGAGCCGGCAGCAGAGGCAGCACGTCGGACGGAGCCGCGCCGCGCCGCCGGCTCACCCGTCAAAGGTCAAGCTTCGCGAGCTCGCAGCATGCAGATCTCGCCGGCCCGCACCCAAGAAGCTGCCACGTCTTCCATCGTCCGGCCGCGAATATACGGGCAGCCATAATTCCGCACTGACGCACGCCGGGCCCAGCGCTGCGACCGCCAGCGGCCCTACACGCGACATCAAGACGCAGCAGAGGCGCACGCCCGACGTTCTCTCCAGAACACCGCACACCCTGGGGCCCGCGTCCGACGGCGCTGCATCTGCCACAACGCTTTCGACGTGCACCTGCTGCGGCCGCTCGAGCCCAGCGCCTCAGCATGCAGGGTGCAGTAGCTGTCACACCAGGGCAGCAGCGCTGCACTCCGGTGACGGCCGGCGCTCCCGGCTGAGCCGCCGGCGCAGCGAGAGCAAAGCTTGATCCTCACCGGCGCACCTCGCCGATCACTGGCGAGCGCTTGGCCCAGTGCAGGCCGAGAGGACCTCACTCTCGCTCTTTGTCCACGCTCTCCCCCCTCGTCATTCATTCCCTTTCGGCAGCATGCTGTCGCATCTCGCCCTCCTCGGCGCGCTCGCGGCCGCCTCCGTCAGCTCGGTTCGCGCCGACACGCTGCCATATGTTACCGAGCCAAACCTGCCGCCGCTGCCATACAACATCAGCTACACGGCGCCGAATGCCCGTCTCTCGGACGGCTATGTGTTCATTGCGCCCCACGGCGGCAGCCCGGTGGGGCTGTACATCATGGACTCGCGGACGCAGTCGGCCGTGTACATCGCACAGCCGGAGCGCGTCATGAACGCCAGCACAGGCGCCTTCGACTGGCGGCCACAGACGCTGCAGGGCCGCACCGTGATGACCTGGTGGGACGGGTATGTGTCCGGGAGTGGCTACGGGTCGGGTCAGGTGCACATGATGGACCAGGGCTTCAGCGAGGTCGCCACGCTGGGCCGGGTGAACACCAGTGACCTGCACGAGGTGAGTAACACCGCGTGGTGCCACACCACCGCCTTTGCTGAAAGAGAACTCGACAGTCCCGGCTGACAGGGGCGAACAACACCATGCTGGTTACGCACTACCAAGAGCGCCCCCAGGATCTGAGCTCGCGGTCACCAGGCACCGCCAGCGGCAGCATTCTCGACGGCTGCTTCGAGGAGGTGTCTGTGCCGGAGGGCACGCAGCTCTTCTACTGGTGCATGCTGGAGCACGGCTACGGAATTGCAGACGTGAGCACTGGCCAGAGATGACTCTGTGGGCGAGGCTGATACCGACGCAGTCCTACGTCGACCCTGTGCTGCTTCCTGCCCCGGTGTCGTCGAACAGCAGTACGTCAAACAGCACTGCGACTTCGAGCAGCACTATGGTCTCGAGCAACAGCACCGCGCTGAGCGTAGCCTCGCGCACAAGCAGCGCCACAGCGAGGGGATCGTCGAGCTCCTCGAGCAGCAGCATGCTGCGGAAGCGGCACACACTCAACTCTTCGGCCTCTAGCGCAGCAGCCGCATCTGCGACCGTGTCACCGTCCGCTTCAGGCTCAACAAGTGGTGGTACAGGCTCGACCTTGCCTTACGACTACGCGCACGTCAACTCGGTCGTGAAGGACAGCGCAGGCAACTACCTGCTGAGCGTGCGCCACCTGTGCGCCCTGCTGTACGTCGATGGCCAGACGAAGGCGGTGCTGTGGCAGCTGGGCGGCAAGCGCAGCACCTTCACCGGCGACGGCACCTCCTTCTGCTGGCAGCACGATGCGCAGTGGGTCGGCGAGACGAGCTGGTCCGCGCAGCAGACGCTGGAGGCCAGCAACGGCGGCAAGCGGCAGCTTAGTCTCTTCGACAACGCTTCGAACGGCTTCGCCAAGAACGCAACGCAGTCGCGCGGCATGCTCATCGAGCTCGACTTTGCCGCCAAGAGTGCCAGCATGCGGGCGGAATACTCGACGCCCGGGGGCTGCTCGGACCTGCTCAGTGACAGCCAGGGCAGCATGCAGTTTCTCAACGAGGACTCGCCGGCCAGCAGCAGCGGCAACGTGCTCGTTGGCTACGGCAGCAAGCCGGTGTTCGCCGAGTACGACGTCAATGGCACGGCGCTGCAGTCGGTCTGGTTTGGCTACAACGAGACGCAGGTGAGCAGGGCTGGCTGCTCGACTGCTGCTGGATCTGGCTGACACGGCTAGCAGAGCTACCGCGTGTACAAAGTGCAGACGACGGCCCTCACGCTCCACCCAGAGACGGCGCCAGCGGTGGCCATCCTGAACGGCACGCTCTTCGTCTCCTGGAACGGCGCCACCGAGGTGACCACCTGGCGGATCCGCCAGGGCTCAAATGCGACCGACGTGTCGAAGCGCGGCTTCGAGACGATCATCCCGCTCGGCAACGGCACACAGACGCTCTTCGTCGAGGCGCTCAATGCCGACGGCACGTTCTTGGCACGCTCGGAGAACATGACGCCCCAGGGCGGCCGGCTCGGAGGCGCAATTAAGGGCGTCACGCCTGCAGCTGCTGTCGCGACGCACAGCCCGAGTGCGACACCTCGAGCGGGAAACACCTCGACGCAGCGGCCGTCCGGCGCAGCTGCACTTGCGCTCCCGGCGTCGGTGGCTAGCGCAGTCGGAGCGGCTCTACTGCTCGGCGTCGGCTTGGCTCTGCTTTGAGCGGGTTGGGCTCTCATTCGCATGCCCGCTAGCCTCATACCTCACGACTATGGCCTCTCATCGTTCCTCTAGACCGCACACATCATCCTCGCTGCCCCTTGCTCGCACTGCGCCTTGCATCCGCCCATGCCAAACCTGCCTCGCTGCGACATCGCACGGCCTAATACCATCATGCTTACTGCACTTGCTGCCGGTGACTTGTAGTCCGGTGTGTGGTGGTAGCTCGCCGCTGACTCGACGCTGCTGCGCCGCGGCGTCGAGCCGCGGCTGGCCGGCCGGACCGCACGGCGGCGGCGCGCGCGCGACGCCGCGCGGCAAAGGGGCGGCCGACGCCGAGGCTCCTTGCTGGCAAATTGCCATCAGCCGTCCTTCCCGCCGACGACGACCATCGCACCTTCGCCCCTCACCTCTGCTCCATCTGCTGGCTCGCGCAGCGCTCATAAGCTCACGCTTGCGCTGCATCTTTGCTGCACCGCCGTCCGAGCTCTACGCCCCTCTGCGCTGCTCCAGCTGCCTCGGCCGTGCAGATCCGCGTTGCCCGCTGCCCGCGCCTGCGACCGCGGCCTCTTGCCCGCCTGCGCCGCTGCACGCCCTCGTGACGCGCGCCTCGCCTCGCCTGCTCCACATCCGCCGTTGAGTCATCGGCTCGGCCGCGTCGCCGGAGCCGCCGCTGACCCGAGCCCGGCTTGCCGCTGCTCCCACCTGCAGCCAGCCGTCCGTGCAGCGATGCTCTCGCCCACCATGGCCCTCCGTCCGCTCGCCCTCGCCGCCGCACCCTCCGCTGCCTGCCGCACGCTTGCTCACCGCTCTCCCTTCGCCGCGTCGTCTTTCGCATTGTGCGTCGCCGATGCCCGCGGGTCCGCTCCTCCACCACTCAGTCTCACACCTTGCTCCCACTCGCACAGCAGCCGCAGCATGTCGGCCTCCAGCTCTTCTTCGGCCTCGGGCTCGTCGTACAAGCCCGTGCTGACGCGCGAGAGCATCAACCCGCACGTGCTCAACGTCGAGTACGCCGTGCGCGGCGAGCTCTCCAACCGCGCCAACAAGTACGCAGACCTCATTGCCGAGGACAAGGGCAAGGACCTCGCCTTCCCCAGCGTCGTCACCGCCAACATCGGCAACCCGCAGCAGCAGCCATTCCTCGCGCAGAAGCCGCTGACGTTCTGGAGACAGGTGAGTGCGCGGACGGAGAGACACAGAGAAGGGCCACTTCGGGTGGGACTAGGCTGGGTGCAGAACAACAAGCACGAGCTGGGCTGAGCTGAGCTGAGCGGTGCGTGGCGCGCTTGACCCGGGCGAAGAGCTCTGGCGAAGGAGGGAGCGAAGATTGTAGCGCAGTGGCGGCACCAGAGGTCATGCTCGAGGTGTTGCAATCGCAGAGACGGCGCGCTTCTGCCACGCGCGCGAAGGCTGCGTTGTCAGCTAGGCGCAGAGATGAATTGCAGGACACATGCTGGTCATGGCGGATGCTGTTGGACGCAGTAGGGTCACACGAGCCTGCACTGGAGGTGTCCCGCGGCGGCATGCAAGATGCTCCGAGATCGGGCGAGATTAGATAGGGCGGCAGCGTGCTGATCCTCCACATCGTCAGGTCGCTGCGCTTACCGAGTATCCCGACTTGCTCGAGGACGAGTCGGGCTCGCTGTCGTCGCTCTTCCCGTCGGACGCGCGCGAGCGTGCAAAGGCCATCCTCGAGGATGTCGGCAGCGTGGGTGCTTACTCGCACAGCAAGGGCGCCGCCAGTATCCGGAAACACGTGGCCGAGTTCATCGAGGGTGAGAAGCGATGCTCAGTCTGCCCGGCCCGCCGCTGACTCGACCCCACAGAACGAGATGGCCATCCGTCGGACCCTGAGCTCATCTACCTGACCGCCGGCGCGTCGGGCGGCGTGCAGACGCTGCTGTCGGTGCTCATCTCCGGGCCAGAGGTCGGCGTCATGATCCCGATTCCGCAATACCCGCTCTACTCGGCCGCGCTCGCCTTCAACAATGCACAGGCGGTGCGGTACGACCTCGACCCGCACAATGACTGGGCTGTGGATGTGAAGGCGATGTCCGAGTCCGTCGACAAGGCGCGGTCAGAAGGCGTGGACGTGCGCGCCGTCGTGGTCATCAACCCGGGCAACCCGACGGGCAGCTGCCTGAGCCACGAGAACATCCAGGACATCCTGCGCATGGCGCACGAGAAGCGCCTCGTCGTCATGGCCGACGAGGTGTACCAGAACAACATCTACCTGCCCGACTCGCGGCCCTTCATCTCGTTCAAGAAGGTGCTGCGCGACTTTGCCAAGGAGGGCAAGACGGAGGCGGACAAGCGCATTGCCGAGGAGGTCGAGGTGATCAGCTTCCATTCCATCTCCAAGGGCGTCAGCGGCGAATGCGGGCGGCGCGGCGGCTACTTTGAGCTCACCAACGTCGACGCCAAGGTCGAGGCCGAGGTGTACAAGATGGCCTCGGTGAACCTCTGCCCCTCGATCCAGGGCCAGATTGGCGTCGACCTGCTCGTGCGTCCGCCGCGCCAGGGCGAGCCGTCGTACGAGCTGTACGAGAAGGAGACGTCGGGCATCCACGCCACGCTCAAGGCGCGCAGCCGCAAGATGCGCGAGCAGTTCAACAAGCTGCCCGGCGTGCAGTGCAACGAGGCCCAGGGCGCGCTGTACCTCTTCCCCGAGATTACGCTGCCGCCAAAGGCACTCGAGGCGGCCAAGAAGGAGGACCGCCTGCCGGATCTCTACTACTGCCTGCGCCTCCTTGACGCGACGGGCATCTGTGTCGTGCCGGGCAGCGGCTTTGGCAAGATGCCGGGCGACAAGGGCGAGTGCTTCCTGTGAGTAGCCCGCGGGGTGTGCCAGAACGTGCAAGTTGCTGATGCTGCGCGCGCTTCTGCAGTCGCACCACGGTGCTTGCCAAGGAGACCGACGAGTTTGTGAAGCGCTTCGGCGACTTCCACAAGTGAGTTTGGCGATGCAGGCTGCCGCTGAGCCGTTGCTGACCGTCTTCTGCCCTGCAGCGACTTCATGAAGGAGTTCGAGGCCTGATCCCGGTGTCTGTGTGCTGTCACGTTATAGAGCGCTGCGCGTCGCCTTGCCACGAGTCCATTGCATGCCATGTGTACACTCAGCAGAAGATCTGGCTTTGCCTTGTGGACCGCTGGTTGTGTGTGAGCTGGTGCGAGCGCGGCAGAGCGTGCGGATGAGCAGGGCGACTGCGACGTGCTGCTCCCACGCTGCCGAGGCGCAAAAAGTGGCCGAGCGACGGCGCGAGCGCGCATCTTCGTGCCGCTCCTCCACCTCTCACCCTCGCTCAGCTGATGGCCAGTGCGACCGCCGCTGCGGCACCGTCCAGCGCGGCGAGCAGCAGCCATGCTCGGCGCGATGAGCCGGCCACTGCGGGCCCCTCGCGCTCGGCCGCCGCTGCGGTTCTGGCCGCGCCGCCGCCGCCGCCGTCCAAGCTGCTCCTCGTCTCGGCGGGCGCCTTCACGCTCGGCCTCACGGGCGCGCTGATCCTGGGGCTGCGCCGTGGCCGCTGCCTTGATGCTGCCGAGGCAGCGAGCGCCGTGACGGCCGCCAGCACGGGTGCAGCTGCGGCCAGCGCCGGGCCAAGCGCCCTCGCTCGGCGCGGCCTGCCTGCTTCGTCTGCTGCCCGTCCTGCGCCGCCGGCAGCTGCGCCGGAGCCAGAAGCTCCCGTGGCCGACGATCCAATCTCTCGGGCTGCCAACGCCGGCCCTCTCACCCTCTTCCGCACGCTCAACTCGCTCGCCTTCTCGCGGCGAGGCTCAAAGGCCACCGCGCCCACCACGTCCATCTTCGATGCACCGGCGGGCGCTCAGGCGCCCAGTGTGCTCAAGCGAGCGCGAGCGCAGCGAGCAGGCGCGCGCGACGAGCTGCATGCGGGACCGGTGGCAGACGGGAGCGCTACTGCGGGAGCTGAGACGAAGCAGCAGGGCTGGAGTCCGGCGGCGCTGGCGCTCGGCGCGTTCGGTGCTGCTAGCCTGATGGTCGGCGTGACGGCGACGGCGGTGGTGGTCATCGGCAAGCGTGCCTTTGGAATACAGGACGTGAGTGGGGAGCAACAGCGACGCTGGCGAATGCAGCGGCGCTGGACCAAGGGCCTTCACGCCGTCCGCCTTCACAGCGCTCACGTCTTTCTGGCGCCAGACCGACGACCTCGTCAGCTTCTTCGCCGAGCTCTTTCCCAACGGCTCAAACGCCTCTGTGCTGGCAGGTCTGGGCCGTTCTGCGCGCTCGCTGCTCTCGTCAGCCGGACTGTCCGCCTCGCATCCCTCAGCCAGCGCCGACGAGGTACAAGCCGGCGGCGAGGATCTGCCCGTCGACGAGGCGGAGCACAGCGCAGAGCCCGAGTCGCTCGACGAGGCGCTGCTGCGCCTCGACCGCGCCGCCAGCGAGGGCGGCATGCGCCAGTGGGCCAGCGTGCTGGGCGAGCAGCTGGGCCGCGAGCGTGCGTGGGAGGTGCGCGAACGGCGACGAAGACGCCTCGAGCGCGACGCTGCTGCTGCCAATTCATGATTCGAGACGGCCTGCTGGAGCAGTGTGACAGCGAGCACCGCACAGACTGCCACCACGTGGCGCTGCCCAGAGCGATGCCTTCCCTGTGTCCATTCCGCCACCCAGCGGCTTCAGCGAGCGCCACCGCAGGCCGCTGTCCGCCAGCGTCGAGCCTATTCTGGGCCTTCTTCGCCGTCCGGTGCCGCCAGCATGCAGCGAGCCAGGCTGTCAACTGCGCTCGGTGCTCGGGTCCGCTCGGGCCACAGCGGACCGCCGCGGCTGCGGCCACATGCTGCTGCTGCCTTGTGCCCCTACCCGTGCAGCAGAGACGAACATAGCAAGCCGGAGCTGCAATGTCGTGGGTGCCGGCAGCCTCGAGATCCACAGGCCAGCAACGTTTGAAGCGCAGACGAGGCGCGAGGAGAGGCGGCTCGGGCTGTGCAGCATGCTGCCGCCGCTGCTGCATCGTTGGCTCGAGCTCAGCCGAACAGCGCAGCAGACGGCCGTCGATGCCGGGTGCTCTCACGGCTGTGTGCCCAGACGCTTCGTGCTCTGGGCACACCTCGGAGCTGGGCTGGACGCCGCATAATGCGTTGGAGCGCACAGGCCAAGCGCCGTGCCCAGGCTAGGCGGAGCCACGCCCACCAAAGACGAGGCCCGTGTCTGCAGCATGCGCATCTCGTCCCACTTCTTGCGTACCGAACGAGTCCAGCCATCGTCGTCGTTGCGTCTGGTGCGGTTGCAAGAGCAGCACAGCGAGCTGCAGTCGAGTGTATCCAGCACGCAGGCGCTGCTTTGCGGCGCGCTCGAGACGCGTAAGAGCACCGGCGCCGCAAGCGAGCCTCCACGACCGCGTCTGCCGTGAGAAGCAGCGCAAACACGAGCATGCCGCTGCAGCGCAAATTGCGCTCTTGCCGTGCGATCTCGCCGTGCCGAGAAGCGAGCTTGAGCTTGCTTATTGCCCTCATGCCTCGCCTTGCCCGCGTCGGATGTTGCGCTCGTGACGGGCGCCGAGCAGCGCGCCGGTTGCCCCGCAGCAAGGCCTGCACCCGCAGTCGGCCTCCGAGCGAGGAGGGCGGCTCAGAGCCTCAGGTAAGCATGCATGGACGCGCGCCACGCGGATGCTCGAGCCGCACGGCGTCGGAGGCCGCGAGCGAGCAGCGAGGGGCGGCGTAAAGGGCGAGCGCAGAGGCAGCAGCAGACGAGAGCGCTTCCCGTTCCGCCCTCCCGCCGACAACTCCGCTGCTGGCCCCTCGTCTGCGACGGCGTCCGAGCCGAGCAGCGCATCAGCCGCTCAGGCACGTGGCGGCAGGCGGGGACTCGGAGCCTGCACATGCGCTTCCACGCCGTAAAGTCCGCTCCGGCGTCCCACTCCGCCATCGCTCGCAGTCGTCTTCCTCTCTCTCGATCCGAGGCTCGTTGACAGCTGGCTGAACCTCAGATGATGTTGAGCTCGGAGCGAGGCGAACGTCGGATGTCAGATACGCGCTCCACCAGCACCTGTGCGGCTGCAGGCTGCTCGAGAAGCAGCGGCAGCGGCGAACGCACCTGCACACGCAAGTGTCGGGAGCCCTTGCATCTCGCCGGCGCTTGGCCTTGACAGCAGAGGCACCATGGAAAGAGCGGCTTACCCGGCGTCAGCGCTCAGGCACCAACGCTGCACATCCTCGGGCGTTGGCTCGCGGTAACGTTACCGCAGACGCAGCCGGCAGCGGCGCGGCAGCGACGAGCGAAAGCCACCGGCTCGCCTCAGATCGGCGCCCGAGTGCCGCTGCACAGCGGGATAACCACGTCTGGGCAGAGAGGGAGAGCGAGGCAGCAGCGGAGGCCGCGACGTCGGCCAGCACGCCACGGAGGCACCATCCGCACCGCCACGCGAGGTCGACGCTGTCACGCTCCAGCGCTGCCCTGCCGTGCTCGCGACCCACTCGGGTGGGTCAGGTCAGCATGAGAGAAACATGCAGCTGCAGCGTGCAGCTTGCAGACCGTTCCGTAGCGAAGCAGAGCGGCAGCGGCAGCGCAGACGCAAGCGAGGCGCGAGGAGCAGCTGGCGCGGGCAACGCGCGCCACGCATCCTCGGGCCCGAGGCTGCCGCGCGGGCACGGCAGCAGTCAGCGCCCGCCTCGCCTCGGCCTCGCCGCGCATGCCTCAGCGGCAGCAGCGCAGGTGCAGGAGCGAGGCGCAGAGCCAACCTTGCTGACAGCGCGCCGCTGCCTTCACAGCCGCGTGCCGATCCGGCGCTGGACCCGTGCCGCGGCGCTCTTCTCTCGCACGCAGCGAGCGTGGCGTGGCCGCTGCTGAGCAGGCGCGGCGCGCGCGCGCGCGCGGCGGTGGCGGCGGCCTCTTCGCCCGCTCCGACGCGGCCGCCGCCTCTCTCCCAGCAACTCCAACCGTCTCCCTCTCCGGCTGCGTCTGTGCTGTTGTGCGTGGGCACATCGCCATCTCCGCCCGTCCGCCGTTCCTCCTTCTCGTCCCCCCTCTTCCTCTCGGCTGCGTGTGCTCAACATCGGGCGCGCCTCCTGAACCTCGTCCCATCTCCGCCACCTTGAACCGCGCCTCAACTCAGGCCTCCTCTCGCTCCCACCTTCCTCTTCACCTGCCCTTCCCTTGGCGGCTCTCTGCGTCGACGTCTCTCCACGTCTGCCTCTTCCGAAGCCAGGCCATACTGCCTGCGTCTCCCGTATCTCGCCGCACTCCGAGCCATACGCCTCGGTCTCTGCGCGTCTCCTCGTCACCGCTCCCGCGCTCAGCTCGCGAGCCAATCAGCCCCCTGTCTGCGCGCCACGTCGTCACAGCGACTTGACTCGCCGACCAGCAGACGAGCTCTTCATCGCTCGCCGCAGCAGCCGCAGCATCTTCGCGTAGCGCGCCTCATCCCGTTCTCCAGACGGACTCGCCGACCTGCGCATGCTTGCCGTCTCCTCTCCCTTCCACCTCGTCTCGCTTTCTCCTTCGCTCCGCGCCGCGTTCCTCACGTCGCCCGGCTCTTCTGCCGCTTCTTCTCGCTGCACGACGCCCAGCTCGCCGGCCGCCGCGCGCATCTCCTCTCCGCTCGGCACGCCCTCGTCGGCCTGCTCCTCCTACACGACCTCGAGTGCCTCTTGCGGCGAGCTTCTGGGCGAGTACTCCGACCTCGTGGCGCGCTTCATGAGTTCGAGCAAGACGGCGCCTGCTGCACACCAACCCGACGCGACGTATGCGCAGTGGCAGGGCGCATCGTCATCGCAGCAGCAGCAGCAGCAGCAGCAACAGCAGCAGCAGCATGACGAGGCCGTCGCAGTGGCAAATCAGCTCAACGACGTCGCGGTGAGCGCGGCACACGAGCAGCGCCAGCGCCAGGCCAGCCATGGGTCGTCGGCATATTCGAGCTCCAGTGAGTGATCTCTCCGTGCTCCTTGCAGTGTGTCCCGTGGAACGTGCAGGGATGGGGTCTGGCGTGGACGCGTCGGTGGCAACGGCGCTGCGAGACGCAGCTCTTCCGCGGAGCTGGAGCGTGGAGCGCGGTGGCTTGCGCGCCCAGCGCTGGCGCGTCGCTCGGCCTGCAGGCCGCGCGCCGGCGAATTTTCTGCGCCGCGCCGCGCCGCGCGCGCGCGCCCCGTGCGCGTGCATCTCGCTGCCAGCGCAACGCCGGGTGGCAAAACGGCCGCGCGGTGCGCTTCTTCCTCGGCTGCGGCCGGAGAATGTCAGCCCTTGAGCCAAGCCTTGCAGTCAGGCACACCGCACACCACGGGTGAAGTCGTACCGCCGAGGGCAGAGGCGGCTGCCAGCGAGGCGGCGCCGGCAGCGACGGCCGATCGTGAGACACCATCGCTTTCATTGCAGCGCTGCGGCTCGGCTCCTATTCGCTTTCTGGCGCCGGCCTGCTGTTGCACTGCGGGCCGTCCGCACGCCGCCAAGTTGCACTATGTGCCGAAGTTACCGCCCGGCGTCTTGACGAGTGACCCCTGAGCGGGCCGAGTATGTGCTGTGCGAGAAGCTTCTCGTCACGAGGTGCTTGTGCTGCGGCGCTGTACACCGTCCGCCACGCCGACGTCGAGCTCGTCGCTGACTACGATCACCCCTCTCAGACGTTCTCTCCTGCACCGGTTCGGCAGAGGCTGGGCCTTCGCGGCAGAGCTCGAGCTCCGCCAGCTCCAGCGACGCCTCGCGCGGCTGGACGCCCGCCGCGCAGCAGCACTACTCGGAACCGCTGCGCTACTCGAGCTCGGCACCGGGCGCTCAGTCGCAGATGCAGGGCTTCGCCCAGCAGTCGTACCAGAACGCGCTCGGCTCGCAGCAGCATCACCAGCAGCAGCAGCAACAGCAGCAGCAGCAGCAGCAGATGCAGCAGACGCATCACGACATGATGGTGCAGCAGCAGCACGAGCACAACGCGTTCATGCAGCAGCTGCAGCACCAACATAACCAGCAGCAGCAGTACCAGCACCAGCAGCGGCAGCAGCAGCAGCACTTCCAGCAGCAGCAGCAGCAGCAGCTGCAGCAGCAGCAGCAGCAGGCCCAGGCGCAGGCTCAGGCGCAGCACCAGCAGCAGCAACACGACGAGCAGCATCGACGAATGCAAAGCGTGCTCGACTCGACGCCGCTCAAGACCCCCTCATGGGAGGAGCAGCAGGCCGCGGCCATGGCGTTCATCTCGCGGCGCGCCGACTCGCAGTCAGACCCGCGGCGAGCATCGTTCCGCGACGACGCCTCGTCCGGCGCACAGAGCACGATGATGCCGCCGGCGCAGTCGCAGTCGACGCAGAGCAATGTCCAGCCAAGCGGCTTCGCGGCCTACCCGGACACGACCTCTGACGGCAGCTCCAGCGGCGCGAATGCCGGCAACGGCTTCGACGCAAGCGCCGGCCCGGACTCCGACATGCCCATCCTCCGTCTGCAGCCGTGGCAGATGACCAGCGGCCACCAGCACGGCAGTCAAGCGTCGCTCGCGCAGCCTCGCAGCTCCGAGTCAGGCTACTCGCACAGCCTGCAGCAGACTGGCAGCGGCAGCTACCCGAACCAGAGCTTCTTCGACAATGCCTCGGCGCAAGGTTCGTGGAACGGCTTCTCGCCTTCGCTGCGCAACGGCGGTTCGGTCATGAGCCCAAACACGGCGGCTCTCAGCCACGCCCTCAGCAGCTTCGTGCCCGACGAGTCTACTGCGCCCGGCTCGCTCGACCCGCGGCCCTCGTTCTCGACGTTTGCAAGCACGCCAAACGGCCAGATCTCGTCGGAAAACGACTCGAGTTCGGCGCCGACGACGTACTCGCCCGTCTTTGACGCGCCGTCGCCCGGCTCCGACACCAACTCGCTCAAGTCGCCGCCGTCCGAGGTTGGTGCGTCCGACGCCGAGGCCGAGCAGCTCTCCGTCTCGCCGACCAAGGTCTCGGGCAAGTTCTTGCCGCACGCGTCCGTCTCGAAGGGCAAGCGCAAGGAGACACCGCGCACGGTCTCCCGCACCGGCGGCACGGAGAGCTCTACCTCTGTCTCGAGTGACGCGACGTCGAGCAAGGCGCACAGCCGGCGCACGTCTGCCGTCGACGGGCTTGGGCGCTACGTGTGCCCGCACAAGGGCTGCGACAAGACGTTCAGCACCTCGGGCCACGCGCGGCGGCATTCGCACACGCACAAGCCGCAGCAGCCCTTTGTCTGTCCGCACGACGGCTGCGACGCCACGTTCTCGCGCCGCGACAACTGCACGCAGCACCAACGCGCTCGCCACAACGAGGTCGTCGAGGCATACCGCCTCGATGCGACCGACGAGAAGGTCGAAGACTTCTTCGAGGCGCAGCACGCATAGGCGCCCAGCGACGCGACACATACACACCTTCGTGCTCCGCAGCGGCGTTCTATCTTCCCACTAATCAGCGCCCATTCGACGGCGCTCCACCTCAAGAACCCGCCTTTCTCCGCCTCGTCGTCACCAAGGCCAGCCTGTTCCCAACCAACGTTCTCCCCTCTTTTTGCAATTCGTCATCGGCTGCCCTGTTCTTCCCGCAAGCTTTCTCAGCGACCCGCACCATCGACTCCGTCTCATACAACAACGATCACCCTGCATCTGCGCGTCACCCCGGGCCTCTTCATACACATCTCGAGAAGCTCCAGCGCCGCGTCATACACACAGCACAGCGATCATCCACAAGTTCCGCCTCGCCTCTCCCTCTCACCTCGCCTCGCCCGCCTCCGCAAATCATACGTCACATCACGTATGCGCCGACGTCGACCAGGTCCAGCCGAGCTCTCTCTCTCGTGCTGCTCCTATCGCCCGTCTGCCCGCCTGTCTCCCGGCGCCCAGCTTGCCTCTCTGCAAGCCCGTGGCCCAGAGCTCAAGCTCTCTCTCTCCCTTCTCTCGCCTTCTTGTTACCGTGGTCATCCCGCTCGTCTCGCCGTCACGCTACACACCTACGCACTCTGCGCATCATCTCGCTGCCGATCTTATACACCAACTGGCACGCATCTGTACACCCCTGGCCTCGAGCAACTGCACCCACCTCCTGGGTTGCCTTGCGCACCACGCAATCGAAACATGCTGGCCCGCCATCTGGACGTGCGCGTGCACGGCGCGCCGAGCCACTCCGCCTCTCGTGTGGCATCGTCACGTGTGCAGACGTCGAAGCCACCTGCGATCGCGAGCTCACCAGCCACAGCAGATGAGGCTTGCGCGCGCTTGGCCCGGTGGCTGCGTCACGGCCGACGTTGTGGGGCAGCGACGCAGCGGAGGTCGCGGCGCAGCTGCTCCCACGGTGCCGCATTGGCGCGCTCCAAGTCAAGACGCACCCTGCAACCCCTCCCTCGCACGTCGCAACGCTGCCGTCCGTCGTCTTCTCTCGCTTGCTTGACACGTGGCAGCGTCGACGGCTTGGCCATGGAACTCGCTGGAACGCCGGCGCTCGGGCCGAGGGAGATGAGGGCTTGGGGCGGCGGGCAAGAGCACGCGAGCAGGCAGCGGGCAGCGAGGATGCGGAGCCGCCCCTCTGGCGCCACACCTCGGGCGGCGCTAGGCGTGAGACTGGCGGCGTGCCGCGCTGCCAAAAAATGCGGGGTCGCGTGGCCCGTGCCTCTTGGACGCACGAGGCCAGCTCGCTGTCGAGGCGAGCTGCCCCATCAAGGCTCGAGGCGCCGGCTGCCGCTGTGAAGCAGCGGCATCGGCACGCAGCACCGCAGCACCTCCTCGGCCATGCCTATCTCGGCGCTGATCAGATGCGCACTGAATCGGCCCAACGCAGTGTGCCTCGCCTGGGAGTGGGCGTCTCGCGATCGAGGCCTCGCTTCCTCGAGGCCGAGCGGGAGACGCGGCTGCGGCTGAGCTGAGTTGAGAGGTGCGAGGCGAGGGAAGCACCGCTGCCGACGACCCCGGGGCCGTGCTGCCTCGCCTCGCCTCTCGGCAAAGGAACGAGGCGAGGCAGCAAGACGGAGCAGCAAGAGCGCCCGGCCGCCGACTCCCACGCCGCGGGCTGGTGCCTCTCATGCAGCTGGCCGGCCGCCATGCGGCTGCGGCACCCGGGCGGCTCCATCTGGCCTCTGCACAGTGCCGCTGCCTCATTCGGCGGGCGGCAGCATCAGAGTGCTGCGATGAGGTGCCTGGGCCGGCAGATGAGCAGCGAGAGAGGTGGTGTAGAAGCCGCGGCGCCGGCTGCAGGAGCCTCGTCCACGTCCACGGCAGCATCGCAGCTGCGGCTCCACGGCTTGCGTCGCCTCCAGCCCAGCTCGGCGAGCGAGGCTGTGGAGCGCTTCTATGCCGCACGCGGAGTCTGTCGCATGGCCGGGAGCATGATGCGCCAATGCAGCATGGCGAGCGAGGTGCATGGCGGCGCGGGGACGGCGCTCCGGAGCTGGAGGCATGGAGTGTGGGGCTCGCGCCGCGGCCGGCACGCGCCCCACGAAGCGCGGGATGCAGGCGGTGCGCGCCGTGCCGAGCCGGGCCGTGGCCTACCCCGCACTCTCTCGCACTTTCGCGCGGGAGTGCAGATGCTGCCGTGACTGGCGCCGTGCTGCCCTCAACTCTCGCCGATAGCAGCTCGCCTTGCCTCGGCGCCTCGCTGAGCCTTGCCTGCCGCTCTCGGCCAGCTGCGGCCTGATGAGGCGCTGCAGCTGCCGCGCCCTTGCCCGCACGGCGGCAGCATGCTCGACACCGCCTCGGGCCGGCGCCCCATCTGCCGCTTGCTCTCCTGTCGTGCAGAGTTGTGGAGTGCGAGAGGCGGGCACGGCATCGGCGAGAGAGGAGCAGCGAGGAAGCCGGCAGCCACGCCGTCCGAGGTTGCGCTTGCCCGGCGCCGGCAGCAGCGCAGCGAGAGCGCATCACACGAGCAGCGAACTGCATCTGGCTGCTCAGAGCGACGGCGGAGCGCCAGACTGGCCGGCTGCAGTGCTGCGCAGGCCGCCAGTGCGAGCGGCAGGGTCGTGCGAGGAAGCCGCGCCGAGATGCGCTGCCAGCGCTGCCAGCGCGCCTGGGCGAGCGTATCGCAGGGGCAGCGCGCACCTCAATGGCAGCGCACGGCAGCGCATGCGACGGCGACCCCACACGGCGCCTCGTGTATAAGAAGCACGCCCCAGCACCGCACTCGCCCCGCTCTCCTCACACTCTGTGTACCCCACGAGCCCACCACACGCCGGGCTCCCGCTCTCACCCACGCTGCCCCACCCGCCGCCCACCACGTCCACCCCCACCACCTCCGCACAAGATGGGCAAGAGCAAGAAGGGATCGGTTGCCGACGAGGGCAAGCCCGCTGATGCGGCTCGCCCGATGGTGAGTGGTCGTGGTCGTCGCCAGCATCACCGCATGGGCTCACTCCCCACCCAGGGCCCCACGGGCGGAATTGACTTCTCCGAGGCCGGCGTCGAGGCCGCCGCTGCCCAGGTGCAGCTGCGCCACGTCAGCAAGCCGCACGCGCGCGACGCCTGGGAGCGCGCCAAGCCCTGGATGCTCGAGCAGCGCCAGAAGCTCGAGGGCCTCGGCTGGGCGCCCGTCGACAAGGCTCGCGTGAGTGGTGCTCGTCGTCGTCGCTGTGGGGTGGAGCACACCTCGGGTGCGCGTGCACGTCATCCATGCACGCCGTGCATGGACGTGCAGCGCGGACCCTGGCGCCGCTCGTATTCCTCCGGTGCTCACACGCCACACGCCCGCCCCAGACCGAGCTCTACGTGCTCAAGCGCATGGCGCCCCACGGCTCCTTCACCGACGACGGCTGTGAGTGCCCTCGCGTCGTCGCCGTGCCTCGCCATGCTTACACTCGTCGCAGTCGTCTACGTGCGCGTGCCCGCCAAGTTCATCGACTTCACCCGCTCGGCCAAGGCGCGCGACGCCAGCGCCGACGGCGAGGAGGCCGAGCTCAAGCGCCGCGGCATCCGCTCCAAGAAGCGCGGTGCGTACCGCCTGCCTCGTCGTCGTCACCATCCACACCGTGCTGACCGCGCCCACCTCACAGAGAACGCGCCCAGCCACGCGCTCAACGACCCGCTCGTGTGGAAGATCAAGATCGACGGCGCCGAGAGCACCGAGGCCGACCGCGTGCCCAACGTCGCGCTCGACGTCGTGCAGCCCATGGAGAACATGTACGTGCTCGCCGTCGCCGTCACCCGTCATCGCCACCGTGGCTGACCCTCCAACTAGCATGTACCTCGTCATGACGCTGGCGCCCGGCCTCATCCGCATGCATGCCTCGCGCAAGGACGCCATGCTCCCCGGCTCGCACACGCAGGAGACGCGTGACGACCCCGTGGCGCCGTCGGTGCGTCACTCGGCCATCTTTGCGGCGTCGGAGCAGCTGGCGCGCGTGCTGCCGCCGGCCTTCTGGTTCAAGCGCAACTCGGAGCACCTGCGCAAGATCCTCGGCGACGCCGAGTTCGAGGCCGCCGAGGCCGCCGCCAACGACGAGGAGCGCGCCACGAGCCGCATCCTCGGCGACGTCGCCGAGCGCACGTGGGAGGAGATGCTGCCTCCTCCCGAGCAGAAGAAGAAGAAGAGCAAGAAGGCCGCCGCTGCCGCCGCCGCCGCCAACACCCACTCCGCCACGGACTCGTCGCCGCTGGCTGGCTCGCCCATCGAGGCCCCGCCCACCGCCATCGCGGTCTAATCTTTGCAAGCAGGGCCTCGGCCGGCACATCCGTCACCTCGCACGCTGCGCCAACACTGCCCGGCCCTACTCAGCTATCGTGAACTCGCATCCTCAAGTCAAGCTCCCGACCGTCCGTCTCGTCTGTCTCGCGCCTGGTCGTCCCGATCCCGCTTCTCGCCTCTCTTCTCGCCCTGACGTCTTGTACCACCATCCCGCTGTCTCACTACCATCTCACGCCTTCATCATCCCGCATCCTCCTCCACGGAGGGCCCGTACTACTACTTACTAAACCCTACAAACATTGTCGCATCGAATGAATGACTGTCCACGGTCTTGTCTCGAGAGATGCAGCGGCAGCAAGGTGTAGCGTGACAAGAGTGCATTGCATGGCAAGCGAGCGTGTCTCATCACCGGTCTCCCGCCCCCTCGCCCTTGACGCCGACAAGCTGCACGCCCTGCAGGCCGCGCACGATGGTGTCGAGGGCGCGCGTGTCGGCCTCGAGCGTCGAGCTGAGGTGGTTGAGGCCCTGCTGCTGCGACGCCAGGATCTGTGCAGGCGGCACACACGTCGTCAGCTCTGCACGTCACACACCTCTGCCGCCTCACGCACCTTGGCCACATCCTCGATGGCGGCGTCGTCGACGACCGCCCACTCCTCTCTGCCCTTGCCCATCTCGCGCTTCGCCTTGAGCGCACCCAGCACGGCCCAGAGCTCGTTGACGCGCGCGCGCAGGCGCCCCTGCCCCACGCCGGCGCCCTGCGCCTCCAGCTCAGCCTCGCAGCGCTCGAGCTTCTCGCGCAGACGCTCCTCGTCGGCACCCACGCTGGCGCCGCGCAGCGCCGGGATGAGCAGGTGGGCGCGCCGCGCGTGCGCCACGAGCCGCTGGTGCAGCGCCACTTGACGCCGAGCTGCTGCTGCAGCGCGAGAGGAGTTGCGCAATGCATGCGCTTGCTCCAGCGCCGAGAGCCGAGTGCGGAGCTCGCCGAGCCGTGCAAGCTGCCGTGCCGCCTCGCTCGCCTGCTGCTCGGAGCGCGACTTGAGATCGGAGAAGCCGACGGCCAGCGCTGGCACGAGCCTGGAGGATCCGTGATCAGCATCACTGGCCTAAGTGCAGCTCTGGTGTGCACATCCTGTGCGCTGTCACAGCCCTGCCACTGCCACACCATCACCCGCGCCCGCCGTGCACCTGCGCACCCGCGTCTGCCGCACTCACCTCTCCGGATCCGGGTTCTCCCGCACCGCCTGCGCCCACAGTGCCTCGTGGCGCGGGCCCACTGCGTCCGCTCGCCGGCCGAGGTTGGGGTACTGCGAGAGCGGGCCTGCACCGCCTGCGCCCTGCGGCCCGAACTGCGCGATCAAGGAGGCAGGCAGCGACGTGTAGAGGTATGCCTTTGGCGTTGCGTCAGACAAAGCCGCCGCACGCTTCCACTCGGCTGCGTGCACTCACCAGGAAGCGGCAGCTCTGCAGGTCCTGCGTGTTCCACGCCTTGTGGATTGCGGCAATGCGCGGCGCCAGCGACGGGCCCAACCGCTTGTCCAGCTGCTGCTGCTGCTGCTGCTGCTGCTGCTGTGGTTGTTGTTGCCCTTGCTGCTGCCCTTGCGGCGGCTGCTGCGTCTGCGACTGGCCGAACGGCTGTGCCTGCGATTGGCCGAGGCCGAGCGAGCCGCCGAAGAGACTGGACTGCGTGGCGCCCGACTGGCCGAAGCCCTGTTGTTGTGGCTGCTGCTGCTGCTGCTGCTGCGCCGGCGCGCCGAACAGCGACGAGCCCGCCGTGGCTGCCGGCTTGGCGCCGAAGGAGAAGCCGCCGCCCTGCTGTTGCTGCTGCGGCTGCTGCTGAGCCGGCGCACCGAAGCTGAAGCCCGTCGACTGCTGCTGCTGAGGCTGCTGCTGTTGCTGCTGTGCCGAGGCGCCAAAGCTGAAGCCGCCGGCTGCGGGGGCAGCGCCCTGCTGCGGCTGCTGGCCCTGCTGCTGGCCCTGCTGCTGCTGGCCCTGCGGCGCGCCAAAGGAGAAGGCGCCGGTGCTGGAGCCGGCAGCGGGCGCTGCGGCGGGTGCGCCGAAGGAGAAGGACGGCGCGGACGTCGCGGGCGCCGCTGCTGCGGGCTGCAGAACGAAAGAGGGCCGCAGGTCAGCGATCGGGCACCGCAGCGGCACCACCGACGCGCACACTCACCGCGCCGAAGGAGAAGGCCATGTATGTGCGCAGCTGCGGCGCCGGTGGGTCGGACAGGCGGGCGGGGTACGGGCGAGACGGGCGTGGAGGTGACGAGGGAGCAGCGAGAGCAGCAGCAGGTGCCGGTGCAGGCGGCGCATCTTCCCGCCCAATACAACGCGCGCCAACGCGCACTACAGCTGCATCACGTGCGCAGTACAATGGCCAAAGCGCGATTGTAGTCGTGCATCCGCCGCGGCGACGTCGCGCCAGTCCCACGCCTGCTCTCTCCTCTCCACCTGCTCCATCCCCACCCGCCATGTCTGCTCCGCGCCCGGCACCCGGCTCCGGCGCGCCCGCCGCACCTGCTGCTGCGGCACCCGCTGCATCCGCACCGCAGGCACCGCCGCAGTCCGGCGCCAATGCCGCGCAGATGGCGCTGTACCGCGCCCAGCTGGCGCAGCAGCAGCAGGCCGCCGCCCTTGCCCTCGCACGCCCCGGCGCAGCGCCGGCGGCGGCGGGCGCTCCTGCCGCACGCGCCGCCGCAGCACCCGCCGGCGGTGCAGCGCCGCCGCAGCGTCCTGCCGGCGCCGCGCCGAACCTGCTGGCCGACCACATGCCCACGCTCAGCGCCCTCTCTGCCTCCGTCGGCGCGGCAAAGGTCGGAGAGATCGTCCACCGCGTGCAGCGCGGCGACACGACGGGCCTCACCGAGCCGCAGGTGGCCGCCGTGAGTGTGCTGCTGTCGGGCACAGGGCAGGTCGCTGCCGTCGTCCACTCGGCTGACGCTCGCGACACTCACAGATCCGCGCACTCGTGACGCAGCAGCTCGCGCAGGCCCGTCGCACGCAGGGCCAGCAGGGTGCCGCCGCAGCGGGTGCCGCCAAGCCCGGCGGCGCCGCAGCGGCTCCTCAGGCGCAGCAGCAGCGTGCCGGGCCGTCGACCGGGGCGGCGCCGTCGCCGCGGCCGGCCGCTGCTGGCGCCCAGGCGTCTGGCGCGCCGCCACGGCCCGGTGCGCCCGCCGGCGGGCAGCGGCCGGCTCTCACGCCCGAGCAGCTCAAGAACATCTTCCTCGGCGTGCAGCGGCAGATCAGCGATGCCGAGGCGAAGCTCAAGGCGACGCCCGAGAACGGCGGCCTGCCGCCCGGCCCGTCGCCGGAGCGCGAGGCGCTGGAGAAGCAGCTGGCAGCGGCTCGCCAGCAGCACCAAACCGTGCAGACCTACCTGCGCACCATGGCCGTCCAGGCGGGCCAGGTGCGGCAAGGCGGAGCAGCGCCCGGCCAGCCCGGCCAGCCCGGCCAGCCTGGCCAGCAGACGCAGCAGCAGGCGCAGCAGCTGGCACAGCAACGGGCCCAGCAGCAGGCCCAGCAGCAGGCGCAACAACAGGCGCAGCAGCGGGCGCAGCAGGCCGGACAGGCACCGGCGCAGGGACCGCCACGACCGCCCGGCGCCCAGCCGGTGCCGCAGCAAGGCGCCAACGTAGCGGCTGGCGGCGCTGCTGCGGGTCCCTCGACGGCCAATGCTGCACCGCGGCCAGCGGGCGCTGTGCCGCCGCGCCCGCCTGGCCCCGCTGCGCCGGTGAATGGAAATTCGCCGGCACCGGGCACGCCAGGCGTTGGCGGCGGCTCGGCGCAGGCGTCGGCTGCGCCCTCGCCACGGCCGCCTGCCACAGCCAATGCAGCGCCCGACAACCGTCCTTCACCGCATCCCAGCAACGCCACGCCGGCGCCGCCGACGCCCAGTGCGGCACTGCACGCCGCTGCGCTCTCTGCACAGCCGTCGCTGCTCGCCACTGGCCCTGCGACGCAGATTCCCGCCACGCTCTCCGTCGCGCCGGCCGCGCCAGAGCCGTACCCCAACGCCAGGGGTCCGCGGCCGACGCTCTCGCAGGGTCTCGGAACTACGCCGCTGCTCAGCACGCCTGCCATTCTCGAGCGGCCCGACCCGGCCGCGGGCTGGGAGGCGCTGCTCGGCGTGCCGACGCGCGTCGGCAACGGCGATGCGGGCCCGCTGGCGCGCCACGACCTGACGAACCCAGACTTCTGGGATGCGCTGACGGGCCGCGGCACGGGCGCTAGCAGCCTGGGCGCGCCGGGCGTGAACCCGGCAGGCATCGGCGGCGCCGATCGTCGCCTCTTGACGAAGCGCAAGATCCAGGAGCTCGTTGGCGAGCTCGACGGCAGCGAACGGTTAGAGGGCGAAGTGGAGGATGTGAGTGCCCGCTGCGTCACGTCGCTCGTGCACATTTACTGACGCCGTACCCGCTCAGCTCCTGCTCGAAGTGGCCGACGAGTTCATCGAGAGCGCCACATCGTTTGCGTGCCGTCTGGCCAAGCACCGCAAGGGCGACCGCATCGAGGTGCGCGACGTGCAGCTGCATCTCGAGCGCAACTGGAACCTGCGGTGAGTCGCTACGGTCTGCAGTCAGAGAACGCGCGAATGCTGATCCTGCGTGCCTCTCACAGCGTGCCGTTCCCCGGCGCTGCACCTGTGGCGCCGCCGCGTGCGCGCGTGGGACGGCCGGCGGGCGAGAAGGGCACATGAGTGGAGCACGACTGACTGTCCGCAATCTATGCATCTAATAGCGAGTCACCTGGCTTGCAAGGGAGAGGGAGAGACGGCTGGAGCCCGCAGCGGAGGGCTGGCCTAACTCCACGCGACGGCCAGAGCTGAGGCGACACGGTGGCCATCACACGGGCGAGCTGAGAGCATGCATGATTGCGACTAGTGTACAATGGTGAAGAAGCGACAGTGACGTGGTGGCATAAGAGGTAAACCGAGGGACGAGTCGCAGATACAGGACGCGAAGACCGAGAGAGGACGGCGAGATCGCAGGAGGCAGCAGAGAGCCATCACCGCTTCTTGCCGAGCTTCTGCGTGGGCGCGGCGTTCTTGTTGACGCCGACGCGCGAGCCACGCTCCTTGCGCCCGCCCTGCATGCCGACGGCCTGCTGCGCCTGCGCCACGGCGCTCTTGCGGCTGCGGTTCTTGTTCTTGACGTTCGCGTGCGTGAAGAAGTTCTCGGCCTTCTTCTTCGACGTCGTCATGCGCCGCTCCTTGGCCGCCGGCGCCGCGGTCTCGGCGGCATCGGCGTCGGCGCCGTCGAAGGTGACCGACTTGCGCTTCTGCACGCGCTGTCGCCGCGTCGGGGCGTCGGCAGACTCGAGCGCATCCGAGACGGCATCCTCCGAGTCGTCCGAGGCCTCGGCTGCGGGCGCAGCGGCCGACGACGAGCCAGCGCCGCCGTCAAAGACGTCCTCCCACGCGAGACCCTCAAGTCCCTCCTCGTCGCTCTCCTCGTCCGACTCCGACGCAGCCTCCTCGGCGTCCTCGTCGTCGCCCTCGCTGAGGTCGGCCGCCTCGTCGGCGCTCTCCTTGGCCTCCTGCTCGAAGTCCTCCGGCACGCCGCCGTACACGTCGTCGTGCGAGAACTTGCTGGCGACGGCGATGGCACGCAGCGGCTGCTCGACGCCCTTGACGGCCTTCTTGCCCTCGGGCGCCGATGCAATGACGGCCTCGACCTCGGCGTCGGCCGCAGCGGCCGCAGCAGAGGCGGCAGCGGCGCCCGGCGGGGGCGGCGGCGGCACGAAGAAGGGAATCTTGCCGCGGATCCAGTCATTGAGCACCATCTTGGCGGCCGTCTCGAGGTCGGGCTCGCCGCCCTTGAGCAGCTTGCCCATGCGGCGCGCCAGCTGGCCGAGGAAGTCCTCGGGCGACGTCCAGCTCTCGAGGTTGTACGTGCGGCGCAGGTACTCGGGCTTGACGCGGCTCATGAGCGCCGGCAGGTGCTCGGCGGGCGTCTCGAGGTTCTCGACGCGCACGACGCCCTTGAGCACCGTGCCCGTCTCCGAGTCGTTGGCGCCGACGGGCACGATGCCCGGGCAGTCGACGAGGTAGATGCGGCGCATCAGCGCCACGTACTGCCACACCTTGGTCTCTCCGGGAATCGGCGCCACGTTGCAGACCTTCTTCTTCTTGAGCGTGTTGATGATCGACGACTTGCCCGTGTTCGGGTAGCCGATGAAGCCGACGGAGATCTGCTTCTTGTCGGCGTGCAGCTGCGAGAACTGGCGCAGCAGCTGGATGAGCGCGCCCTTGCCGAACGAGTTGTTGATCGAGGCGTGCATGGCCAGCGTCGGGTACTCCTTGGAGAGGATCTTGACCCAGCGAGCCTGTGAAGCGCACATCGCGTGTCAGCGCTGCTCGTGTGCAAAGCAGGTCAGGCAACACAGCGAAAAGATGTCCCTCCCAGAACTACGAGCAAGTGCTTCTCTAAAGCGCCAAGCTCAACTCTTCCAGGAGTCCACTCGCCACGGCCCCGGTCTCCCACACGGCAAGCCCCCCAATGGCGGGAGAGAGGCAAGCCGCGGGGCCCGCCCCGACACTCCGCCCTGCAGCGCACCCGCGCTAGCTGCCCGCGCCACCGCGCCCTGCCCCGGCCCTCGCCATGCTCACTCGTCGTGCGTCGCTCAGCGACCCCCGAGGGAATCAGAGGAGGAATGCGCGGCAGGAGTGCACGACTCGGGAGAGAAGCAGGACACAGCGACAAGAGACAGAAGCGCAGGGCACACCGCAGGACGGAGCATGCGTCGGAACGAACAAAGAGGAGGACAGCGACGAGCGTCAATCTCCCACACTCGTAACAGTCTCGCACCATGGAGAGCGGGTGCGAGCCTTGACATGACTGTGGGGTGGCATGGCTGCCGGTACGGGACGATCGGAACAAGAGATGGAAAGACGGGACGGAATCGAGACACACAAGCACGCCGCGCACACGCGCACCGCGCACTCACCGTGACCCAGGTCGGCACAAGGTCGACCTTGTTGAGCAGAAAGACGAGGTGCTTGTGCGGCTTCTCCTCGCGGATGTGCTTGATGACGCTCTTGCAGCGCGTGCCGAGCGGGTCGCGCACGTCGAGCACGTGGATGACGACGTCGCTGCTGTCGATGACCTTGTACAGCTCGCCCCAGATGCGCCGGCTCTGGCCCTTGCTGTAGATGGGCTCTGAGCGCCCGCGCGTCACGGGCGCCGACCACACCTCGTCCGTGCCGAGCCCCGACGCGGGCGCCACGTGCGTCTCGACGGGCAGGCCGTCGGGGCCCACGCCGATCTCGGCGCCCTCGACGACGAGGTGTGCGCCGCGTGCCTTTTGCCGTGCGTCCTCGTCCTTGGCCTCGGCCGCAGCGCCGGCGGCGGCGCTCGTCTCGGCCAGCTCGGCGAACGAGCCGGCGGCACCGGCATCGAGGCGCGGACGCTTGCGCTGCGCGCCGGGCCCAAACGTCGAGGCAAACGACTCGACGGCGGTGAGCTTGGGCGCCGGGCCGGCCTTTGCGTCCTGGATGAGCGACATGGGCAGCTTGTTGCGGCGCAGCAGCACCGAGTACGGATCGTCGGTGCGTGCGCCGAGCGACTCGCGGAAGTGGTCGAGCGCATCCTGGCTGATGACGCGCGTGTTGCCTGCACGGAAGAGGTGAGCAGCGCACGCATACACCCGCAAGCCGAGCCACTCACCGAACCAGCGGCGGTCGGGCTGCACGCGCCCCGGCACCACCTCGCGGCTCTGGAACTCCTGCGTCTGGGTGACGTCGCCCTTGGCGTTGCGGATCGGCTTGCTGGCGATGCCCTCCTTGCTGAGCAGCTTGACGCGGCGCGCCTGCTTGGCGTCGCGGTAGAAGTTCTCGCCCCTGGGGGTGGTGTCAGCGGGTGTGCAGCACTGCCACGGCACGCGCGCCACTCACTTGACAAACTTGATGCCCTTGCCGCCCGACGACTTGCTCGCCGGCGCCTTCTTTGTCTGCGGGACCTTGACCATGGTGGCGGTGGTGTGATGCGGTGTGGATGGGTGGATGCGGCGCTGCTCGGTGGATGGAGCAGGGGCGTCGTCGGCGGGAAGCAGGCGGCGGATGCTGGCGCAGGGCTCAGCAGCCGCGCCGCCCCGCCAGCAGGCGCGCCAGGCAGATTTTTCGAATAGCCGAGGCGGGTGCGGCGCACGTGACACGGGTCCGCCAGGCCAGGCACGCGCGCGCGCCGCATCTTTCTTCCAGCGCAGGCCAGGGCGCAGCAGCGATAACAAATTTGGCGCGCGGCGCCGTAAATCGAGCACTTCAGGGCCAGGCACGGCGCCAGGCGACTTCGAGGGCAAGGCACTGGCAGGGGCAGCGCCGCCAAGCGCGAAGAGCGCGCGCGCGCGCGCGCGCCTCGCGCGAAGATCGGCGTGGAGCGGACAGCAGCGCGAGGCAACTCCAGCATCTGGCGCCTCTCGCAGCTCTGCATCCAGCCACATCCGCATCGCAAGCACCCGCCTCACTGCACCTCCGCAGCCGCAGCACCGGTCCCGTCCAGCTGTCCTGCCTGCGCGGCACTCCTCTTGCATGACGGCGCTCGCCGCCTCGCCCTCGCGGCCCTTTGCCGAGCAGCAGCGCACGCCGCGCAGCAGCAGCATGCTCGCCGACGCCGGCCACGCCGCCGCTCCGCCGCCGCTGCGCCTGCCGCGCGGCCACGACTCGGCAGACCTGCACGTGTGTCCCGAGATCGCACCTGCGCCGCCGCCAGGCGCCGCCAGCGCCAGCAGCACGCCCGCCCTCGCGCCGCCGCCGCCGAGCGACGACCCGTCGGGCCCGTTCGAGGGGCCCGAGAAGCTGCTCGAGCTCTGGTTCGCGCCTGCTGCGGATGCGCTGCCTGCTGCGGCACTGCACCGCTCCTTCGGCCTCACACAACAGCCGCGGCCGCGCGCCGGGCTGCGCGCCATCGAGCGGGCGCGCTGGGAGGGCATGCTCGACCTCGTCAGCTGCAAGGTGCTCAGCGTGCTCGACGGCGACGAGTGCGACGCCTACCTGCTGAGGTGAGTGGTGCTGCGGCATGCACGGGCGGTGCTGTGCTCATGTGTGACCCGCAGCGAGTCGAGCATGTTCGTCTTCCCGCACAAGCTCATCCTCAAGACGTGCGGCACGACGACGCTGCTGCTCGGCCTCGAGCGCATCCTGCGCCTCGCACACGAGGCGCTCGGCCTGGCGCTGCCCGCCGGCGTCGGCGCCGAGGCGCTCGTCGTGGCCGAGCGCGAGGCGCACGACGACGAGGACGCGGCCTTCCGCGCGCTCGGCGCCGTCGTCAAGTCGACGTTCTACTCGCGCAAGAGCTTCATGTTCCCCGAGCGGCAAAAGGGCCCGCACCGCGACTGGATGCTCGAGGTTGCCGTGCTCGACCGCTACCTCGACGCCGGCGCCGCATACACCGTCGGCAAGATGAATGGCGACCACTGGCTGCTCTACATGGCCGCCGCGCCGGACTCTCCACGCGCGCCGGCGAGCGCGCAGCACGCCGTGTCGCTGCTGCCCAAGCTCGACGCCGGCGTGGAGCGGCCACTGGCACTGCCGAGCCCTCTGGGCCTGCAGAGCGGCAGCGACCAGACGCTCGAGGTGCTCATGACGCACCTCTCGCCCGCGTCGTGCAGCCGCTTCTCCTACCCGGCCTCGCTCGCCATGCCCGCCGGCGCCACGGGCAGCCGCGGCCACGTGCTGGGCGCGCAGACGTCCGACGTGCTCGGCCTCTCGACGCTCTTTCCCGCCTCGCAGCTCGACGCCTTTGCGTTTGAGCCGTGCGGCTACAGCGCCAATGCCCTCGTGCCCGCGTCGCCCGGCAACGGCGCCGGCTACTGGACGGTGCACGTGACGCCCGAGGAGGGCTCGAGCTACGCCAGCTTCGAGACCAACGTCGAGGTGCGCGCCGCCGAGGCGTCGTCCGACAGCGCCTCGCTCGACGGCGGCGCGCTCGAGCTGGGCAAGGCGGGCAAGTCGGCCATCCGCTCCTTCGAGGGCCTCGTGGCGCGCGTCGTGGCCATCTTTGAGCCTGGGCGCCTCTCCGTCACGCTCTTCACCTCGACGTCGCGCAGCGGCGACGACGACGAGAGCGCCGACCCGCCGACGGCAGACACGGCCACCGACGGCACCTCGACGCTCAACGCCTCCATCCTCGACGCCGGCAGCGTGCTGCACGCCCTCGAGCTGCCCGGCTACCGGCGCACCGACCGCATCGCCTACGAGTTCGAGGACTACGACCTCGTCTTTGTCAGCTTCGACCGCACGGGCAGCCGGCTGCCGCGGCGCTGACTGCGGCAGCCGCGACGTGTACATATAGAGTGCAAGCCTGCTATGGCGTTGACTGACTGGGGTGTGTGGTGACGATGGATGCGTGCGGGAAGTGAGGGCAGAGAGCAGCATGGACGGGAAGACAGGGATGGGTGTGAAGCGCCGCAACAAAGGTGTGGAGGGCGGAGATGGAGATGCGACGGGGCGAGAGAGGCTGGCGGAAGAGACACGCGAGCGTGGACATACGTACCTGCGAAAGGCAACTATGCGTCGCGACCGCCGGCATCGATGAGCTGCTCAACGTCGGCCATTAGCGCGCGCAGGCTGGCAACGGCCGTGCTAGGCGCGTCGCCAGAGACGGATGCACTGGCCCGGAACTTCTTTGCAGGGGATGTGCTGGTTCTGCGAAACGGGCTCAGCAGAGCGTCGCATAAGTGTGCCAGCGCACGGCTACTCACTCGGTGGCTGCGAGCGCTTTGGCGGCACTGCGCTTGCCGAGGGTCGGCACCGTGCCGCTGCCGATGCTCTTTGAGGACTGCGAACTGGCGATGCGTCGAGTGCGCCGCAGCGAGCGTTCCTCCTCCACGAGCTCCTTGACTGCCTCGCTCGCCAGCGCATCAAAGCGGCGCGCAGAGTCTCGAAACTCATGCTCTGCCTGCTCGTCCACGCGCGCGCCGCTGTCTTGCAGAGCTGCGATCACGATCGCAAAGAGCTGTTCGCCGCATGCTGCCAGGGGGAACGCTGTGGCCGAGCCGCGTCAGCTCATTCACCATGCAGTCGCTGCTTTGCACTCACGTTGCTGCTGTGCCTTCGCCGTGGCGAGCATCGAAGTCAGCAGCGCCAGCGACGCGTCCTGCGGGCATTCAGCCAGCAGGTCATCCTCGTCCAAGTATTCAGCTACCCGCTCATACAGCATGGCGTCCGCGCTTGCCATGCTGTCCGGCAGCGTCTGCCAGTCGAAAGGCGACAGGCGGACGTCGGGAAGGTCCGCATACTCCTCGCTCAGGTATTCGCAGATCTGCTCCACGGACTCGGTCGCGTTGTTCAAGAGCAAGACGACGGTGGCGAAGGCCCGAGCAGCGAGGCGCCTGTCGCTGTCCGAGGAGGGCGCACGAGTTGCCGAAAGGCGGCGCAGAAGGTCCTCGAGACAGTGGAAGGCGCTGTATAGCGGATGAAGAAGCTGGTCGAACAGTCTCGTCACAGGAATACGGCGAGCATCCTCCGCCCACACGATGGATGTGATCAGCCGCTCGAGCTGCACCTTGAAGTTGACGTCCGTCTGGTCCTCTGCGTTCGTGAGCCGCATGATCGACACGCCTGCCCAGACGTCGCCGGTCTCGTAGCCCAGCTCCTGCAGCACCTCCATGTCTGAGGGTTCCTCGGACCACGCCACGACGAGGAGCCAGGGCACGTGGTTTCTGCGCGCCGCTGCTACGCCATCGCGAAGCCGCCGCAGCCGTGCCGCATCGCGCGAATCACCCTGCGGCGAGCGCTCGAAGATGACGAGCCCAAGCGTCTCCTGGAAGGGCAGCGAGGTCTCTGCGCCCTCGATGAAGACCTTGAGATCGCGACGGCGCGGGCCGAGTCTGCTGTCAAATCTGCTGTCGATGCTGGACCGTTCGAGGTCGAGCTTGTTGCGCAGCCACTGCGAGCCAGCTCCGTTGCCGGCCGTATCCAGCGTCACATCCCACGATCTAACATGCCGCGGCTCTCCGCTGGGCGGAGTGAGGTCCTCCACGCGCTTTGCGAGCGCATCGAGCCATGTGCCGGGCGCCCACAGCTCGTCGCGCGAGCTCCTGGCATCGGCGAGCTGCTGCTGCAGTGCCGAGTCGTCCATCCGTGTAGCCGCACTCGTGGCTGGCACGCGCTCAGCGCGAGGCTGCTGAGCATGTGCCTCGCCGTAGAGGATGCTCCGCTTGCCCCACGATTCTTCAGCGAGCTCCTCGCCAGCTGTAGATCTGCCAAGAGCTCGCCGCTTCAGGTCCTGGCGCACGTGATCAAGACGGCGCGTCTCATCGGCACGCGCTCTGCGATCGTCCAGCCGAGCAGTCCAGACGCGCAGGGTTGCGCGGAATAGCGCACGGCCACGCAGCGTGGCCGCGGCGGCGTACTCGGCCGCCTCCTCGAGCTTGAGAGCGAGCACTTCCTCGACGCCTTCGTCCAGCAAGCCTTGCACCACTGCCTCGACCCGAGCGGTCCGCGTGTCCTCCTCGCGGCGGGCGTGCGCTAACTCAGCTGCTTTGCTTGCTTCTTCTGTCCTTTGCCTGATGGCCGCAGACACGGCAGGCGTGGCGAGCAGCGAGGAAGTGGCGTCGTCAGCCTTCTTGGACTTCTTCGCTGGGCCTGCGCCCGGAGAGGGAGCCACGTCTGCCGCGACAGCGCCAGGCGCCGCCACGGAGACTGCGGCAGCCTCTCCGGACGCGTCGGACGTACGATTCGCCTTGAGCTTGGGCGTAGCGCCGTTGCTTGCGCCATTGGTGGCAGTCGGAGCGGACGCTGCTTTGAAAGAGATGAAGGAGGGAGTGGAAGAGGAAGAGGAGGTGGTTGGCTTTTTGTACGGCGACGCAGCAACACGAGCAGCAGCGGTCGTTGCCTTCGCGGCGGGCGCGGGCGCACTTCCACTACTGGACCCGCTTGCCGATCCGAACTGGGGCTTCGACGTACCCCAAACGCTTGCAGAGGAGGTTACAGGGGGTTTCTGAGTCGGCAGTGTCGAAGATGTGGCGGCTTGCCTCGCGACGGCTGGCGGAGGAGCCGATGCGGCGGCGACTCGTGCAGCGAAGGCCTGGGCGGCAGCAGAGGGAGGAGGCGCAGCGGCACTCGCGACCGGAGCCCACTTGGAGGGGCCGCTCCATGGGTCAGCCTGCTGCGGCAGCTGCTGCAGCTGGCTGGCGTTCTCGCGCGCGGCTGCTGATGCGCGCCGTGCGACCTGCCGCGGCGGGTGGAAGAGCGGCGGCAGCGGCTGTCCGAGGTCGTCGTTGAGGAGCGCAGTTGCACCAGACGCCACGCCGTCGACGACTTCCTGGCACGTCCACGAGCCGCGCTTCGCCTCGACGAGCGACTCGCTGAACGGCGACTCCTTGCCCTTGGCAATGTCGGCGTCTGTCACTGCGCACGAGGCGGTAAGCACATGCGTTGAGAGAGACGGGCTTAGCACTCACGTGCTCGCTTCTCCTGGCCACGCCCGATGCTGAAGGCGACGCTCTGCTTGCCGTCGGTCGCAACAGCCGAGACCTCAATGTAGCCGCGGCTCTTGGCGAAGTCCAGCGTCTCCTGGGCATCGTCGGTCGCAAGCACCGACTGCAGCTCATCGACGGGCATCGGGGCATGTTGTGCCATGTAGGCGCTCTCCATGGCACGAGTTGCGCCGGCGCGCACCACCGGAAAGATGTTCTCGGCGAGGCAGGCGAGGAGGTACGGCACGTTGGGGCCTCTGACCTCCTTGAAGAAGCGCGACCAGAGGTTGGGCGAGCCCTCGGCGCCGCCTCGGGGCTTGTCGGGCCCGGCACCCTGCGCGTAGCCTCGCAGACGCAATGCGGCTTGCAGGATCGGTGCGTCGAAGACGCTGGCGGGCAGGTGCTCGACTTCGCGCAGCGTGTCCGGGTCGCGGTGGTGCAGCATCAGACTGTACGCCCGGAACTCGGCCTCGTTGGGCGCGCTCCGGCCGGTGGACGACCGCATGTCGGCGTAAAACTCCGTCAGACTGCGCACGGCTGTGGAGAATTGTCAGACGAGGCGGCGAGAGCGGTCCTGGCAGCCGACTCACTCTTGCGCAGCTGCTCCAGCTCCTGCTGCTCGCTCCACTCCTCCGCGCCGCGTCCGCCCTTCCAGTGCAGACACAGGATGTGGTACCGCGCAATGCGCTCGTGGCACTCGATCGTCAGCGGGCTGCTCTGGCCCTGCACGATGAAGTCTTGCCGCACCGCACGCGTGCGGTTCCAGATGAAGCCCTGCACGTTGGCAAACTCGAGCTCGTCGGGCGATGCGGGAAGCATGGTGTGGAAGAGGTAGTCGAGTGTTCGCTGAGCGGTAGAGATGCAGCGTCAGCGCGTGAAGGCTTCCGGCACGACGCGCAAGGACTCACGCGCAGCACTGCCGGTGGCCGGATGTCGTCTGGGAGCGGCAGCTCTCTTCCAGCAGCAGGGCGTCGATAGATCTTGACCGCGTAGGCCGGGTCGATGCGTGACGTGCCAGAGACCTGGAAGCAGCAAGGGACTGTCAGACGTGGCCGACCGGACGCAAGCAGATTTGACTCACCATCTCCAGCGCATCGCCTTCATTCTGATGCTCGCGCTCGGCGATCTCGAACGCTGGGCACATGTCCATGCACGTGCCCCGCAGGTTCGACGCCGCAGCGAGATCCAGCGCCTTGGACGGGTCTGGCAGCACACCGAGGCGGATATACCGCTCCCGGGCGGCCTCGCGCTGCACTTTCAGCTGCAGAGTGCGCGGCAATCAGCATACAGTGGAGAGACGGCCTTGCAGAGCTGCGCACCTCAGGATACCGATTGGCGCTGGACGAGTCGAAGCGCTGCTTGCGCTCGGCGTCGAACTCCACTGCCGCACCCATGGCGTTGCGCCCGCCCGACAGCGAGGTGATGCCGCCGGATGGGCCGGCAGTTGGGGCGGGCGACTCGCGTGCACGCATGAAGCGGCCCAGTCCAGAGCCTGCCTGGCCGATCGCCGGCGGCGCGGGCGCTGCGGCAGCTGCACCTGCTGGCGGGGCGAAGGCATATGACGGCTGCGCGCTGCCGGCACCAAAGGCCGACGCCGGCGGGGCGACGGGCGCCTGCACAGCTGGCGTCGGCGCAGTCCACTTGAGGCTGCCAAACGTGGGTGCCGCAGCAGCAGAGGTCGCAGGTGCTGCGACACCGAAGCTGGCCGAGCCCCAGGCGGCGGGTATCGTGCTCGTAGACGGCCCGGCCTCGTCGCTGAACGTGGCCGACATGTTGGCGGAGCGCGGCGTCGTGCTGACGGGCGCTGCGCCTCGACGGCGGCTCAGCAGGCGCGGCGGCGCCTCGTCGCGGTTCATGCTGGCGACCGGCGGCTGTGTGCACTACGAGACAAGGCGGTTGAACGCAGTGGCTCGAGACGGACGTGCGCGGCCGATGTGGAGAGGTGCAGCTGCGGCCAGGCGTCGTGCGGGCTGGAGAGACGATGCGCACAGCGGGTGTATGCCGCAGCCGCAGAAAGGTGCTGAGTGAGAGGGTCTTTGGTGCTGTGCCAGGCGAGCTCGTGCCTCGACTCGGCTCGCGGACTCTATGGGGTATGGTGGAGGGGTCAGGCGAGGTAGGTGCCAGCGGGCGTGCCGGTTGGCGCATCGGGCACGCGCGAGCGACTGTGCGGATCTGGCGCACGTTGGCGGGCGACAGCGATTCTGATTTCAGGCACGCGCGACAACGTCTCGGCCGAGCAAGATTTTTGGCGCGCGCGACAGCCACGGCATGGGGCCGGCACGGGCAGCAGCAGCTTCCTGCCCGACACCTGCTCCTGCCTCTCCCCTTGCACACCCCTCATCACCGCCTTCTCGTCTCTGCACGACACCTTGCCGGCGCCGAAGCGATCAGAGCTGCAGCCACGCCTCGCCCGCCATGTCGTCCTCTGACTTTGGCAGCTCGAGCTCCGGCTCCTCCGGCTCCTCCTCCTCCTCCTCCGACGGGCCGGCCACGCCGCCGAGCACGCATGCATCGCTGCCCGGCTCGCTGAAAGAGGCACGCGGTAGCGCAGCCGACATCACCGACGGCGCTGCGCCGGCCGCTGCGCCGTGGCTCGAGCCGCACACCTTCCACACGCTGCGCACGCAGGCCCGCTTCCAGCAGCCGAGCGCCGACGCCTTCGACCACCCGGACCTGCAGGCGCTGACCGCCCCGCACATCGAGTCCTTCAACGCGCTCTGGGCCGAGGACCCGAGTCTTGATGCCGGCGGCGACCGCGGCGCCGCCGGCGCCAGCACCTTCTCGAGCCTTCCGCTGCCCGGCGGTGCTCTCGGCGAGGGCGTGGGCCTGCTGGCCAAGGCCCTGCAGAACCTGCCGCCGCGGGTGGTCTTTGATGGCAAGGGTGCGAACGGCGAAGAGCTGCAGCCGGGGCCCGGTGTTGGCCGCGGCAACCGTCTGCAGATCAGCATCGACAGTGTCTCGCTCGGGCGGCCACAGGTCAGCGACCGCGCTCGCGGTGCAGTGGGCAAGAAGATGTTCCCGAGCGAGGTGAGTGAGAGGTAGGCAATGGCTGTGCGATGCATGCTGAACGCTTCGCCCTAGTGCCGAGAGCGCCTGCGGACATATACTGCCAAGATGACGGCGCGCGTCAAGTGGAGCGTCAACGGCGGCCCGCCGCAGCTGGAGGACCGCGACATGGGCTTCGTGCCGGTGATGGTCAAGGTGAGTGCCGGATGAGTGTGCAGCTCTGTGGCAGCTGCTAATGCGTGTGCGCTCGGCAGTCAAATCGCTGCAGCCTGCGCTCCCTCTCGTCGAAGGAGCTCGTCGCGGCCAACGAAGAGCCGCACGAGCTCGGCGGCTACTTCATCATCAACGGCAACGAGCGTCTCGTGCGCTTCCTCATCGTGCCGCGCGCCAACCACGTCACCGCCATCGAGCGGCCATCATTCGCCAACCGCGGTCCGTCGTACACGAACAAGGGCTGCTCGATCCGCTGCGTGCACCGCGACGACCTGATGAGCGTGACGAACACGGTGCACTACCTCGACAACGGCGGCGTGACGCTGCGCTTCAGTATGCGCAAGCAGGAGTACATGATCCCCGTCGTCATGCTGCTCAAGGCCCTCGTCAGCGCCACGGACAAGGAGATCTTCAGCGAGCTGATGCAGGGCGACTTTGGCAACACGTTCCTGGCCGACCGCGTCGAGCTGCTGCTGCGCGGCTTCAAGACGTACAGCCTCTGGACGGGCGAGCAGTGCCTGCAGTACCTCGGTGACAAGTTCCGCGTCGCGATGGCTGTGCCCGACGACTGGACGGACTACCAGGTCGGCGCCGAGCTCATCGAGCGCATCCTGCTCGTGCACCTCGACACGCCGCGCGAGAAGTTTAAGCTGCTCACTTTTATGATGCGCAAGCTCTACTCGCTCGTCGCCGGCGACTGCTGCGTCGACAACCCCGACTCGCCGCAGCACCAGGAGATCCTGCTGCCGGGCTTCCTTTACGGCCAGATCATCAAGGAGCGTCTGGACGAGTATGCCATTGCGCTGCGGGGCCAGATTGCGCGCGATGTGCGCACCAAGGCGCGCGGCATCGACTTCTTCGACGGACGCTACATCTCCAAGACGTTCTCCAAGGTCGTGCCGAACATCGGCGGCCGCCTGTCCTCGTTCCTAGCCACGGGCAATCTGAGCTCGCCCTCGGGCCTCGATCTGCAGCAGACGAGCGGCTTCACGATCGTGGCCGAGAAGCTCAACTTCTACCGCTACATCTCGCACTTCCGCTGCGTGCATCGCGGCGCGTTCTTCGCCGAGCTTAAGACCACGACGGTGCGCAAGCTGCTGCCTGAGGCGTGGGGCTTCCTCTGCCCTGTGCACACGCCCGACGGCTCGCCCTGCGGTCTGCTCAACCACTTCTCGCACTCGTGCCGCCTCATCACGCGCACCATCGACGCCTCGCACGTGCCGGGCCTGCTCACCTCGCTGGGCATGAGCACGTCGTGGGCGTCTCAGGTCGACGGGCGCTCGCACGTCGTGGTGCAGCTCGACGGCGCCACTGTGGGCTACGCCACGCCGTCGCTGGCGCGCCACATGGCCACTGTGCTGCGGTTGTGGAAGACGGAGGGTCTCAACGATGTGCCGCTTGACCTCGAGATCGGCTTTGTGCCGACGAGCAAGGGCGGCCAGTACCCGGGCCTGTACCTCTTCTCCGGCCGCTCGCGCATGATGCGCCCGGTGCGCCACCTCGCCAACAACCGGCTCGACATGGTGGGCCCCTTTGAGCAGGTGTACCTCGACGTGGCATGCCTGCCCGACGAGATCGAGAAGGGCCTCTCGACGCACGCAGAGCTCAGCCCGACGAACGTGCTCAGTGTCATTGCGAACCTGACGCCGTTCTCCGACTACAACCAGTCTCCGCGTAACATGTGAGTGTCGCTGCGCGCAGGCGCGTGAGCCGTTCGCTGACGCCGTCGCTCCTCTACAGGTACCAGGTCCGTCGCGTGCCAGCGTCACGCATCCTCTGAGCGCCTTTGCTGACCCGCTTCCCTTCAGTGCCAGATGGGCAAGCAGACGATGGGCACACCCAGCACGGCGCTGAACCACCGCACGGACAACAAGCTGTACCGGATACAGAGCCCCCAGACGCCCGTCGTGCGTCCGGCGCTGCACAACCGCTACGGCTTCGACGAGGCACCCAACGGCGCCAACGCCATCGTCGCCGTCATCTCGTACACCGGCTACGACATGGAGGACGCGATGATCCTGAACAAGAGCGCGCACGAGCGCGGCTTCGGCTACGGCACGATCTACAAGAGCGAGATCATCGACCTCAAGGACATCAAGGGCGCGACGTCGAGCAAGGCCGGCGCCGCGACGCTCCATTTCGGCTTCGCCAACGACGTGCGGAGAGACCACCCGAACCGCGAGCTGCTGGACATTGACGGGCTGCCGTTCCCCGGCGCGCGCCTGAAGCAGGGCTCGCCGTTGGCGGCCTACTGGGACGAGACAACGGGGCGCACCGACTTCAAGAAGTACAAGGGCGACGAGGTGGCCTACGTCGACACGGTGCGCCTCATCGGCTCCGACACGGGCGACCACGAGCTGCAGAAGCTGCAGATCGTGCTGCGCGTGCCGCGCTCGCCCGTCATCGGCGACAAGTTCAGCTCGCGCCACGGCCAGAAGGGCGTGTGCAGTCAGAAGTGGCCCGCCGTCGACATGCCGTTCAGCGAGAGCGGCATGCAGCCGGACGTTATCATCAACCCGCACGCCTTTCCGTCGCGCATGACCATCGGCATGCTCATCGAGAGCATGGCGGGCAAGGCGGGCGCCATGCACGGCATCGCGCAGGACTCGACGCCGTTTACGTGAGTAGCGCAGGTGCTGCCCTGTTCGGAGCGTTGCTGACCCGCGTCGTGCAGCTTCTCGGAGGACGACACGCCGATCGAGTACTTTGGCGAGCAGCTGCGGCGAGCAGGCTACAACCACGTCGGGCACGAGCCGATGTACTCGGGCATCACCGGGCAGGAGTTCCGCGCCGACATCTACCTCGGCGTCGTGTACTACCAGCGCCTGCGTCACATGGTCAACGACAAGTTCCAGGTCCGCACGACGGGCCCGGTGCACCAGCTGACGCGGCAGCCGATCAAGGTGCGTCCCATGTTTCTCAGCTGGCGTGTCAGACGCTGATCACGCTTCATCCACAGGGCCGCAAGCGCGCCGGTGGCATCCGTTTCGGCGAGATGGAGCGCGACGCGCTGCTCGCGCACGGCACGTCGTTCCTGCTGCAGGACCGCCTGATGAACTGCTCCGACTACTCGACGTCGTACGTGTGCCGGACATGCGGCTCGATCATCTCGCTCGGCTACGACGACGCGGCGCTGGCGGGCGTGCAGACCATCGACGCCAGCACGGGCGCCACGGCGGCGCCGGCGCAGCTCGGCCCCAACGGCGAGTACTGCCGCATCTGCCGTGCCGAGGACGAGCTGCGGCGCGAGCAGGGCCAGGAGCCGCTCACGGGCCGCCGCATGGCCAAGGGCGGCCAGGTCGTGCGCCTTGGCCCGGAGAGCCTCATCAAGCGCGGCTCGGGCGGCCTCGATGTCATCGTGAGTATGGCGTGCTGTCTTGTGCATGTGCGATGCTCATCCGTGCTCTTCCAGGCCGTGCCATATGTGCTCAAGTACCTCGCTGCGGAGCTCGCGTCCGCCGGCATGCGCATCTCGTTTGAGATCGCCTGAGCCAGTCTGCCCCTCATTATCTCGCTCCGCCCATCCCATGCTGCATCCTCGCAATGTCATCGCTGTAATCATCTGTGGCATTGCAGTGCGCCTGCCTCAGAGCTTCGCCGGCGCGGCCTCGACACGAACGAGCGCCGAGCCGCCGCCGAGGCTCTTCTTGCCGCCCTTGACGCTCTGCTCGAACGCGACCTTGACGGTGCCGTCGGCCTGCTTGTCCGTCCACACCTGCGTGACGAGCGTGTCGCCGGGCATGACTGGGCTCGTGAAGCGCGCAGCGATGGACAGAAGCGACGTGACGGGCGCGTCGGCCTTGCCGTCCTGCGGGTTGACGCTGCGCAGCACGGCGCGTGCGGCGTGGCCGTCTGAGCGGGCAGGATGAGCATGTAGAAGTGCGGCTCGCAGCGACGGTACTCACAAGAGCAGAGGCCGTGCAGGATCGCACCGGGCAGGCCGCCGCGCTTGCCGATGCTCTCGTCGATGTGCAGGGGGTTGTAGTCGCCGCTCAGGCGGTACAGCGCCGCCTGTGTGAGGTGGTCAGCGGCTGCGCCATATCTGATGCCGCACCACACGCACCTGTGCCGGCGACGTCTTCTCCTCGAGCTCAAAGTCGGGCTTGCGCGCCGGCGGCTTGACGGCGGCCGGCTTCTCGACGATGAGCTTGCTGAAGCCCGTGCCCTGCGAGCCGCCGCGGTAGAATGCCGAGCCTGTGGGAAGTGAGCACATGCACGCGGCAGAAGCACACCGGGCGGCTCACCGATCATGATGGCGTGCGTGTGGCCCGTGGGGCTGACGAGGCGCACCTCGGTCTCGAGCACGAGGCCCTTGCCCTTCTCGGGCGCGTCGCGCACGCCGACGATGCGCTTGCGCAGCTTCCAGCCGGGCTCGGCGACGGGCGGGATGGGCGCCAGCACCTGGATCGACTGCTCGCCGTGCACTGCGTGGTCGTGTGAGCGGCATCACAGAGGGGCTGCGCGGCATACATCGCACGTATGCTGCCAGACATGTGTCGCCTCTACATGACCAGGCATGCGACTCACCGATGGTGTTGGGGTCCAGCTTCGGGAAGCCCGGCGTGGCGCTGCGCCCGCCCACCATGTCGGCGAAGACGTTGGTGTCGTTGCCGTCGCCCTTGAGGCCGAGCACGAGCGGGTAGGTGCCAACGGCGCGGAAGCCGCGCGTGCCCTCGTACACGTAGGCCAGGTCATCAGGCCCGGCGCCGATGCCGAGGGCGTAGAGGATGAGGTCGCGGCGGTTCCACGCCACGGGCTGCGGCGGCTCGGCGTGCCCGATGCAGAGGTTGAAGTCGACGGCGGCCATGTCTTCAGCGTGTGCGGGCGGGTAGAGGTGGAGGATGGGCTGTGTGCGAGGGATGGAGGAGCTGAAGAGCCGCGAGGAGGGTGCTGCGAGCGATGCTGGTGGAGCTGAGCGAAGGCAGAGCAGCGGCACGCCCGCAGTACGGAGAGGCGGATGCCTACCCCGCGCCGCTCCGGCACATCCGGCCCGGCGCACAGACGCCCCAGCAGCCGGTCGCCCGGCCGCCTGCGCGCCGCACGCTCCTCGCCCGGCAGCCACACGTGCAGCGCTGGGCAGGCGCAGCTGCGGCAGGACGAGTGCTGGGTCCATCCGCCTCGCCGCGAGTACTGGACTTGGGCGCAGCAGCGACATGGCGACAGCGGCAGATGGGGTGCGAGGAGAGCGGAGGCAGGAGCTGCGGGCGCCGCCGCGTGCCGAGAGATGCGCGGCGCGCGCGCGGCGGCGTTTTGCAGGGCTCGCGCTTTCTGTGCCGCCGCTGCATGCAGCGGGCGCTAGACGCAGCGCCGACGGCAGCAGCATCTCGCAGACCCAGATGGCAGCTGAGCATCACACGACCGGTCGAGTCAACGAGCCGCTGCAGCAGGTCATTGACCAGGTGGGACTATGGGAGACACGGCAGGATGGCGAGGAGCGAGAGTGGCGGCGCGCCGAGGCGTGGGAACAGAGACATGCGTGTCATTGTCGGCGACAGGGAGGCGTCGCGCATCGACGCAGAAGCGGAGCGGTCGGCTGGGGTACAGAGGGAGAGACTACTAAGTGAATGAAGAGGTAAGACGATTGCGAAAGTGAAGCGCAGCGGGTAGTGGCGGCAGAGAGCAAGCGGGACGGAGGCGATGCGGTGTGCGCCACCTCGGAGGCCCCCCGATGGCGACGGAGCATGCTGCTGGACGCTTAGTACAGCGTGCAGCGCTTGTTGCGGCAGTGCGACGTCTCGCACCCGACCGACTTGTAACAAACGTGTCCGACGGGCTTCTTGACGTCGCAGCGGCCGCGGCGGCAGTAGCCGGAGTCGCACTGGATCGACTGCGTGCACGTCGTGCCGTCGGGCGCGTTGTCCTTGGCAGCGCAGCGCCGGTTGATGCAGAAACCACTCGAACAGCCCTGTGGCTTATAACATCTGGATCCGTCGGCCGCCTTGTCGGCGCACACGCGGTTCTGGCAGTAGCCGCTGGAGCACTGCACGCTCGCGTTGCAGCCGATGCCGTTCGTCGCCTCGCCCGGCGCGGCGACGCAGCGGTTGTTGCGGCAGAAGTTCGAGGCGCAGTTCTGAGCCTTGTAGCAGTAGCTCTGCAGCGCCTGCTTGTCGGCGCAGCGGTTGCGGTTGCAGTTGTCGCTGGCGCACTGCGACTGAGGCGGGAGAGACGCGTCAGGATGGAGTCTGGGCGACGCGCAGCCATGGGCGCACTCACGCTGGCCGTGCACTGCGAGTTGTTGGGCTGGCCCGGGGCCGCCGGCGTCGACGTCGACGAGGGGGCATTCTGGCGCTGCAGCAGCGTGGGCACGGGGCTCAGGAGCTGGCGCACGGCGAACTCGCCGCCCGAGCGGGCGAGGTTGGCCTGGGGCTGGGCGAGCTGCGCAAAGGCACCGAGGACGGGCAGAGCGAGCAGGAGGGCCGTGGAAGTGAAACGCATCTTGAAGTGGTGTGAAGAGGTTGGAAGGGGATGAAGGAGATGGAGTGGTAGACTGGAACGAGGAGGGATGCTGATTGAGGATTGGGGGCAGCGCTGTCCGGCTTATGTATGGCGGCTGAGTGATCGCTCCTCTTCGCAATGTCCGTCCGATCGTACCACAGGCTGCCATAGCCGGGCTGCCATAGCCAGAGCAGACTGCCATGTCGCTTCGTGGACATTCGACGGATTCGGCCCTCTGGCATGTCGGGTGCGTCTGCTCGCGTGACCTCATCTTTGCTCCGCCCGGCGGCCTGCGAACCTATGGATGCCGTGTCTCTCCCACGGCAGCAGCGCGAGGTGCGCTGCTCGGGGCAGAGACACGGGTCATCGGTCCGGACGGACTATCTTGGGGCCTGCTCGGGGGCGCTGATCAGCCGATCATACCGAGGCTGCTCATTCGATGCGGCAGCGCGGGAATGTCCAGCGCCGATGGAAGAATCTTGGCGCTCGAGCCACAGATGTGGGCCTGCTCTCGAGGAGGACCAACACGCTAGAAGCCGCATGGGCGGCCGCCAGCTCCTCTCGCAACTCGCATGCGGACGGTCGCTTGAAGCGGGCATGATCAACGCCTCTGCGGTTCCCGCATCACTCGGCACTACCTCGAGCAGCTCGCTGAACAAGTGTGGCGTGAGATGCAGCGGGTGCGCCAGAGCAGTTGCCAGCAAGCGGCACCTCGCGGGCGCCTTGACGGGAAGGGCCGCTCGAGCAACTTGCTGATTGCGCCCCGTGTGGCGGCATGCGTTCATGGGTGTGCAGGGTCGCAGCACAGCGCTTGGGAGCCGGGAGCCGAGCAACACCGAGCGACAGGGTCGCTGTGCGTGACCAACACGATGTGTGTGCCACGGACGGCAGGGCATGAGCGTCGCACCTTCGGGCAGATCATGAGGGCAAACGGCCTACAGATCCCCACGCAGCGGAGGCTCGGGACGCTTGCAGCATGCCGGCGACAACGGAGTACGAGTGTAGGTGCCGTCTACGATTGCTTCCCGTTTGCACTCCGAAGGCCTGCTCGATGTGCTGCAGCTCCTCACACCTCATGCCTGGGTACTGCCCTCCGGGCTGTGTCCAGAGGGCAGCAAGCAGCCGGCCTTGGCGAGCTGACGGAGCAGAGATCCTTGGCCGAGACTGAGACGGCGCTGCTGCAGCGGCGCTCGCTCCGCCGATGCCTCCGCAGACCCTCCGTCAGATCCCAGATGCAGATGCGTGACGGTCTGTGCCCGCCCGGCATGTGGGTGCCACAGGACTCGTCGCTGATGTCCAGGCGCTGCAGGAGCAGGCGAATTGCTCGAAACTTGCAGGAGCGCGAGGTTGGAGCGTCGAGACGCGGAGGCAGCCCAGCCTCCGAGAATCTCGCAGCGCGGATCAATCAATCGAATGTCACTAGCGCCAGGGCCCGTCCATCCCAGCCCACCCGCGGCCCTCTCCGGTCCGAGCACGCACACACGCCAGTCTGCTGATCGCCTGCGGCCCCTCGAGCAGCGATGACAAGGTGCAGGAGCGCCACATCCGGACCCCGGCGGCGCCTTTGAAAGATGTGCTCGTCAGCCGTGGCCAGAGCGCAGGTTGCCGCGGCTACGCGCAGCGCCCGCTGCCAAGAACGCCGCCGCACGCCCGCGCCTTGCTGCTGCCATCAAATGCTCGATTTGCACTCAGACATAGCTCAGAGGCTACAGCTGCAGGTGCAGCTGCAGCAGGTTGGCCGTCCGCTGCTCATGCAGGCTGCGCTCTGCCCGGCGCATGACCGCTGGCTGCTGTCACGCGATCGACCGCGGGGCCAGGCCGCAAGACGCCCGAGGCGCGGCAGCAGCAGCGCAGGGCGGTGTGGAGCGCCGGCCCCGCCATGGGCGGAGGCAGAAAAGAATGTGGCGAGCAGAGCAGGCGCAGGAGGAGCAGAGCAGCAGCAACATGCAATGACAGCCGCCGCTGGTGGCGTTGGGCCGTGTGCTCCGTGCGCATGGGTCCCGAACTCCCGACGCGCGCCGAGCGGGCGTGGAATGTTGGGAGCTGACTGCGGAGGAAAGGGAGCGAGCAAGAGCAATGGGAGCATCAGCATGCAGCGGCCCTGGCGGCGCTCGCAGCCGCCCGCATGGAGATGCCTGCGGCTGGTGCTGCACCCGTCCGAGCCGGATCAGCGCCAGAAGCCAGCTGCTTCCATGCTAGCGACGCCGGCGGCTCATGCGGGCTGCGTCTGCCAAGGGCCCGCCTGCGGCTGCCGCGGCTGCTGCCTGCTGTGTCTGCGGCTACAGGACGCCGTGCTCTGCCCGTTGACAGGCCATTACTTCCCAGGCTCGAGCTGCGTCGCCGCATGTGGCCGCTGGATGTACCGCCGGCGCCCGGCGCGCGTCAGGGTCGCGGGGAATAATCGCGCGTCGATCGCGATCCAACAGACGATGTCGCAGCCGGCGCCGGCGCCGCGCTGCATCAGGTAGCACCGGAGATGGCCGCAGCGGTGCCGTCCCCGCGTGACCGCTGCGCCCGGCGAGTTCATGAGACAGCATCGTGCAGCGGGCGGTCGCGTTGCAGCGTGGAGCGGAGATGCTGCGCGCGACGGCGCAGCCACCGCCTGCCGCATGCCGAGCACCGCTGTCCAGCGGATCAGCCCCAAGAAATCGCGTTGACCCGCTCCGGCGTCCGCACCCGGCTGACGCTGCGGCATCTTGATGCTTTGCAGCGCGTCAGCGTGCGACGATGCATCTGCCTGCGCTGCCTCCTCAGCTGCCCGGCACCTGCTGCTGCCTGTCCGAATTGCGTTTTCGGGGCTGAACAAGCCTGCAGCCACCTCTGCTCTCATGCCCCCGGCTACTGGCGCATGACAGCATCGTGCGGCAGCCGCCGCCGCACAGGCAGCAGGACGCAGGCCGCCGGTCCCGCACCTGCATCTGCACAGCGCCCGCCTTCTGGCGCGCCACCGGGCCTTGGCGCGCCGCGCTCGTCGCGTGACCCGGACCCCCTGAAATGCTGCACGGCACCTCGCTCTCACAGCGTCATCATCGCCAGCCAGGCCCCGCCTTGCGGCCAGATTGCAGCGCAATTCTCTGAGCATAGGACCACAGCAGGACCCTTTGGCAGTGCAGAGCACGACTGTCAGGGTACCCGGCTCTACGAGCTGCGGCTCGGTCCCGCGTCGGCTGCTGCACGCGCGCGCGCCGCTTCGCACGCCGGCGCCACAGTGCCTTCGCGATTCCTGCTGCCTGCACAGACGTCCTGCCTTGTCGAAGCAGCTATGATCAGCAGAAGGGCCACCCCTTCCTGCGTCTGGCTCGGACCTGCCGCCGTGCGGGCCCACTAGCAAGTTGCAGCCCTGGCGAGCTGCTCGCGGGCACCGATCTCTGCGGGACAAGTTCTGAGACTCACCGGGCATCTGTGATCGCTCATGGGTGATGGCTTACGCATTATGAAGACCAAGAGGAGCTAGGAGATCTTGTCGCCACGTCTCGTACCACACAAAGCTGACTAATCTGCCCTTGAAAGTGGCGACAGCCGCCCGTCCCCCTCCGACATCCCTCATCTGCTCGCCCGCCACCTGCCTCTCCTCACCGGTTCCTCTCCCTTCGTACTTTCTCCAACCTCGGTAGCGCTTCACCTGCAAAATGCCGGTCACTCTCTCGCAACTCTCGGTGCTGGGCACGCTCAGCTTGCAGAACGGCGCCCTTGCCTTCGTGCTGCATCGGAGCCGGCGTCCCGATGCTTCGGGCGGCGTGTACAGCACCAGCACCGCAGTCCTGCTCGCGGAGGTCGGCAAGGTCATCATCGCCCTTGTGGCGCTCAAGTTCTTCTCCTCCTCTACGAACACCGTCAAGGGCTACCAGGCGCTGCCGCAAGCGCCGCCGAGTCCGCGAGCCGAGAAGTACTTCGAGCACCAGTCCGACTCAGTCGCCGAGGTCGAAGCGCCCACAAAGAGTGCAAGCCGGACGCTCGCTCGCATGGCAGTGCCAGCGCTGCTCTACGTGTGCCAGAACCACCTGCAGCTCATCGCCGTCTCCTACCTCGGTGAGGCGATCCGACCGCTCGACGTCGCTGTGCTATCCGCTGACTCTTCTGCAGACCCCGCCACCTTCCAGATCCTTGCTCAGCTCAAGATCGCCGCAACTGCCCTCTTTGCGATGCTGCTGCAGGGCCGCAACTTCTCCTGCGCACAGCTCAGCGCCCTCGGGTGCCTCATGCTTGGTGTCTTCGCCGTGCAAGCCAGTGTCGGTCGCGGTGCCTCCACCGCCTCCGCGGCGGAATGGGCTGCAGTTCTGCGCGGCGTCTCCGCTATCTTCGTGGCGACGCTGCTCTCGGGCTTCGCCGGCGTGTACCTGGAGGTCACGCTGAAGGACGCATCAAGCGACTTCTGGACGTGCAACCTGCAACTGGCGGCTCTCAGCCTCATTCCGGCTCTCGTGCCGGTCATCACGGACGCAGCATCGCAAGACACGTGGGCGCCTCTCGATCACTTTGGCGCATGGGCTTGGGCCGCAGTCACCATGTCGGTCGGCGGAGGTGAGTGCAAGCGCGACTGCCCTGCGTAGCTTCCATCGGCTGACACACACCCTCCGACAGGCCTCCTCGTGTCCTTTGCCATCAAGAAGGCCGACAGCGTCCTCAAGGGCTTCGCTACTAGCATCTCGGTCGTGCTCAGCGTCATCCTCAGCGTCGCCTTCCTGGGCTCGCAGATCGATCTTCTGTTCTTCCTGGGCACTGCCTGCGTCTTGTGCAGCACCATCGCCTACAGCCGGGCGAGCTGATTGAGCGTTCTCCGGATCTCGTCATTCTGTCACCATTGCCCTTGTCGCTCCCTTCGTGTATCTGCTCCCAGCTGAAAACATGCAATGAAGCCGGTCGAGCGCAGTCAGGCAAGTCGTGATGCATGAGCTGGCAGCCTTCTCACTGAGCCGTGCTCAAGTGCAGTAGAGCGAGACTCACACAGTGCATCTTTTGCTGCTGTGCTTCTGCCACGCTTCTTGACTCCGGCAGTGCCACCAAGTGGAGTAGCGCGAGAGGATGCATCCTGCAAGGGCGGCCAAGGCTTGCGCATGATGCATCACTCCCGAGGCTGCGCTTCCGACACGGGACAGCCATCGAGCGCAAGCTGAGTCCTCTCATGCGAATGACCCTTCTTTCAGCACGAAGGCTCGACCCATTCCGACGGCTGCCGCGGGCGCTCTGAGCGCCCATGCGAGTCCCGCCGGAAACACACAGGCTCGGCGCAAGCCACTGCTCGACCAGTGTACAGAGCAGAAATTGCCGATGGAGAGCCAGAAGCGCACAGCAACGACCTTTTCCGGCTGTGACGATCGCCACGAGTTGGGAGACAAGTCTTGTGCGAGCGTGTACTTTCCAGGGTACCGAACATCAAGACTGCGCTTCAGCGATATGAGCAACAGAGTTCCAAAGACTAATAGGTCGTGAAAGTGACATGCGTACAGAGAGAGGCCAAGGCAGGGCAACGGTGAGGTAACAGGGGCAGGGTGTAGAGAAGTAACGGAGCAACGCGTCAAGCTGCTCAAGCAGAGTCTGTGCGCTCAAACGAGAGTGGCAGCGGCCACATAGAGAGGTAGAAGCGCTTGATGTACGCCATCGTCTCCGACCGGGTGCCGCTGTCGGAGTCTGCGATCTCACTGGAGGGGATAGCGTCAGCGAGCGGTCTCAGGCTGCTGGACAGTGCAATGCTCACTCATTGATGCAGCTGTGATGCCGAGTGCGGGATGCGTCAGCGGCAGCGCAATTGACCGGCCAGATAAGTACTCACATCAGGGTGACGGCCGAGGTGCTGAGCTCTTCGACCAGCGCGCCGGCGCTTGTCTGGTCTTGCACTCGTCCGAAGATGCGCGACATCCCGCCTAGACTTCGTGTAAGCGGCGCGTTCTCGCAAAAGCTACGACCGGTGCGACTCACTGATGCTGTACTGGTAGCGCAGAAGCAGCCGCATTGCAAAGGTGCGCTGCGAAAGGCCGTGCCAGCCGGTACGGCCCATGACGCTCGCGACACTAAAGTACGTCGCGCGCCAGTCCGACGTGACTGGCAGGCGAGGTGTGCTTGCCTTCGTGCTGGACTCGCCTTCCGACCGAGAAGGGAATACTTCTCCCTCCTCCGGCAAGAAGGCTTCCAGGCCCCGCGCGCTCGAGGCCGCCAGGAGGCGGATGATTGCTGGAGGGCATGTGTCAGCGAGCTGAGACGAGGCACATTGCTACGCGTTCCGGCTCACCGCAGTCGCCGCAGGCTGGCTTCTCAAATGCGAAGAGCTTGAAGACATCCTCTGTGCTCGATCCGGGCCGCACGGCGGCGATGCACTCCTGGCTGAGCTTGCAGGCAACGCGCCCAGCACCCTTGTTTCGCAGGAAACGCGGCCAGCTCGAAGAGTGCACGCCCTCGTAGCTCCCGCCCACGTAACCGTTTGCACTAGTGTGGCGGATGACAGCGGCTTGCGGAGGCGCGAGACCTGCGTGCAGGAAGTTCTCGCCGGAGAAGGGCGCTTGACGCAGGGGGAACTCGATGGGAACCTCGCCGTCGGCATCCCAGTGCTCCGGGCGGATGCCGAGGTCCTCAGTCATCGACGAGACCTCCTCCTCGTCGAGCACACCGTCCAAGTTGCTGTCAGAGCGAAGAGTGAAGAAGGACCACAGCATGGCCTCGCGGTGTCGCTCCATGATGGTGTGATAGAGCAGGAACCAGACATTTGTGTCGTGGCCGGTGGCTCGGAAGCGGCGCACCGACGGCTCGAGCTCCTCGGCAAACATGCCGACCGTCTCAAGGAGCAGCGGCTTCGAGACGACTTTCTGCGTGTGCACCACATACGTGCGATTGCGCGTGCCGAAGCGGTCCGAGAGCATGGCGCTGGCAAAGTGCAAGCCAGCATTGTAGCCCAGATTGAGTGGCGCCTCACGCCAAGGACCGACAGTCTCGGAGCGACGAAGAACCAGGTTTGGACCGTGCAGCGGCGAGAAGAAGTCGGACGCCGAAACGTCTGTGCCGAGATATGTGTCGTCGTTCGAGTAGTAGAAGTGCTCGGAGATGGAGGGCTGGAAGGCCATCATCATCTCAATGGCGATGCTGTTGAAGGTCGGCAGGTGCGTGTTCTTCCAGGCCACCAGCGCGTCGGCGCCGGAGGAGCGCGTGACGACCTGTGCCGAGGCAGCCAGCGGCGTGAAGGACTGCCAGTTGTGGTGCACGGCCAGCTTGGTGCCGGGCGCCAGAGAGACTGCCTGGGCTGCGTCGTCGGTGACCACTCCGGGTGTCGAGATGTTGAGCCACTGAGGCAGCTGGCCGCTGCGCTGTTGGCCGTCCTCGGCAGTGAAGCGGGTGCTGCCTGGAGTCCACTGGTCGTCGGCAAAGTCGGGCGTCAGGATGTGCATCACGCCGAGGTGCTCGCGCAGATGCGCCTGTGCCGAACGCAGGGAGAAGAGGAGCTCGTTGTTGTCTTCGAAGCGGCTGGCGGTATTGCCGTATCCCTCGACAAGCACTTCTCCCACCGGCCGCGTCCATGCCTTATGCTCGCTCTCCTCCACCTCGGCAGGGGCCACACCTCCGACGGCGGTGGGCACGAGCGGCCGCTCAGCAATGATCTCCAGCTCGTCGTCTGTGCCGACGATCACCTCCGTAGTCTCGTCGTTTGCCTCCGGCAGGCCATCGTCGAGCAGCTGTGGCGCGTCGCGGGTGACCTTTGCTGCCGCCGTCTGCGGTGTGGCTGCATCCGGTAGCGCACGCTTGAGCGGCGTCGAGCCGTCGGTCCAGTAGAGCGCCCTTGCAGCTTTGTGGCGGGCCTCGCTGAAGGACTCGGGCCATGAGCAACTACACAGCGCGCCGTGCGTCTCGCACTCACGTTCCATTGGCCCAAGTCCAGACGCCGTCGATTTTGCGGTGCTGAGAAAAGTCGATGCCGGCGCACAGCTCGCCGCGGGCGATCCACATCTCGAGGCAGGACTTGCCATTCTCGGTGTCGCGGGCCTGGAAGGGCGCGTAGGCGGCGATCGGTGCGATGTACGAGCCTTCGCGCGAGGCACGCAGTGCGGCTGTGGCAGGGGCCTCCGAAGCTGCGAAGGCGTCGGTCCAGTGCTGTGCATCCAGGTGGGCGTCGCGCAGATTGCTGTCGTACTGCGCCTGGCGCTGCGCTGCGCTGCGGAATGCATCTGTGCGTTGCGAGGTTGTGTAGAGCATCCACGTCGCCAGCAGGCCGACGACGGCGATCAAGAGGCGCAGCAGCTTGGCGAGACGCGTGGTCACGCGGACGCGGGGCGCTGCCACGACGGGCCGGCTGCGATACTGGGCCATGTTGGGAGTGAGTGATTGAGGTGAGATGGCGGACGTCGAGACACAGCGCGCCGCTGGTACTTGAGGCTAGCCAGTACCGCTGCTGTCGCCACTCGGGTGCCTAGTACCTGCCCGGAGGAAAGCTGGTGGCTTTGGTGCGCCTCGGCGGAGGGGCATGCACCCGCGCTTGCTCTGCTTGTTCGGCCAAGGTCGGCGAGCCCGGCGCGGCCCCGAGCCGGGACATTGTGATGGCGCCGTCATGTCGGGCGGCTCGGAGGCCTGCGATGCGGACGAGCGTCAGCGCCAGCAGCAACCTCGGGAGCGAGCGGCGGCAACTTGATGCTGCGGCTGGGGCCCGGCGGATGCAGCGCTTCCGCATGAGGCGGGCACTTGCACCGCACGGCGCGCGCCGCGTTGCAGCGCTCTGCGCAAGACAGGGTCCGGCGCCGGCCCAAGGCCCGTCTGCCCGCTCCCGCACCTACGTCGATAGACAAGCTGCTGCACGGCGGCGAGCTTCTGCAGGAGGAGAAGCAAAGTCTCAGAATGCAGGACGCTTACTCCTGCAGGCGCGCGCAGAACGCCGGGACGACACACATCACGCGACCAGGGCCGGCCTCGAGATGGAGCGGCTCGCGCCAGCATCCGAGCGGCTCTCTCTCGACTCGGAGGGTGGCGTGCTGCGTCTGCGCTACATTCACGGCCAGCAGCCAGCCACCAGCCGCCACCGCGAGAGGATGCAGCCACAGGTGTAGCTGCGAATGGTAGGCAGGATGGCAGAGCAGCAGGCGTCTGCGCAGACTGCAGATGGCGTCGAGCCGTGAGCGGTACTCGGTGCGAGTGGCATTCCCGCCTCCGCGACGGATCCGCCTCAGCCGCTGCGCAGCAGTCCGTAGCAGCAGCACCCACATGGGCAGCCGTTGCGCAGCTGCCGAGCGGGCCGCGTGCAGAGGCGAGTCTGGACGCCCAGCGGGCTCCGCGAGCAGATGGCAGCGGGGGCGTGAGAAGGCTGATGACGGCGGCGCGCCGTGGGAAGACGCGGAGCTCGGCATCGGCGTCGGGAGCGGGCGTCGCGCCACCGCATGAAGCGTTGAAGCGACCTCGAGGTGTTCGCCGTCATCCTTTGCCGCCGCAAGGCGCAGCAACCAGCGCTCACGCATCTTCGCCTTTTGCATGTCAGCAGGATCTCAGGATCTCAGCTGACAGCAAGATGGGGTGCAGCATGCAGACCTTCTGGCGCCGCGATGCGCTCGCATCTCCGCTCGGGCCCGGATGTCGAGCAGCGAGTTGACCCGCCGCTGCCATCCGCTCTGGCCGCAAGGCGCGGCGCGACGCTCGCAAATTCAGCGCCAAGCGCCGCGCGGCCGCTCGTCCGCAGTCCTCCGCACGGCAAGGGGCGACGCTGGGTCGAGACCATCGCTGTCCAGCTCAACGATGCCGCTGCATGCTGCGCTGACGCCACTCGCAAGCCGCACGCCAAGTGGTGCTGTCATCGGCAGCCGCAGCTGGCCGATGTGCCGCATCACGTGCCAGAGCTCGAGCATAGCCTCAGCGAGCGTCGACCTCGCATCTATCGGAGGTCAGAGCCCGCTGATCCGGCGGCGTTGGGCAGGGAAGTATGGCTCAAAATGTCGCTTGATCATGCTCTTATTGGAAAGGAACGAGATGGCCTTGAATGTGAGCCGAGCGGCGCCGGACGATGACGGATGGTCTTCTGGGTGGACGAGCAAATGCATCGCCCAGGTCCCGTGGGCGCTGTTCAAAGCTTCACTCGCCTGGCCTGCATTACTGTCAGCGCTGAGGTACTCTCTCCAGCATGACTCAGACCATTCTTCGTACGTCCACCAAGAGGCAGAAGAGTGCCTCTGAGGAAGCGAGAGACAAAGAGCAGCGCGAGAGGAGGCGGAGGTGGCAAGCCGCGGTGCTGCCAGGGTGCGGCGTGTGCTGACTAAGCATCGCGGGGCCTGCCCAGTTCCGCGGCTCTGCTGCGCTCCGCGGCGCCCCGCGGCACGGCACAGCCTCCTCTTCCGAGGCTCCCATCATCAACCATATCAAGCACCGCCGGCAGACGCAGCCGCGAGTGCACGCAGCGGCGGGTACAAGAACAGCTGGGCTCGACACTGCAGCTCAGGACAACCCACCTCTCGTTCTTCAACTTGGCCTCGACGTAGGACCCTCTGAGCACCAGCCATGACGCCCACCGACTCCGCCGCTGTTCGCCCGCTCGGTACGTAGGGCTCGGACGTCTGCGCCGCACACGCCAGCTGACGCTGTCCACGTCTGCGCAGGCTTTCACGAGCGCTTCTGTCTCGCTCGCGACAACGCCGGACTGCCTCCTGTCATCATCACGGCGGCGAAGGTCTCGAGGAGCTCCTTCGGCGCGCCGCTGGATGTCCACCTGCGCCGTCGCATCGCTGAGCTCCTCGCCGGCGTGCCCCTGCTCAGCGCTTCAGTTGCAGATGCACGTGCACGCGTGCCGCGCTGGCAGCTCGGACGATGCACAGTCGATGAGGTGCTCGAGGAGCGAGACGGCGGGGCATCGCACTCGGGCACAACGCTCGAGACGCTGCTCAGTGCCGAGCACGATCGCTGGGATGCCCAGCGCCTCGCCGGCCCGTACTGGCGCGTGACTCTCGTCACTGCACCTGGCTCGGACGATGCATACGTGGTGCTGGCCGTCAACCACGTCATCTGCGACGGACGAGGCATGGCCAACCTCTTCGAAGTTCTGCTCGCGCCTACACTGCCCGACCTCGGTGCCGTCGCGCCGCTCGCAGCGCCGTCAGACGAGGTCGAGAGCACCCGTCCAGGGCTGCTGTACCTGCTGCCTGTCGTCTGGAGCGATCTGGTGCTTCCGAAGCTGCTGCGCATCCTGCCCGGCTTCCTGGCGCGCAAGCTCGACAGCGGCCGCACGTGGCCGTACGACGGCACCCTCCCGGCGCCGCCTCACACGCTGCCGAAGCGCCTGCGCTACAGCCACATCGATGCAGAGAGCACCTCGGCGCTGCGTACGGTTGCTCGCTCGACCGGGCTGCGCACAGTGCAGCCGATGGTGCATCTCGCCTCGACGCTGGCATGCTACGTTGTGGCAGGCCGGCAGGCGCTGCCTCTGGAGAGCACGACACCCATGTCGGTGCGCCGTCCAGAGCGCGACGGGCTCGTGTGCGGCAACTTCGTCGGTGATGTGAGTCGCCTCTGCCACCCTCGCGACGCAACGAGCTGACCAGCGACCGTGCGCAGTGGTACTGGAGCGGCAAGCTCGACGCGAGCACCAAGATCTGGGATGTGGGTCGCGACTACGCCGACGGACGTGAGTACCGGCCCGTCGACGCCTGAGTCGCCTGCGCTGATGGCACCGGCCGCAGTTTCTTCGCCGCGCGCCCGGAAGCTCGGGCTGCAGACCATCGGCATGCTCGCCTACATCCCGGACAAGCCTGCGTACGAGCCGACCGAGGCGGCGCCGACTGGCTGGGAGGCCTACCTGCTCGACAAGGCGCACAGCGCCACGCCTGCACGTGGCACCGTGTCCATCTCGAACCTCGGACTGCTGCGGCTGCCCGCGGCGGTTCGCAGCGTGGCGTGGGCGCAGAGCAGCTCGCGCCTCGGAATCGACGCGTGCGGCCTGGCGCCACTCGGCGCAGAGGATGCGAGCAAGCCGGGCGTAGCGCAGAGGGCGGAGGGAATCGCGCTCTGCACCTCGTGGCGGGAGGGCCTCGTCGACGGCGACGCGTTCGTCGATGCGCTGGAGGCCGCCATCGACCTGATGGTGTCGGGTGAGCTGGCCTCGCAGCAGCTCGACTTTGCACACGCGGCGCAGCTCATCCGTGCGCACTCTGAGAAGCTCCGCTGCGCCGCATGAGCAGCCCGTGCTTCGCCTGCCACCCCTTTACATGTGCGTCTCCCGTCATTCTCGTCGTCACCTATAATCAGGGCCGTCGCCTGTCCGCTCACTGTGTGACATTAGAGGCTAGGCATTGGACTTTGCGAGGTAGTGCGTGGTGTCGCAATCGCGGATGCGCGCCGCTGCCTGCTCGGCGGTGAGGTCGCGCTGCGGCTCTCCGAGCATCTCGAATCTGCACAAGAGCATCAGCCTCAGGTCACCGCGCTCAAGCTCTCCACTCACCCGACGAGGAACTTGCGCACGGTGGCAGAGCGCAGGAGCGGCGGGTAGAAGTGAATGTGGAAGTGCGCAAAGTCGCCGAGCTCGGCGTCGGCACCCTTGTGCCCTCGCGGTGCGGGGCGCTGGTGGATGCCCATCGAGTATGGGAACGAGCAGCCGAAGATGTTGTCGAGCCGGCACGCCGTCTCGCCGAGCAGCTCCGCAAGTGCCAACTGCTCCTCGTCCGTCATGTCCTCGAGCGATGAGATGTGACGCTTGTAGGGTAGCAGCATCGTCTCGAACGGCCAGAGCGCCCAGTACGGCACGACGGTGACAAAGTGCGCGTTCTGCGCGACAACGCGCGGCGTGCCGGGCGTGTTGAGCTCGAGGTGGGCGTAGGTGAGCAGCAGCGAGGCGCGGCCCTGCTCGTCGAGCGGTGCGCCGCGCAGCACGTCGGGTGCGGCATTGCGGGCGTCGAGGGCGTAGGCCTGCATGTTGAGCAGCTCGGTGCGCGGCTCCTCGGGCACGTAGTCGAGCGACCAGATCTGGCCGTGCGGGTGCGGGTTGGAGCAGCCCATGGCCGAGCCCTTGTTCTCGAAGATCTGCACGTACGAGACGAATGGGTTCTCCTGCGGGATGGAGAGGTAGAGACGGCGCCAGGCATGCACGATGGGCAGAATGGAGCTGCGCGCCGAGTAGGGCGCCGTGGTGAGCTGCGCGATGGTGAGGTTGTGCTTGGGATGGAAGCAGAGCACGTAGCAGCGGCCGCGTGCCGGCGTCGAGCGCAGCAGCGGGTGGCTCGATGCTTCGTCGCCCTCGACGGCCTCGGGCTTCAGCGCCGCATAGTCGTTCTCGAACACCTGGCGCCGGGGAAGTGAGCAGTGGCCGCGAGCACGGCGACGCCCATGTGTGCTCACAAAGGTGCCGTCGTACTGGTCGTTGCGCCCGCCCGTGGCACGCTCGTTGCCCGGGCAGAGGTAGCACTTGTCGTCGAACGCGGGCAGCTGCGGGCCGTCGCCCTTCTCCTGCGCGCCCTGCCACGGGCGCTGCGTCCGGTGTGCTGTGGACAGGAGCGGGTTAGTGCGGTGCAGGCAGCGGCGTGCCGGCGCGACGCACGCGAGCAGAGCACGTGGCTGTTGGTGAGCGGGTTCCAACGGCGGTGCGGGTGCGCGCTGGGGTCGAAGGGTGCGGCCATGGCGACGACGAGGCGGTGGTGGTGGTGGTGGGAGATACACGACAACGTGCGCCCGAACTCGGCCATGAGGGGCGGCGGGTGGAGGTTCCGCTAGCCTCGGCATTCTCGCCGGCGCCGCGCACCCGAGTCCCGCAGAGTGCACTACAAGAATGGGCATTACACGGCGCCCCAGATGCTGTTCAGCTGCTTGTATTGCGCACGACGCGTCGTGTTGCTCTCGCGCCTCCGTCGCGCGCCGACGGCAACACCGCAAGCGCGGCGCACGGCCGAGCGCGCCGCTCCTTCCCGCCCCACCCATCCCTGCCCCCGCTCCACGTCCGCCAGCATGCCGTACGCGCCGCGCGCCACGACCGTCGGCGGCAGCATCGGAAGCGCCGCCACCGGCGCGCCGCAAGCGCCCGCCGAGACGCTGCCCATCGGCGAGCAGCTCATGCACGTCGACCAAGCCATCACCCTCACGCTGCAGGAGATCGACGCCAACTTTGCACGCGCACACCAGTGTGTCACCGGCCGCATCCTGCCCGCCGTCAAGCACTACGGCGTCGCCAGCGCGCGCACATGGCAGGGCGCTCGCGTGAGTAGCGAGAGGCAGGAGCGGTCACGCTGGCACGAGGCGTGCGCACCCGCAGATGCACACGCCCTGCCTGCGCCTCGCGGCGGCCCGCATGTATGCTGACACTGTTCCACAGTTCTGGAAGCACTTCTTCGAGGTCAGCGCCAATGTCTCTCTCACGACGCCCTCGGGCGATGCAGACGCCGAGACCGCTGCTGCGGGCGAGGCGTCCGCGCTCGGCACGTCAACCTACGACGTCGACACGTCGCGCGACTACGCCGACGAGTCTGCCGCAGGCGCTACGCCGCGCGCTGCTCCACGCTCTGCGGGCGCAAAGGCAGGCGATGCCGGCGGCGCTGGCGATGAAACGTCGCAGCTGGAGGACATCGGCGATGACTCCGATGATCTCGATCACTCGGGCTTCTTCCAGTCGCTGCGCCACGCCAAGGCCTCCTCGCCCGCAGCACGCGGCAGTAACGCACGGCAAGGCGGTGCAGATGACACCGGCGCCTCGTGGGCGCCCGTCGAGAGCCCCTTCGAGCGGCTTAAGAAAGATGTCGAGTCGCAGCTCGGCTCGCGAGGCGACGTGACGGAGAGCAGCGTCATTCTCGAGTCGCACCGAGCCCAGCGCGAACGTGCCATGCGCGGCGAGACAGAGCAGGTGCGGCGCGGCATCGAGGCGCTGCACACCGGCATTGAAGGCAGCAGCTCGCTGGCAGAGCCGCCAGAGATGTCGGCGCGTCCCTCTGCCGCCGCGGCGCCTGAGGCTGCCCGGCGGACGCCGAAGAAGAGCACGCCGCTGCTGCGCAGGGTGCTTGCCAACGAACAGCGGCGTGCCAGCCCCGGCGGCCCCATTCCGCGCGTCACTGCGACGCCTCGCGGCGCGGCCAAGCGCGGCAACCCCTTCGGCCCGGCAAGCGCGCGTGCGCAGGCTTCGTCGCCTGCGATGGAGCCGCCCATGTCTGTGCGCCGGTGGGACGGCATCGCCGATCTGCGCAAGACGCCCCTGGCATCAGCGCGCAAGATTCGCAGCAAGGCTGCGGGCACCGCCAAGGGCGACAAGGCGCAGAAGGGCGCCAAGCCGGACGACTGGGACGACAGCGATTCTGATGATGAGGCGAGCCTTGCCTGGCCCGCGGGCATGAGTCCGCCTGTCACTATGCGCTTCAGCGTGCCGCAGAGCCGCTACCACAAGGTGAGATGGCGCGACAGCTGCGCGTCTGTACTCGCTGACGCATAGCATGATCAAGACACCGGCAAAGGAGGCGGCACGTCTGGTAGTTGACGACCTCCTTCGGACCGTCGGAGCTGGCTCGCCCGCGCAATTCGACCTTGGTGTTGCGCCGAGCGTGACGCGGACCGCGACGGCTAAGGGCGGCCGGCCGTCGCTGGTCGGGACGCCGCTGCGCAAGGGCCCTGTCGCCAAGGCACGCGGCTCGCACGCCAACAAGCGGCGCGACTCGTTGCCCACGCCGCCGACGCTCACGCGCAGCCACCAGCCGCCGCCGGGTGCTGCTGCATCGTCGACCACGCCCTCTGCGCCGCCGCGTGCCGGCTCGAATGTGCCGGGAAGCGCGTCCACAGCTGGCGGAAGTGCAGGCAAGGGCAAGCCGAGCAGCGCGGCGCGGCTGATGGACGAAGACGAGGGACTGGAGGACGATGATGTGCCCCAGGACCTCGGCACTGGTCTGAGCCGTGTGGCACTGCAGAAGACGCCGGCCGAGATGGATGCGCTGCTGGCTGTGCAAGACGTGAGTGCCTCTGCAGTGCCAAGACTGAGACGATTGCTCAAGCCTGCTCCGAAACAGGACGACTCTGAGAGCGACGACTCATCCTCGGACGACGACGATGACGACGAGGCAGGCGTCGGCAGCGCGCTTGGCAGCTCTGCGCGCGGCGAGGCGTCGGGCGCCTACTCCATCTCGCAGGGATGGACGGCCAGCTCGATCTCCTCTGCGGCCTCCGCCTCCGCGTCTGGCGCATCCTCGCGCGCTCGCACCATTGACCAGGACACACTCTTCGGCATCCGACCGCCGGCACCGCGCGCCCCTGCGGCGCCGGCACCTGCTGCTGCCAGCGGCGCTGCTGCCGGCGCGGGCAAGGATGGCTTCCGGCCCTGGGGCCACGTCGACGAGATGGGCACCGTTCACGGCGGCCGTCCGCTGCTCGACGAGCGCGACAACACCTACAGCGCCCCGTCGCCGACGCCTGCGACTCGCGAGTAGCGATCGGCCAGTCCTGTCCTGCCTCGCCAGCGGGCCCGACCTCGGCGCATTCTCCCTGCCGCGCGGGCCCTTTCTCCTTCGCAGCTGCCCCTTAGAGAGCGCCGAGCATTGCCCGTACCCTCTCTGCGCTCTGCTCTCTGCCATGTACGATCAGCTCCTTCTCCTGCTCGCAGTGCTATGTATGTGCCTCGTGTGCGTGGCAGCGGCGCTGCTGTGCGCCAAAGATGTGCGCTAACGGCGAGCAGGAGGCTACAGCAGCTACGCCGCGATCGCGAGCAAGACGCGTCGGAGGTGGCGCGGCGGACGTGAGGGACGAGAAGGACGCTTGCGTGGAGGAGCAGCGCCCCAGAGGGATGCTAGTCGAGTGCGCTTGAGGGCCTGGAAGCTGCCTGCCGCGCATCGCCATGCTGCTCCGGGCCCACGCTGCGGCTCCAGCACAGCTGCCGCAGCTGGGCAGCTGCGAGCTGCAGCATGAGACAGATGACGCAGCCGAGGCAGCATGTTCCTGGCGCCGATGCAGCACGGAGGCGCAAGCCTCACTCTATGTACGCACGCCTCGCCCTGCCATGGGGGCACACACGAGGATGCAGCGGCAGCAGGCGCGAAGTGTTGGTGTGTTGCTCTCGCGCGAGGCGCGAATGCGGGGAGCGAGCGGTGCGGCCGCGACGCGCGTCCATCCCGCGCGCCTCGTCACCCCGTCCGCCAGGTGCTGGCGCTACCGCTGCGGATGCCTCTTGCACAGGACTGCCGCCGCAGCCGAGCTGCTCTCGCGCGTACACTCTCACTGGCTCGCGACTCTGACTGCAGCTGCGGTACCGGCGCTGTGGACGGCGGCCACACCGGCCTCGTGCGCGCGCCGCTGAACATCCAAGCCTGCCGCCGAAGCGCGGTCACGCGCTGCGCCCTGATGCCGCATCCCCGCCCCCTCGAAGCGGCAGGTGGCACGCCCGACGCACTGCCCGCCCGCTCGCCCTGCGCCCAGCTTTGCCGCTGCACCAGCCAGTGCTGCGGTGCATGCAGCGCAGGATGGATCAGCCGCTGCCCGGCGTGGCGTGGGCGCCGATGTGATGGATGACGGCCGCGACGGCACTCCGCCGCGCTGGACAGCGAGTCGAGCCTGACGCTCACGACTCGGGCTGTCGAGCCGGCCTGCTTGTCGCGCCCGTGCCTTTGCTTCCCACCGCCATCCCTCTTCCTCCCTTTGCTTCGTGTGGTCCCTGTCCCTCTTCTTTCTACTTCCGGCCCGGTGCCGCTTTTCATCTCTTCTCTTCACGACACAGACCTCGACGGTCTGGCCTCTTTTTCCCCTTCTCTTACTCTCTCTATCACACGCCCGCGCGCACGACGGCGCGCAGGCCTCTTCCGCAAGAGCCCGCCATGCCACATGCGCCTCCACAGCTGTCCGGCGCCGTGCGGCGCGGCGGCGTGAAGCATGCCGAGGCACAGCGCCGCTGGGGCGCGCTGCGGCACGACGGCCGCCGCACCGAGATGCTGGGCGGCGAGGCGAGCGCGGCGGCGGGTGCCGGACGGGCGTCTGCCGCAGACAAGGGCAAGGGCCGTGCGTATGACGACGAGGTGCGGCCGTACTACGAGCTCCTCGCGCGCCAGGCCGAGGCGCAGGCGCCGCCGCAGCAGCCGCAGGGCGAGGTGTGGTCGGCGTCGTCCCAGGCCGGCGCGTCGGGCTCGAGCACGCCGGCTGCTGCGGCGGCAGCAGCGTCCGTGTCTTCGTCGCCCGTCGCCTGGCCCGCCGTGTCGTCGTCGTCGGCGGCGGCAGCCTGGTCTGCCTCGTCCGCGCCCGCGGCGGCGGCAAGCTCTGCAGCCACGACCTTCTCGCTCGGCAGCAGCTCGGCAGTGCAGCTCGTGCACGCGGCCTCATCGACCGCTCCGTCGTGGACCTCTGCTGCTCCCTCATCGAGCTACTCGTCGGCAGCCGCTCTGTCTGCCTCTGCGACTGCGGCGACGACAGCCGCGGTCGCGAGTCTCTCGCCAGCCTCGTTCCCGCCGCTGCTCAGCGCGGCCGAGCCGGCGCAAAGCTCCGGCACGCCGCCCCACGCGACGCTGAAGAACAACCTGCCGCTCCAGCTGCTTCTGGTCATCGGCGCCGTTGTGGTCTTTGCCTCGCTTCTCGCGGGGCTGGCATGGCTCTGCCGCTCGTCACTGCCGTGCTTTGCCGCCTCGCGCAGGCGCAAGGCCCGGCGCAAGCTCGCATGGAGCCCTGGCGCCTCCGGAGACGACGACGGCAGCGAGGCCACCTTTGTCGGCGACGACACCAAGAGCGTTGATGCGAAGAAGTGGGCGGCGGCGGCGGCCCCACTCACGCCTGTGCCGCAGCTGCTGCACTCGACGCCTCCGGCGCTGCCCGCTCTGGCGCTCCACCGCGAGCCGGTGCCGAGCGGCAGAGGCTGGGAGCTGTTCGACGAGCCCGTGTCGATCGGGACCGACTCGCGACGGAACACCACGCCGCCCATCGCTCTGGCCTCGGCGAGCACACAGGGTGGCAACTACGCCGTCGGTGCTGCTCTTGGCGCCTCCGGTGGGCGCATTCCAGACGTGACCGAGATGGACGGCCTGGCGCACAACGGCTGGGTGCCGCCAGTGCGGCAGCCGAGCTTCATCGAGCGTCTGCTGCAGACCCGCCCCGGAGGCGTGAGCCTCCCCAACGGCGTCACACCAGGCGCCACGCGTGCCAGTGCCTCCGATCCCGAGGCAGGACGAATCGCCGACCCCTACACTGCCGCACCTGCGTCCGCAAGGCGTAACACAGCGCACGGAGCCCGGGCCACGCTCTTCACCTCTGTCATGTCCGGCCTGCGCGGCGGCGCGGCCGGGGGTGCAGCGCGAGCGGGGCGCCGCGGCTCTATGCTCGACTCAGACTTCGAAGGCACCATCGGAGGCCGCGATGCCGAGCTGCCGATGGCACGTCGCCTTGGCAAGAAGGACGAGCGCTTCGTGTGCGATGCAAGCACCACTGAGGGTGGAGACAAGACCTCGAATCCAGGCACGCTGGATGGGCCTGCTCTATCTGAGCTCGGCACTCCTATGCCTCGCCATCTCGGCACCCCCAGGACCCCTGGCCTCGCCGGTGTCGGCTCGGCATGGGCTCGCGGACTCGTCATGCCGCCATTGCCAACACGCTTGCCGCCCGTGGCGCAGCAAGCCACAGCCGGAAAGCCGTCGCTCGCCGAGCTCAAGCGCCAACAGGCGGAGATGGAGCTGCAGCTCGTCCTTGCCTCGCCCGAGAACGCACGGCACAAGCTGGAGGCGAGCATCGGGCGCTGGATGGAGGCGAGCGTGAGCAGCGGCGGTGCGGCGGCACCGTCTTCGCTCCCGAGCTCGCCCGGCAGCACCGTGCTCCTCGATGCCGATGCCGTCGTCGCTGCCCGGGCGCTGCCACGCAAGCTGCGCCGCGCCGACACGCTCATCAGCTTGACCCAGTCGAGCGTCTCGAGCTACTCTGCAGCGTCGTCAGAGCGCTACGCACACCCTGCAAACGGTCTCTCGCGCATGCCTAGCATCGTGCCGCGCTTTGCCGCGACCACGACGCTTGAAAGCTGGCTCATCGAGGAGGAGCGCAAGGAGGACGAAGCACTCGAGGACGCATCCCTTGTGAGCATCTTTGGCAAGTACGAGGCAGGCCCGCAAACCCCACGAGGCGTGTACCGCGAGACGCTCTCGATGCGCACCGGCGACAGCACTCTGCCGCCCTCTTACCGCAGTCAAGGCACTGTTACGCCAATGAACGAGGTAGCCGATGACTGGCGCGCCTTGCCCACCTCGTCGACTGAGGCATCGCTCGCCTCCCGCGGCATGCTACTGTACGATGCATCGTCGTCGACGACCGGCCGCACTCGCTCGTCGCGGACTCGTGCCTCGTCGCCGGGCACGTCGCCGTGCGAGACTTCGATTCCGTCTGCCCAGTCGCACAAGGCGACGCGCAGCGAACGCGCTGCAGCTGCCAATGTGGCCTGGGGCGTCGGCGAGGAGCAGGCCGAGGAGGACAAACGCCAGGTCGACCGCCGGCAGAAGCTGCAGCGGCGCGAGCAACGACAGGCGGCACGCATTCTGGCGCTGCAGCAGGCGCGTGCGTTTGGGCAGCAGGAGGAGCGGGACACGCTGCCGGCTGTGCAGCGCCACGCGCACCGGCACACTGTGCTTGACATGGCCGCAGGCGAGCGCTCTGAAGACCTGCCCGGCGTCGACTCTGGCGCCAAGGCGCTCGACCGCTCGCGCAGCATGGCCAGCAGCGTGTACTCGACGCTCAGCGGCGACTCGGCGTATTGTGCGCCGCTGCTGGCGCGCGAGCAGTCGCAGGAGCAACGCCCATTGCCAGCGCTCCCCACCGGCGCGCCAGTGGGCCGTCACTCGTCCGCAACAGACGCCAAAGCGAAGCATGTGCCCAAGGCCTTCCTGCTGCGTGCCGACGCAGCGCTGCCCTCGCTGCCTTACGAGTACGCAGCGCCTTCGACTGCCGCCCTTCGCATCGCGAAGCACCGCCGTCCGTCGGCGCCTGCGCTCAGCCCGCCTGACTCGCCCTGGACGTCCGACTCCGAGGTCGGCATCGGCCGCTGGCAGGGCACGGCTCGGCGCCCGCCTGGTACCTTCATCGTCGCCCCGCGCGCCGTCTCGCACGCGCAGCGCAGGTAGCGCCGCCTGCAGGCCACCCCCGTCCGGCCGACAGCGTTCCGTGACCCCTGCGCCGGCATCATCTATATCTCTCTAGCTCAATCACACATCTCTTTCTCACAACCGTGCAGCGTGTCTCCCTGCGTAGCACGATGTCATTGCTGGGCGTCGCCCGTGGCGCCCCCTGCCGCGCTTCTCAGCAGCGCCCACGCCGGCCCTTGGGTGTCCACGTGGACGCCGACGGTGGCCAGGTCGTGCACATCGCGCTCCAGCGCCGCAACGTCTGCGTGCATCTGCGCGTGCATGCGCTGCGCATCGGCGTCTGCGGCGCTCTCACCGCTGGCGGCGGTGGCGGCACTGCTGCTGCGCCCGAACAGCGAGCCAAGCCCCAGCGTCTGATTGCCGCGCTTGAGACGCCGCAGACTCTCGTAGTTGAGGTTCATGGCGTGCAAGGCAGCGGTGTAGCTGTTCGAACGGGGCACGCTGCGTCAGCACTGAGTTCCGAGCGTGCCGGCTGTCCGATGCGACTCACCGGCCCACGACATCGTCGATAACCTCTGCGGCCCATGCGCTCTTGGTCTGCTCGTCCAGATGGCTCGCCGGGGTGAGGGCATTCGTGTCGCCTTTCCGCTCGCCCTTGCCCAGGAAGACGCGCAGTGGACGCAAGATCTGGGGCACGAAGGCGCTCGCCTCCACAGCCCGGGCTGCGGGGCCGCTGGCGGTGCTGCCGCCACGGTACTGCATGCTGATGCTGCGCACCAGGCGGAGCGGCTCGGCACAGCGCACCTTGAGCACGCCAAGCACGCGCGCGGCGAGCGGAGGCACGAGCGTGGAATCGAAGGACGTCGCTTGATGTAGCGTCTCTGGGGTGAGGCGGGCGGTCTCCGTCAGTCTGGCCTGCTTTGAGCACGCAACGCAAGACTCACCTCGGAGGGCTTCGACTATTGCCTGCGTCTGTGGCTCCTCACCGCGCGCCACGCTCCTGGCATCCTCAAGCGCGGGTACGATGCGCGCCTCAAACTCGGCGCGCAGCTCACGCTGCAACCAAAGCGCGTCGGCCGACAGAACAGTGAGGGCACGGACGGCCACCTCGTCGGCTGCCGCTGCCGCCTCTGAGTCGGCAGTGGAAACGGGTGTGCCAGTGCGCGAAGGCACGCGCGGGCTGCCCTGCAGAGAGTGTCGCGCGTCAACGGCCTCGCCACCGTACGAACACACGAGGCGTACTCACAGCGCGGCTCTCTCCTGCTACAGCCTGTGCTTGTTGTTGTTGCTGCTGCTGCAGAAAGCCCTTGGCACCGCGTCTGTCGTGTCGGGCTGCCGGATCTTGTGGCACTTCCGCGTCAAGCCAGCTTTTGTACCGGCTCACGACCTGCAGGCTCAGCTTCCACTGTCGATGGACCAGCTCTGGAAGCGCAACACCCTTGCGCCAAGGGGCCGAGAACGCGTCACGCGTGGCGTCGGCCGCCACGACCAGCGGGAGTGTGCCGCTGATAGAGCCGCCTGCTGCAACGCCGGCGGAGAGGGAAAGCAGCGGCTCGAGGCGTGCCACGATCTCGCGGTAGCGCAGCTGGAAGTACACCGGCAGCTGGAAGCGCTTCAGCAGCGCAGACCACGCCGGATGTTGTTGCAGCGCGAGAGCAGCGCGCGGCGAAGGAGCGAGGGCGAGAAAGGCGGATAGAAAGGAGGTCGTGAGGGAGAAGTTCTGTAGCACAGCCGGCGTGAGCGTTGCCACAGCCGCGGCGGCACGAACCATTGACTCACCCGGTGGAACGCCTCGGGCCGTCCCACGACGAAGAGCTGACCGCCGAGCTCCTCCATCAGGCCTCGGCCGACCTCCGCCCAAAGCACATTGACGAAGAGATCCGTGCGCCGAACATCTGCATCCGCGTCGCCAGTCTCGCGCTCCTTGCTTTCGCCGGCACGCTCGACAATGACACACGCGCGCTGAGCATCGCGCGCAGCGAAGGCGAGGATGCGGCAGTACAATGCGCGCAGAGGATTGGGCGATGCGGAGGAGTCGCTGCTGTCTGGCGCCGGCAGTAGAGCGCTCACCGCTGGGTCCAGCGGCGCAGAGTGCGAGAGTGCTTGGGCGTGGATTGTCTGACACGTGTCGTCAATCGAAGCTCGCAATAGACGATGGGCAAACTTTGGTACTTACTTCTCTAGCCCACGGGCGCACGAGCACATCGGCCAGCGTTGTCTGCACGTCCTCCGCCTCGTCTGCGCCCTCGTCTTCCTGCTCCAGCTGCACAGACGTCGCGACAGCAAGGGCTAGCCATTGCTCTTCCTCCTCGCGTCTGGCCTGCCAGTAAGCAGCTTTGCCGCTTTCGTCGCCCGGCGCTGGCACGTGCGTCCAGCGCTCATGCCCGGCGCCTGTCTCGTCGCCCGCTTGCCGACGCATCAAGCCACCCCCTTCGCGTGCAAGCAGCGCGCGGACCAGACGGCGGACGTCGTTCCTGAGCGCGAGGCGCGCACGGCGTGTACGTGCGGCATGCGAAGCAACGAAGACGTTGAGCCTTTGGGCCAGTGCTCGGGACTGTAGGAAGCGCAGCGTGCCCGCCTCGGCGGATGCCCGCGCGATGCGCAGCGGCAAGTCGCCTGATGCCGCTTCTGCAAGCGGTGCCTCTTCGCTGCCGAGCGAGAGGGACGCTCGCGAGGCGCGGCGCTTTGCGTGCGAGGCGGTCCGCACCGGTGATGCGGGCCGCAGTCGGCCGGTCCCGGCGACCTTTATTTCCTCGTCCGAATCTGAGCCCGAGAGCGAGGCAGCCTCATCGCTAGTGTCCGCTCGCTCGTCGCTGAGGAGAGCATCCCACGACACGGGCGCGGCGAAACTGTCAAGCTGCACGGCCGAGGACGACGCGGTGGCAGTGCTGGCCTCGTGCGCCGAGCTCGAGGGCAGATGGAGCAGGTCCTCGAGACGCGCCAGCGAGTCGTGCAGCGAGAGCAGGAGCGAGAGCTGGGCCTGTGTGAGACGAGCCGGCGTCAGCAGGCTGTTCGTCAGCTGAAACGGATTGCTGACAGCACGCCCGAGATTTGCTGCCGCCGACCGTGCCCGGGCACAGTGTCCCCCAGCTCGGCGTGCGACACCCCCAGGGCAACGCATGCCCGCGTCCGCTGCTACGCACCTGCTGCTCGGCGACCTGCTCGCGCTCGCGCATCACCGCCTGCACCTCGTGCCGCACGTCCTCGAGGTCGTCCTTGGCGCGCGCGACGAGCTCGCGCACCTCGCCGACGCGCAGGCCGCCCTCCTGCTCCTCGTCGCGCCAGCCGAGGCGGGCGATGCGCGCCTTCTCGGCGCTGAGGGCGCCGGCGAGGGCGACAAAGGCGCGGAAGTCGCGGTCGACGACGCTGGCGAGCTCGGCGCGCAGCGCACCGGCGTACGCGGCCAGCGACGCACTGATCTCGGAGAGCGACATGCCAGGCGTGCGCGAGAGCAGGAAGGCCGACGGCGAGAAGACGGCGGCCTGCAGGTGCGGATCGGCGTGCGAGAGCGGCGGCGGCGCCGGCAGCGCGCGCGGCGTGCCGGCGTCGGACAGCGCCGAGGAGGAGGCATCGTCCGCGGACGGCATGGTGCGTGTGCAGCGATGCACTGGCACGGCGGGATGATGTGGCAGGAAGGCAAGCGGAGGAGCGCGGCAGCGAGCAACGAGTCTGGAGCGCGGCCGCACGTGCCACGGCACGCCGCGCACCAAGGCGCGGCGGCGGCCGCGCGCGCCCAGGCCGCGGCGCTGCGGCGAGCGGGATGCGCCTCTCGCCCTCACCCCCACACCCCCTCTGCCACGCCCGTCCGCTGCCATGGCGCCGCCGCTGCCGCCCTCGATCTACTCGCCCTCGTCGGTGCAGAGCGCGTGCGACGCGCTTGGCCTGCCGCCGCCGCCCGCACACGTCGCCGCCGCACTGGCGGCCGACGTCGAGTACCGCATCCGCGACCTCGTGCAGGGCGCCGCCGCCTACATGCGCCACGCCAAGCGCAGCCAGCTCACCACTGCCGACGTGGACCGGGCGATGCGCGAGAAGAATGTCGAGGTGAGTGGCCGGCCTGCGGCGTGTGCGCGGCGCAGTCAAACGGAGCGCTCTAGAGCAGCGCAGGCGCCTTGCGCGTTGGAGCGCCGCAAGCTCCATGAGGCAGACATCGCGATGCTTGCATCCTCTAGGCTGTCGGCGCATCACTGGCATGCTCTCCGTCTCTTGTGTCTCACGCTGCTGCGCCACACAGCCCATCTACGGCTTCCTCTCGCCGTCGCGCGGCCACTCCTCCACTTCTGCGCTTGCCTCGCCCTCCTTCCGGCGCGTGCAGACGCCCAGCGGGCCCATGCACGTACTCAACGACGTTGAGATCGATCTCGAAACGCTACCGTCGCGCGTTGTGCCCGAGCGCGGCGCGGGGGTCGGGTGGGCCGCGCACTGGCTGGCCATCGAGGGCGTGCAGCCGGCCATCCCGCAGAACCCGGTGCGCCCCAGCGCCGGCATGCGCCCTGGCGCCTTCGCCGCGCCCGCACCTGCGCAATCGGCCGGCGCAGAGCAGGGCTCGGCCACAGGCAAGAGCGCCAGCGTCAAGCCGCTCATCAAGCATGTCCTGTCGCGCGAGCTGCAGCTCTACTTTGAGCGCATCGTCTCCAGTCTCCTCGCTGCGCCGCTGCCGCCGGCGCCCGACACGGCAGCGGCCTCGACCTCTGCAGACGCGCAGTCTGCGCCTACCAACTCGGCCCGCGAGGCGGCGCTTGCGGCACTGAGAGGCGACGCCGGCCTGGCGCAGCTGTTGCCTTACCTCGTGCAGTGGGTGGGCGAGCAGACGACGGCACACCTCACCGATGCGCAGGCACTGAGTGTTGTGCTGCGTGCGGCCGAGGCCCTGCTGCACAACTCGACGTTGGTCATCGAGCCATACGTGAGTACACCCACCGTTGGGCTAAGGCAGCACCGCGACGCGCACTGACCCCGGCCCCTTCCGTGCCGCAGCTGCATCAACTCCTTCCTTCGCTTCTCTCCGTTCTACTTTCCTCGACACTGCCGGCGTCTCCGCTTCTGCGCACGCACGCCGCCGCGCTGCTGCGGCACATTGTCGTGCAGCACTCCTCCTCCTATCCGTCACTGCGGCCGCGGCTGCTGCGCACGCTGCGTGCCGCGCTGCAGGCGCGCTCGACGCCAGCGGGACAGAGCGCTGCGACGAAGACGGGAGCCGTGCTTGGCGTTCGCGGCCTGGGCAAGGAGGCGATCAAGAAGGTGCTCGTGCAACAGGACACAATGGAGGCACTAGGCCAGTGGTGCAGCGAGAAGGAAGAGGAGGCTGGGGAGGTCCAACGAGTCGTTTTGGTGAGTCTGCAGTGCCTGAGTGGGGCCGTGCTCCGACCTCTGCAAGCGACGTTGCGCTGCCAGCGGCCAGGGCAGAGCGTCTCGCCGCAGAGCGCTGCCCTTGCGACCCCGCAGAGCCGCAAAGCCCAAAGAAGCAAGGTCGCCTTCCTGACTCTCCCCCTTCTCCACAGGAAGCGCTCTCCGACCTTGCACCCAGCTACTCCTCTCGCCGCAGACCCGCCAACGGCACCGCATCCTCTGCGCTATCGGCGCGTGTGGGCGACTTTTGGGCGGAGCAGTTGATGCGCGCGGATGCCGCGACCGCGCGGGAAGCGCTTCTTGCACTGCTGGCGGACGAGACAGAGGAGGCGCGCCACGTCGAGAGTACACACGAGCACCTCGAGACCGAAGGGCAACGCGGCGAGCGGCCACAGGAGCAGGAGGCGGATGGAGACGACACGGAGATGGCGCTACTATAGGAAGCCATGCTCATTGATGCAGTGAAGGCGAGTGATGCGTGATGAAGCGTAGCGTGAGGGCGAGGCTACGGACGGCGCCGAGACGGGTTGGAGGGCGCCGAGAGCTAGCCAAGGCGCAGCTCCGCGAGCTGCTGCTCGACGGATGCTTCTTGTCCCAGCTCCGGCGACGGCGCGGCGCTACGCTCGGCCTCGCGCCCTGTGAGCGCCGATCGCAGGCTCTTGGTGGCGCGGTTGACAGGCGGCGGCCGGCGCGGCGTGGCGAGCGGGGCGATGAGTGCGGGTGCAGCACTACTGCTGCCTGGTGGCGGCGGCGGAGCACGGCGCCGCGACGACGGATTCGGCGAGGCTGTGCCGGAGCCATACGATGGAGCGGGGCTGGCGCGACCATCGAACTCGTCGTCCGCAGACGGCAGCAGCGCATGCGCTACGGCAGCATCCGAAGGGCTCTGCAGCATTTCGCGCCGGCCGGCGCGCGTCGCTTCCTCGGCGCTTGCAGCGCGCAGCGCCACCAGAGCTGGGCTGCCAGGGCCTCCGCTACTTGGCAGACCAGAGACGCCGGCACTCCCGCTCCTCCCGCCGCTGCTGCTGCGCCGGGTGGCCACGAATCCAGCAGCAGGGATGGAGGAGACATCCCAAGCGGGCGGAGCGGGCGGGCGTCGCCTCTGCTGTGCGCCATTGGCTCCGCTGCCGTTGCCGCGTCCGGCGCGCAGAGCACTGGCCGTGGGCGTAATGTCCTCATCCTGAGCGCCTTCATCGACGTCAGAGGCCGCACGAACGTGAAGCTTGAGTGCGGGAGACGGCAGAATGTCTGACCGCGTTTGGCGTGGCGCGGAGCCATCGCTTGAACGGGAGCGCTGCATACTCATGCCGACATCTTCGCTACCCAGCCCTGCAGGCCAGAGCGAGGCGTATGCCTCTGTCGCCTCGTGGGCCAAAGGCGAGCCGAACCTGGGCAACGCGTCGAGTTGGTGCGCAAGAAAGACCGACTGGCCCGGCGATGAGGCGCCGAACGAGGCCGTCGTGCTGCTTGCACCACTGCTGTCTGCGCGCGACTTTGGTGGGCGTGGCGGTCCCGGGCCGCGCGAAGTGGAAGAAGGCACATCGATCATGTGGCTGTGCCAGGACGAATGCATGGACGAGGGCGCATCACCTGCATCGTCGACGCCCTCGGGACTCGCCGGACTGGCCGTGCGCGGCGGTGTGGGCGGCATAGAATGCGACGAAAAGACGCGCCGCGTGGTGCTGGCGCCAGCCTGACCGCGAGCCGACGCGGAAGAGCTGGCAGCTGCCTCGTCATCGCGAGATGCGTCCGGCGAGCGAAGATTCGAGAGAGAGTGGACGCGCTTGTCGCGTGTGCGGGGGACGTCCAGACGCAGGGAGCCTGAGCTCGCCTCTGGCTCTGCAGCCGCAGCAGCTTCCAGCTCGGGCGGTGCCTCCGCGATTGGCGACACGGCGGGCTCGACGAGCACGTCAAGAGCGCTGCTGCTGGCGATAGGCGGCACGTGCGGATCCTCCTGCGCACAGGCAATCTCCACGTCGCGCTTCCGGCTTGCGGAGTCTTCCGACGCAATCACCTCTTCGCCCCGCTCGATGCGCGTCTCGACCACAATCTCGTGCGTCGGACCGCCCATGATGGGCTGCACCGATGCGACAGCCATGTGCGGCGCGTCTGCGCCTGCCAACTGGGCGAGTGGAGATGTGGCCGAGGCATCGAGCTCGACGCACCACTCCGCCTTGAGGCAGCGCTCGACGAGGCGCCGGGTCGTAGCGCTGATGTCGCGCAGATGGGCGTGCGAAAGCAGCCCGAGCAAAAGACGCCGCACCTCGCTGCGCTTGTAGGGATGCGTGAGCAGCTGCGTGCTGGTCAGAAGGGGATGCAGCACACGAAGATACGTGTGGCGCAGCTGCGAGACGAGGTTCAGCGAGGCGCAATGCACAGGGCCGCCGCGCAGTAGCGCACCGATTCTGACTCGTCCGGCAAGTCCGAGAGCTCGCGCACAAAGATGTCGACGAGCACTTTGAGGTCGTTTGTGTAGAAGTAGTGCGCCGTCTCCTTGGTCGTGAAGAGGAGGTACAGCAGCTTGAGGACGAGCAGCTGCATGCACAGATCCTCGGCGTCGGAGCTCGATGCGCGGTTGAGCATGAAGATGAGATTCTCGCCAAATGTCTTGCTCTCGTTGAGGCGCGCCTGCAGCACTTGCATGACCAAATTCGTCGGCCGCATGCTTGTCGGCGACGTGCGCCCCGTGCTCAGAGGGGCGCCCGAGGCGGCGGCCAGCCCGGAAACCATGAACTGCTCGTTCAGCGCGACCTGTGCGTTGCTGCGTCAGCGTTTTGCACGCTCAGCGAAGAGAAAGAGTGGCGCACGATGAGCTTGATCAGCTGGTAGTTGAACGCCTCGTCTGCGTTGTGCCGAGTCTCTTCCACCAAGTCGAAGAGATGGTCGATGAACTTGACGTCACACGCACCTGCGTGGGCGCAGACAGCGCATCGCCGCTTCAGCTCAGATAGCGCAACATCAACGCTGTGCCAGGGCCACTCACGCATGTCTGCCACGTCTAGCCGCTGCACCCGGCACACCTCGTACGCCAGGCGTACAGCCTTTTCCCTCAGCGCAATCTGCATGCCGACGTCGCCGCTGGCAGCAGCACTGGCGCCGGCAGCCTCGAGCCGGCGCTGTGCCTGGCCGGCATAATGTGCAGCCCAGACCTGGTGCACCAGGCGAGGGAGCATGTGTGCGGCGCGCGACTGCAGTGCGCGAAAGACACGCGCATCGTGTGCGCCGTACTGCAGCAGAATCTCGTAGCTGAGCAGGAGCGTGGGCAGCGTCTTTGCCTGCGTGCGAGTCGCGCATCAGCAGAGTACGCAGGCAAGTCAGCGGCCGCCAGCAGACGCACATGTCGAGCGATGTCGACGAGCAAGTCGGCAGTGAAGGCGTGGTGCTGCACAAAGAGCGGCGAATCAAAGAAGCGCGCGACGAGCTGCTCCTGCTCCTGCGGCGTAGAGAGGTGGCGAGCTGAGACCGCAACAGGATGAGCCATGGGTTCAGGGGAGCAGCAATCGTACTGTCTGCCGGCTGCAGTGCCAGCGTTGCGCTCGCCCTACTCACCAAAGCCGCCATCGGCGAGCTTCAAGACGCGCGAGACACTGGCGCGCACCTGGTCCTGCCCGATGGCCTCTTCGGGGTCCGCCCGTTGAGCCCTCGACAAGGACTCTGCATCGCTGCCGTCGGCATTGGTTGTGCGGCGGCGCGGAGGGAGCGGATGCAGCAGCGCATGTACGGCGCCCCAGAAGGCCGCAGGCGCAGCCGGAGCTGCGCCAGAGCCGGAGCCCGAGCTGGAGGCCGAAGTGGACAAGCCGGACGACAGGGGTCCTTCAGCGGGCGCCAGAGCAACGAACGAGGCCGCTGAGCTGGAGCGCGCACTCATCGCCGCTCACGCGGCCAGCTGCAGGTCCTGGCACAGCACGAGTGCGCCGTAGTCGCTGCGGCGCGGGGCAGGCTCGGCTCGGCTCCGCCGGCGGCGGCGCGCTGCGAGCTGGGCCGCGAGAGGCGAGCAGTGCCGCTGATGGGAAAGAGGTGTGAAGCGGGCGGCGTATGAGCTGGGACGGCAGCGAGCGAGCGGCTCTCTGCGGCGCTTGGTGGAGGTGGGCGCGCCGGGGAGGATGCGGGGATCGTTAGGGGCGGGTGCGGCAAGCGAGGGCCGGAACGACGGGCGCAGAGCGGCGCAGGGTACTGGAGGCTGGAGTGCGGGTAGCGTGACGGAGAAGCGTGCGTACTGGGCTGGAGCGGGACGGCGACGAGGCTGGAGGCGAGAAGGAAGGTGGGCACAGCGATGCGAGGGCTGGGCGAGGCAGGCCACTCCAGGCCAGCAGGCCCAGCAGGCCGGCGCACGGCTCGCGGCGCGCCTCGAGCTCACGCGAGCTGCATCCTGCCTGGCGCTGCGCGCGTGCAGCCGTGCCTCTCTGTGCCTGTGCTGCCAAGCCTGGCCGCATGCAGCGGCGCCCTCAATACGCCTGCCACTCAATGCCTCGGCCGCGTTTGTATTGCCTGACCTGGGCCGGCAATACAGCCTCTGTGTTGCTTGCGCGCTTGCAGCTCCGCGCGCTGAGCTTGCGCACGGCCTTCCGCAGCCTGTCTCCCGACGACGACGACCCACCTGCCGCGCTGCCTTTTGCTATCCCGCTCGCGCACAGCCTGCCACCCCTCCACAGCGTGCTCGCTGGCTTCGCTCTACTCGCCTGCACCATCCTCCCTCGGCACTCGTCGAAGCTCCATCTCGCTGAAGCCGCCTCGCTCCACGCCTGGCGCTCTGTGTGGCGCTCTCGCGTGCTCTCGAGCCGCCTCTCCAGCACATCCCGTCCTTCTCTCGCTGCACCACTCTCTCAAACTGCCTCGCCATGGTCTCTCAGGCACAGCTCGAGCAGGCCATCCGTGCCAAGGTGGAGGGCGTCACGTCGCTGGTGCGTGTGGCCGGCCCGCTCGGGCCCCGAGCAGGTCCGCGGCCGCGTGCCGCTGCCATGGCGTCAAAGGCTGACCTGGACGACGATACAGGTCGTGTCTGACGTGTCCGGCGGCTGTGGCCAGGTACGTAGCGCTGGTCGGCGCGCACGGCGTGTGCTGACAGCGGCACGGTCGCTGCGCAGGCGTACGACGTGATCATCGTCTCGCCCATTTTTGAAGGGTGCGTCTGCTGTGCGCGTGTCACAAGCTCGCCATGCTCACCACGCCGTCTTCCTGCGCTTCAGCCTGCCCACCCTCAAGCGTCACCGTCTGGTGAACGAGCTCCTCAAGGAGCAGATCGCCGAGCTGCACGCCTTCTCGCAGAAGACCTTCACGCCCAAGGTGCGCCCGTCTGAGTGGCTCCCAGGGACAGCATGCTGACGACTCGGCCACGATCACAGCAATACGAGGTCAGTCTGTCCATCACGCATGCGTCGCTTCACCCTGTGCCGCGTTTGTGATGCTGGGCAGGCGAGGCGGCGCATGCCGCGAGCGTCCGGCTCAGCTACAGTCTTTCTTCGTAAAGACTCTGGACGGCTGGCTGACGTGACCCCAGGCGCAGGGAAGCAAGACGGCCCCGCTCGCTCCGGTGACGCCGCCAGTGTCCGCAGGCTCTCTCTCTGCCACCTCGCCCGCGCCACGCAGCCACCACCGCAGCACGTCGTCCGTCTCCGTGCCCGAGCTCACGCTCACCACCGACGGCGACACGCTGTCCGGCATGGCCGCGCAGTCGGCCGGCCGTCCGCTCACACCCGGCGCCCAGCCCGGCGGCACGACGAGCACACTGCAGGACGTCGGCGGCAGCCCTGACGGGCGCTCGAGCCACTCGCCGAGCATCTCCAACCTGCACTTCAACAAGATCAGCAGGTGCGTCTGGCCCGCTTCCCGCAAACGAACTGCGAATGCTGACGTGTGCCGGCCCCTCTCCCTCCTCTTGGCCTGACAGTGTCGGTGAGTGCCGCCTGCCTCGCTTCGCACAGCGTCACACAGGCTGAGTGCTCCTGCTGCAGAGTTCTGGGAGCACCTGCGTGCCTTCCTGGAGGGAGAGTTCATGGGCCCGGCTGTCGACGCCGGCTCGGCCAGCCCGAACACATCCGGCCGACCTCGCGGCGAGGCAGAGCTCGTCCGGTGCGTCGCGGCATCCTCGCGCTGCTTGCCCCAGCCCGCTGACACCGGCGTTGTACAGCGTCTTCGAGGAGATGCTCTCGTCGCAGCGTGGCTTCCTGTCAGGTCCGTCATCTGGCCGTGCGTCTCTCGCCCAGCCAGCACTGACCCCATCACAGCCAGCGACATCGCTCGCATCCGCGACGGGACGGGCATGACGGGCCAGGGCGGTGTCTGACGCGTTTGAATGCACTTGTTCCCCGCCTCGTCTGTGGTGCCGCGTGTGTCTCTCGCTGCGCCCCTCTGACGCTGCTGCGCGTACCGCATGCTGTTGCACACGTCGCACGATGACATTCGCATCAGGCGCGGCTGGGCAGCGTATGACACGATTCATGGCCGACGGCGGGAAGGCACTGTCGGTATGAGGCTTGCTGGGCCATGAGTACGCATCGACGGCTCCCCGGCACCGACCGAGCATGGCTTGCGGGGCGAGTCTGAAGCTCGCAAGTCCTAGCGAGCAGCCGCCAGTCGCACATGGCGTGCGATCTACAGACGCATGCCTAGCCTTCGAGCGTGCGATGCTTCTGGCGCCGACCGGTCGAGGCGCGGCACGCGCGGCAGGCGCAGAGCATGAAAACTGACCGTATTCGGCACGCAGAAAAGGCAGGCTTTGGCAGGCGCGCACCGCGCGTTGTAGACGCCCATTATCTGCCGATCGTGCGCGGTCCAACCAGCGCCTTGCCCCCTTCATCGTTCTGCATTCCGTCTCGAAGCGCATAGTGGAGGCGTCAACGACGCGGCAGAGTCGTCATGAATGCACTGAGGGCCGATTGTGGCCCTAGCTGCGCGGCCGCAGCATCTAGTCGGTATGCCTGGCGTACTACGCCCAGCGAATGACCTCTATGCGACGCTTCGGCCGTCACGCGATCAGATGGCTCCTTCGGATACTCTGTACACTCCTTCAGGAGTACTGCTGCAGCAGTGAAGACCGGCGCGACAGAGCAAGCATTGATGCCGAAGGCGCGAGCTGCAGCGCAGACTGTGCTGCCGCAGAGGCAGGGTATCGCGCAGCGCAGCTCGCCGGCATGAGTCGGCCCATCTCTCGCTCGCATGGCCGAGGCTCAAGCAGGGGCACACAGGTCTCGGAATGGCCATGTACGACTGGTATGATGATTAGGACAGGTCTATGTGATCCGGGGTACCAGGACTGCGGACAGCGTTGTCCCTCCGCCCGTGAGGGCGTACGAAGGCACCTGTCGCCGCGACGCGCGACCACGTTTGCTTGCGGCGACGCGAAGTGGCTGCTCAGGGCGACGGCGAAGAGCTTGGCCGCGCATCCGCACCTGCAGCGAGCACCAGGCTCAGACGGCCACCAGTCCCCTTGCGGCCGGCAGTCTTGCCTGCTGCCTCGCATGCGGCCGACGAGCGCCATGGGTCGACGTTCTCGTCGCCGAGGTCTTCCTCGCCTGTCGTGTCGTCAGGAGTGAGCGGTGCCGGCAGAGCAGCGGCCGCAGCGATGTCCTCCTCCGTGTCGGGGCGCACCTCCCAGTCGACGTCTGGGTGTGAGTGTCGTGGTTGCTGGACCTTGGCCTCGCTCGCAGCCAGCTTCAGGGCCTTCTCGCGCGTCGGGCGCTGCGGGCTGGGGCTCGTCTCCCTCGCGCGCGTCTCCCAAGTCGCGACCCGCTGCGCCTTGCGCGGCAAGGAGGCGAGTGACGGCGACGACTGGGCACGGCGAGCCGTGCGGCTGAGAGAGCCGTCATCTTGACGCCGCGCCCCGCCGGACCCGAGCAGTCCGTCTGGGCCTGACCGATGTCCGCTCGGGGATGAAGAGGACTGGCGCTGCGAGGACGCGCCTGGCTGCAGACCCGCTGCCGCTGTGTCGATATGAAGACGGTGCGGCGAGTAAGCAGCGTTCTCCGAGCGCGGCGACGACGACGATGCCGGGTGCGTCTCGAGCCGGGCAGAGCGCTGCTCGCGAGTCCGGCGGTGCGTCGCGCTGAGCAGCAGAGGCGAGGCCGCCGGCCGCTTGCTGGGCGAGCGTGGAGGGCTCAGCGTGCGCTGCACCGAGTGAGAGACGCCTGAGGAGGACGCCGAGGCTGACGGCCGCGGCGCTGCGGCTTCTGTGCCGTTGTGCGCATGCGAGGTGTTGGCCGCGTGCTCGAGCGAGATGGGCGCCAGCGGCTGGCGCAGGCGGCGCGACATGGCGGTGCCGGATGATGATGCAGTCGCTGCGGAAGCCAGCGATGGTGCCTGATGGCGGTGAGCTCCGCGGCGGCAGAAGGAGCGGGTATGATGGCACCGGGCGCGAGGAGGATGTGGTGCGGAGCGAAGCTGCGGCGCGCGCCGCCAGAGCAACACACCGCGACGCGCGACGCGTCCTCGCCGTGCAGCTCCGCCGTGGCCGCCAGAGGTGTGTGGAGGCGCCGGCGCCGCATGCGATGCATAGCATGACTTCGCACTCGCTCTAGCTGCCATCATCGCTAGCCGCGGGTGCAGTGCTCAGTGTCGTGCTACTGAGCAGCGAGTTCCGCTGCTCACGGTCTGCCGCTGAAACAGGCGCGAGTCTCGGCGCAGATCTGCCAGCGACCGTGTGGGGCGCGCCGCAGGTCAGCCTGAGTGGACGATCTGCTCCTTCTGCGCGCGTGTGCCGTTGCACGAGCGAGCGGGCGCCGTACGCAGCAGCTCAGCCTCGTTGGTTCTCACTAGGTGGCCGAGCACCGCAGAGAGCAAGGCGATCTGGGCAGCACGACAGGTGCAGCGACGGGCTGGCTAGAAGGCAGCGAGCAGGAGGACTGCCTCAGAGTAGCGCCGCGCGCGGCGCGGGATCTGGGCCCGTGCGCGCTGCGCCGCGGCGATGGTGTGCAGATGCGCTCTGCACCCCGCGCTGCCTGTCGCTCTTCCCGACTCCCACCTCCCGTCGATCAGCCGCACCCTCACCGCTCATAGCCCTCGTCGCTCATCACAGGCGGTCGCATCCTTCTGCTCACTCGCACTTCATCGCCTGCCTCGCCCACCTCGCGCCGCTGGGTTCACCGCGCCGCTCTTCGCGACCGACGCTCGCTCCATCAGGCCAGCGGCTCATTCCCGCCGGCTCAGCCTGCAGCACTCGCGTGTGCGCACAGTCATGGCATCGTCACCACGACACTCGCCGCCGCCCTCGGCGGCCGCACCCCGTCCGCGCGGCATCCTGAAGAACGCACCGCCAGGCGAGGGTCTGCCCTCGCAGCCTGAGCGCGTCGATGAGCATGGCAACAGGTGAGTGGCCGTCATGATGCGCCCCCTGCGTACAGCATGTGCGGGCTCTCGACATGCGTGCTGCGGCAGAGGAGATGGCGAGGCACTGTAACGCACGGCCTGTGCCAGCGCACAGTCCTGCGGTCCTCGCTCGGCACGACTCCGGCACTCCCGCACGCGCAGCCTTGCGTGAGCACGCTTCAAGCGTAGGCTTGTTGCGCAAGGACGACCTCACTGTCCATTGATGCTGCCTGCAGACGCTGACCACGCACCAGGCTTGCGTGGGACGAGACGAACCTCACGTTGCACGAGATCGAGCGCGAGAACACGGCTGCGCGCATGAAGATCGACGAGCCAAAGACGCCTTTCGTACGCGCTGGCAGCTTTGGTTCTGACGGCGACGAGGTCGGCGGTGAGTGGCGCGAACACCTGACTGCGACCCGACACTCTGACGCCCGAGACAGGCTTCGATCTCGACGGCGATGCCGGCAAGCAGGGCGACAGCTCTTCGTCCGTTCAGGACGCGCCGGCCGCGCGTCGCAGCAGCTTCGCTGAGCAGCTCGCTGCGAACACTGCCTCGAACGCGGCGCTCGGTCGCGCTGCCAGCAGCGGCAGCGATGCTCCGTCTGCACGCACTACGTCGCGGTCGCCCAGCTTCACGCTGCCGCCGGGCAGTAGGCGGAGCTCGAGTGCGAGCAACCGCGCCGAGGGACGCGGCGCCGTGCGCGACGAGATGGCCGCGCGCGACCGCATGGACGTCGACGGCGAGGAGGCCATGGACGACGATGACGACGACGAGGAGCTCGACCCCGAGGGTCAGTCGCCGCTGTGCCTCCCACGCTGCCGCAGGCTGACGTCGGCCCATGACAGAGCGAGCGCAGCGCCAGGCCTTTGCGCAGAAGCGCAACCAGGTGTGTGGCTCGGCTGCCTCTGCGCGCTCCAGACGTTGCTGACGCCTCTCACAGCACTATGGCAACGAAGCCGAGGCGTGAGTCATTCAGTCAGCACGCTGTCGGCTCTCGGCCAGTCTGACGCCTGTCCCGCCAGCATGAAGGTCGCAGCTGCGCTGGCAAGCCGTGACGAGGAGGACGAGGACAGCGACGATGACGATGACGACGTCGGCGCAGGGCCAAACGGGCAGGTCTGAGCGGCATGCAGGTGTCGCACGCGCATCTCGTCATAGCTCGTCATCAATGAACATTCACACGTCACGGAGCGGAGAGAGGAGGAGCGGAGAGAGGGACAGAGGCTGGTGTCGCAAGGGAAGCGCAGAGAGTGTGCAGCTGCAGAGGAGTGAGTCAGGAGGGCAACGTGGTAGCAGTGCCCGCGGCGCGGCACTCACAGCTACTCGTCGTCGTCGTCGCCGTCGCTGTCGGCGCTGAGATCAATGGAGAGCGTCACAGCGTTCTTCTTAGCCGCAGCCACTTCGGGCTTGATCTCGGGCTTGACGTCGTTGTTGCGCAGCTCGTTGCGCAGCGCAGCAATGCGAGCAGACGCTGCCATTGCGCGTTCAAGCAAGGCAGCTTCGTCGGCTTCCAGTTCTGCAAGCTGCGGGTGGACTGAGTCAGGTGGTGTGCCTTGCCGCAGCTCTGAGCTGTTCGCACCTCCTTTGCTGCGGCAGTTGCCTGCTGCGAGCTGCCATGCAGGCCCTTGTTGGCTGCACGTTTGTTGCTCTTGACCACCTCGGGGATGACCTCCGGGACAAATGCTGCCGCAAGGTAGCGGAAGCGGACTGTCAGCTCTGCCTCGCCTGTAGACACGCTTTTGTAGGAAGAAATGCGGATGGGGCTGCTTGGTTCTGCATTGCCGACGCTGCACAGAGTCAGCAAGGCGTTGTCTGACTGCATAGCAACGCAACGCACCCTGCAATGACACCATTGATGCCTGCCTTTGAGTTTGCAGCAGCAGCCGTCGGTGCGAGCGGAATGAACGGCGGCTGAGCTTTGCAGCTGGTGCGAGCCTCCTCGCTACGCAGCGTGATGGCAACCTTGATGAATGTCACCTCAATGCAGCCAGGCTTGGAGATCAGCTTGCCGTGGCCTGCAGCACCCTCGTCGTCTGTGCAGCGGTCAGCATTGCTGGTTGCGCAGGCACCAGTCACCACGCATCAACAATTGCCAGCTCGGCAAACTCAAAAGGCAGCCTCGTGACACCCTGCTCGTAGCCGCGGCACACGAAGGTTGAAGGGCCAGCAGGCTGAAGCATGTTGCACGCTGGCGTGCCATCGACGTTCATGAGCACCTGCCACGGGCCCGTGCCACATGTGTAGCTGATGGTGAAGGCCTGGCCAGGCTCGGCAACGATGTCTGCAGGCGTGGTCAATCAGCATGCGTGCAACAAGCCGCTTCTGACAGCCCCACTGCTGCACTCAGCACCTCACTCACCGACGTTCTGCACCGTGCCGGCTCCAACTTGCACGTCCTCACGCGCGTACTCAGTGACGGCCAGACCGGCCATCAGAACGCGCGCGTCGCAGCCGTGCGCAAGTGCAGGCATGATGGCGCAGAGGGGCGCGCTGCTGAGGGGCAGGAAGGCGCAGAGGGAGGCGAGCGCCGAAGGGCGCTTGACGGCGCGGCGGCAGCGGGACAGGGGGTGATGTGGTGGAGAAGCAGGCGCCGCATCCCGCTCCAGTCGCACCCTCGCAGTCCGGGTAGAGTGCTGATGCTGGCCTGCGATCAAAGCGTTCCTTCGCTCGATGTGGCAGGCAACGAGTCAGGCACAGCAGGGGGCCCGCGCGCGGCGCGCGCTGGCAGCAGCGCCGCCGCCCGCCGCGCGACGCGTGCACGCAGCGCGACCGCCGTTGAATAGCAACGCGCCGCCAGCGCCATGCCACCGCCGCCGCACGCCCCCTCCGTCCTGCCGCTGGTCCTCAGACCGCCTGCTGCTGAGCTCGCCCAGAGATATCACCGCCTGTCTTCGCGCAAGCTGGATGGTCAGCACAGCGCCGTTTGTCTCACTCTAGTGGATGCGAGCACTTGAACTGCATTGCTCGAGCTGCGCTAGAGTATGTTGGGCTGGGACGCGCACGGCGCTGCAGCTCCTGCGTCTGCGTCTGCGATGTCGTCGGCTTGGGGCGTGTGCACATCGAGAGGCGTACCAAGGCTGGCGCTGACTGCTTCGGCGGCTCGGGCGAGCAGGTTGAGTGCAGCGAGCTCGCACCGTGCAGCGTGGATCTGGCTGCGCAGAAGTGCCTGCGACGCGGACGCCGGTGGGCCGGTGGCGTCGGGCGCAGCGCCGAGCGCCTCGGGCGCGCTGAGAGGCACGGAGCCGCGTGCTGAGGAGGATCGCGAGAGCGGCAGAGCGAGGCGGAAGGGCGCCGGGCCGGCGGACGATGCGCGCCAGAAGGCTCCGCGTCGAGGCGTTGCCGCACCTGCCGGGCCTGGCGACGTGGGCTTGCTGTCGGCGTCGCAAGCAGGGGCGAGAACGGGCGACTTGTCCGGCGACGGTGCAGTAGACAACGGCGCGGAAGCGTCGTGCGCTCGTGCGGATGCGCCCTGGAACTGCCCGAGGCGAGAGCGGCGCAGCAGTGCCCAGCGCTTCTTTGCGACGGGCGAGCCGGACGGCTGAAGCTCTGAAGGACCGTCCTCGCCGTCGTCGGCCGCGGGTGCGAGGGCCTGGTCAGAGCCGTCGAGCGTCGGCAGCGACTGGGTCATGCTGTCGGGCAGCGCCTCGTGCTCGCTGACACTTGACCTGCGGCTGAGCGTCGACTTCGGACGGGCGGGCAGCTCGTCTGCGGGAGAAGGGTCGCTTGGCCGAAGAGCCGTGTCGTCGGACGGTGCTGCCCTGGCACTCTCGGCGCTCGCCTCCTCGTTCTCGAGCTCCTCGTTCAGGTTCTTAAGATTCGCATGCACCTCGCTCCAGGCCAGCTCGATCCCTTCCGACCATCCGCGCGCGCAGGCGAGAGCCCACGCATCCCCGCTGGCGAAGCCTGCAAGCGAGCGAGAGTAGTCGGGCCACGTCAGGCCGAAGAGCGCCGGAGGCGAGGGCACGCGCGCCCTCGGCGGTTCGGCATCGCCAGGCGAGGTGCCGACGACCTGGAAGATTGGACTCTGAGGCGCCCGAGCGTAGACGAGGTGCAGCAGCAGAAGCGGCGGGATTGCTCGCAGAGCGCGCGCGACATCCGAGCCGAGTGCCGACGAGCCAGCTGCCTCGCGGCTCTTGCCCTCTCGCAGCAGGCGCAGGCCCAGTAGCACGGCCTGCGGGTTCTTGTCGAGATGCGCCGCTACGACGGAGGTGTGTCGGATGGCCTGCAAGGCCTCTTCCAGCGCAGCGCGGGCCAGCTCGTCGGCGTCGGAGTCGTCCGTCTCCTCGGCCTCTGCATGCGGCGCGCCCTTGGGCCTGAAGCCCTCGGCGAAGCGTACCATCTGCTTCTCGAACAAGCCGAGCTCAAAGGCCTGGCACTGCGAGGCGCGCAAGTGAGCGCTGATGCTGGAGCTGTCGCCGGCTGTGCCGACTGCCGGCAGGGACGGCGATCGAGGCGTGGAGCTCGAGCCGTCGTGGTTGCCTTGGCGCGAAGCAGGCCGAGACTCTTCGCCTTTGCGCCGCGGCCGAGTCACGCCAGCGACGGCCTTCAGTGCGTTGCTTAGCTGGGCCGGCGTCGGACTGCGCGCCTTCTGTCGCACGTCGCAGTCGACGTCGACGTGCGCAGCGGCACTCGCGTCAACAAGCGCGAGAGGCAGAGGCATCGGCTTGGCCGTCAGGCGCAGCAGGCCCTTCCAGATGGTGTGGACTGCGATGCCAACGTACCAGCCCTCGCCGTCGATGCCGCAGCGACTCTCGAGTCGGGGCAGCAGCAGGCGCCGAGCACCCTCTGCACGGCCCTCAAACTCGCGGAACCAGGCCGGGACGGCAGCGTTCGTCTTTGTCGCCGCTGAAGCGGGCGTCGCGAGGCCGTCGGCGCACAGAAGCAGCGCGTCGGACGCCTCGAAGGGCACGGGTACGGCGCCGCCGAGAGAGAGCACGAGGCCGAGCTTGATCGCCACCAGAATTGGCTGCACAATGTGCAGAATCGAGCGGTCCATGCGCTGCCGCACAGAGGCCAAGATCTCGGCGACGAAGTGCGGCATGGGCTCTGAGCCGGCGTCGTCGCCCTCGACACACTTCTCCAAGGCGTCCTCGACGGTCCAAAGAATGGCTACGAGTCCGAGGTTGTACTCGAGCGCAGCAGGAGGCGAGGCGCCGTCCTTTGCCGCGAGCGGGACAAACGCGGCGGCACCGTCTCGCTGAGGAGCGATGAGCAAGGCATCCATGCGCTCGGCGAAGAGGCTGAGCGCCTTGACGGCGGCGCGTGACACTGCACGGAGCAGATAGTCGTCCAGATGCGCGGCATAGCGCAGCTCCGTCGTGACCGTCTCGGCCAGCTCGGTCGCACGGGCGGCAGAGGGCAGCGCATGGCCTTGATAGGTGACGGCGTGCAGTGCGGGTGCCTGCGGCACGGCGGGCAGAGCGGCGGCCGATGGAACGATGCGCGCAGCGACACTTCCATTTGTCAGCGTGCTAGAAGCCCCGTTCGAGCCGGTGGACGTCGCGATGCAGGGCTGAAAGGCACGGTTGACAAGCTCGCTGAGCCGCAGACTGAAGTGCGCCAGGTGACTGGGATCGGGAGTCGCGGGCGGGCCCATGAGGCCGTCGCGCGCCTTGGCAGAGGAGTCCGAGGTCGTCCTGGGCGTGCCGCCCTGCGCCGGCGGCGTCTTGCTGCCGTCGGCACTGCGCTTCGCGAATGCCGGCAGCGACACCGAGTCGCCAGCGCGGCCGAGCGTCATGCTGCTCAGTGCGTGCAGGCCCAGACCGCGGCCAAAGGAGCCCGTGCGCCGGGGAGCGGGCGGCTCGGCGTCCTCGCTCTGCAGCGGCGGATGCTCGTCGACGTGCGGCGCCTTTGCGGCTGCGCCTTCGCGCAGCGGCGATGGCAGCGGCGCCGGCTTCGTGCCGGGCGAGTCGCGCCTGGCCGGCAGGAGGACAGTGCTCTTCGGCGCCATGACGAACTGCGCTCAGCGGCGCTTGCTTGATCTGGCGCGGCGAGAGACTGGCGTCGAGATGGGGCGAGCAGCAACGGCGGGCGGCGGGACGGAGCTCGTCTTAAGGAGGCCGGTCGCTGCTGTCGAGGAAGAGAATCAGGAGGTCCACGTTGTGGCGGAGCGAGGCTGCCGACGATGCGGCAGCGCTGTGCAGCAGGGCGGTGAGGCGCAGAGCCGAGCGGGCGAGTGTGCTGACTGCACTCACGGAGGACAAGACAGGTGGGAGTAGGCACTACAATCCGGGTCGACCATAAGCTGCAGCGCACTCGGCGTCAGCGGCAGCACAGCAGGCCGGCGGGTGCGGCGCGCCTGCGCTCTCGGAGCGAGACGCACTTGGCTGAGGTGTGGCTGCGCGAGAGGGCAGGCCGGGGGTTGCGCGGGTGCGTAGGCGGAGCAGCGGCCAGCAGGAGGCACAGACGGGCGAGAGGTTGCAGCGGCGGAGAGCGGCGCTGCGAGGTAACGGCGGCGGGTGAGGCAGGGCAGGGGGCAGGGGTGATGGCGAGAGGAGAACGTGGGCGCGGCGTCGGCGCGTCTGCCGTGCTGCGCCCACAGCAGCAGCAGCAGCAGCCCGCCGCCCGCAAAAGTTTGCCGCGCGCCGTGAGGCGGGGGCGGTGCATGCCGCGCATGACGCGCCGCTGCTGCGCGGTGAGGCATGCGCCGCTCATCGCGGTATCGCGAGCGCCGCTGCAGCGGCCACACACGGCCGCATGCGAGCGACAACGAGAGCAGCCGCGACCCACGGCCCTGCCTTGTCCCTGCCCGCATCTCTGGCTAGCACGAGCTCGGACAGAGGTCACTCAGACACGTTGCTTAGCACAAACGTGCTTTGTCGAGGCTGTGGCCGACGACCGGCAGCGATAGCGCTGCGCCAGATGACTCGCGTCCGTTGCAGGGCAAGCGAGCGGGAGACAGAGAAGCGAGCACACAATAGCTACTGATACTCTGATGGAGCTGGAATGAGCTCAAATAGCAGAAGCAGGCGTCTCTGAGCATTATGAGCTCAACCGCCTTTCCCTTCGGCCTCGTTGGACTAGGCGAGAGTGCGATGCTGCTTTTGAGGAAGCGAGTCTGAGTCGGCGTGCTCTGACGCGCGGCCGCGGCGCACGGATGCCGCGCAAGGCGCTGCACGCTCCTCTGCCCACAACCACGATCGCATCTGCAAGCCCTGCCACACTTGGACTGCGCGCTCGGCCCGCTCACAAGGTAGAGCCTTTCCACGGCGGCTCGCGCGGTAGCACGAGCGACGCCGGCAGCCGCTGTCTGAACTCGTGTCTCTGCGAGCTGCGCGTCCTGCCCCAGCGCCAAGGAAGCGGCTCGCCCGCGACTCCGCTCGGCGCTCGCTGCGCAGCAGGCACTGCGGCCGGCCCAGCATGCCTGCCTTGACGGCCGAGCGTGCATACAGCGCTGCCATCCTGGCAGTCGCAACGGCGCTCTTCGTCCGTGCTGCCTGGACGCAGTTCGCTGCGCACCTGGCGAGCAGCAACGCCTCGCGCTCGCAAGCCCCTGCACCGGCGCCGGCGCCGAAGCCGAGCCACGCATCAGCCATCAATGTGCAGCATGCGGCCACTCTGGATATGTGCGACGTGCACCCAGCTCAGCCGAACCGCTTCTACGTGCGTGCCGGCGCGCTGCTGAAGCTCGTCGATGTTGTCGCCGGAGTCGCCGCACGCCGCCATGCCGCGCTCAGCTGCGTCACCGTCAGCGTCGATGCGGTCCTCCGTGCGTGTGTGCGGCCTCGGGCCACCGGCCGCGCACCGCTCACATCGGCCGTCCGCACCGCTCACATCGGCCGTCCCACAGTGCTGGCGCCGATTCCGCTCTCGTCGCTCATCCACTTGTCTGCGTCCGTCAACCGCGCCTGGGGCTCGAGCATGGAAGTCGGCGTCCGCGTCCTGTGCGAGATCGACGGATGCAAGACGTACGTCTCCCACGGTAAGCTGCATATGCTGTGCCAGCTCCCCTCTCAGCTCATCCACTCACCCTGGCGCAGCCTACCTGACCTTTGTGGCCTTGCCGCCGGTGACTGGCGGACCCCGGCCGAGCCTTGCGCCGCTCGAGCCTCGCACAACCCTCGAAGCGCGACGACACCTGCTGGCCGGTCGCCGGCGAGCGAAGCGCATGGAGGACTCAAGGCGTGGCGACACGCGAGATGGCGTCAGTCAGGCGATCAAGCGCCAACTGAGGGACGAGGTCGCAGCGCTTCAGGCGCCGGGCGAGGAGCCGCAGCTCGGAGAGCAGCTCACTGCGGGTGGAGAAGGGCAGGCTGAGCGCATCGAGCTCGAATGGGTTGTCAGAGCCTGGGCCGCGCACGATCCTGCTGTGCGCGTCACAGCATCCGACGTGTTCGTCTCTCTGCCCGGCGACGAGACGTTCCGCCACTCGCTCGCGGCGGTGACGACACTGGCCGCAGAGCTCGGCCTGGTGCGCCCCGCCGTGCCCTCAGTCACTGGGCCGCCAGGCTGGAGCATCACCCGGCCGCGTGCTCTGAGCGAAGCACGCCTCTCTGAGGCCGACGTAGAGAGCGAAAGTCACACGGAGCTGGGCGAGTGGGTCACCGAAGCGCGGCTGCTTGCGGCCGAGCTCCCGGGCAGCCAGACGCTCAGTCGATCGCTGCACCTGGTCTTCCCGTGAGTGTCCCAGTGCTACAGCCGCAGCGTCAATCGCTCACCATCCGTGCCTGCCAGCGAGCACACGAACTCGCAGCAACGGCTCTTCGGAGGACAGACCGTGAGTGCCATCACGCATCGCCGTCAGCGTCGCACTGAGCCTCGTTGCGCCCTCAGATGGCCTGGATGGAGGCCTGCGCGCTCAATGCAGCCCGCTGTCTGGGCCCTGCGTGGAGCACCGTGGCTGTCGACGGCCTCGAGTTTGCGCATCCGGTGCTGGTGGGCGAGTGAGTCTACGGGGCCTGGAGCGCGACGGATGCGCACGCTGAGCACCACGGACTGCAGAATCCTGATGCTACGCGCCATCGTCGTCCGCACCTTTGCCTCGTCCGTCGAGGTCTTTGTGCAGGCTCAAGCGGAAGACCACGCCGGCGCGCTGCGCTGGACGAACGACGCCCTGTTCACGCTGACGTGCGGCCCGACGAGCGACGCACACCGCAAGCTGCCGCGCATCATCCACGCGCCGGGCTCAGGTTCGTGCAAAGGCCCGTCGGCGAGCCCCAGTGCCATGCTCACACCTCTATCGCGCCCGCACGTCAGCACTGGAGGCGTTCGCAGCGCCTGCGCCACAGCGGCGCGCGGCGAGACTCGAGATGCGCGACATGCTGCGGCGCGTCTACAGCTGAGCATCCCGGGAGCAGCAATCTGAATGCGATCAATTCGAGCACGGCCGCTACAGGCTGCATCCGCTCGCTGCTCATTCCTCGAGGCGCGCGGCGCGCGCGGCCTCTGCTGCCCAGGCGGCACGCTTCTCGTTGTTCGCGTAACTCTGCTCGATGCGCTGCACTCGCAGGCCGTGCTCGGCGAGCTGGTCGGCAGCACGCGGGTACGTCTGCATGAGACGTCGATACCTGGTGCGCGGATCCTGCTCGACGACACTGCTCTCGTCGCTGCTGGCGCGCGTCGGCACGCTTCGGCGCATCTCGTCGAGGCCGCCGGCGAGGGCCTGCATGGTGTCGAAGTGGGGGTACCAGTACGACGGAGCGCGCTCCAGCAGAGATTCCGCCATCTCGGAGAGCTCGCCCGGCGGATCCGGATCTTCCTTGGGCTCGGCTGACTCCTCGTGCTGGGACGCGTCGTAGGAATCGACTGCGCCGTCATGTGCGCCGCGCCCTTGGTGGCGACGACTAGGTGGCCGACTCGGCGTCGCCACGCCCTCGGCCTGGCTGACCGCTGCGATGTCGGGACGTCCCAGACCCAAGAGCATCCCGTCTTGCCCGCCCGCGGAGTCCAGCTGCTGAGGTCGACGGGCCCTCGCCGGGTGCCGGTCGTGCGGACCTGCCTCGGCGAGCACGTCGTTGATCACGCGCATCGCCTCCTCGTAGCGCCCGGCGCGGACGAGCGCCACGCACAAGTGGTTCCAATTGTGCGGATCGAAGCCGAAGCCGTCGCGCTGGAGCTGCGCCCACAGCTGCACGACTTCGACGTGGCGCCCGCTGCGCGAGAGGACGTCGAGCATGATCGAGAGCGGCAGACACAGCAAATTGCGCCGCGCCGGCTCGCGATGATCGCTGCTGCTCGGGGGCTCGGCGCCCATCAGCTCGAAGCCAGTGACTGCACGAGTGGCCTTGGCTAGTCCCTTGCTGGGCGGACCAAAGACGACGCTGAGGTTCGCGCTCGTCATGTCCAGCGCCTGCTGGTAGATGTGCGCCCAGACGCGGTCGCAGCCGGCAAAGTCGCCGCCAGAGCGGTGCGCATCCAGCAGCATGGTCCAGAACGGGATCGAGACGGCCGTGCCGGCGTTGACGAGCAGCAGGATGATCCGCTGAGCTTCCTGCGCATCGCCTCGGCGAGCGGCAGCCGCGAGCAGCGGACCGTAGATTGGCTCGAGAGGCTGGCCCTCCTGGATGGACGGCCGCTGCCAGACCGGGCGCTGCGCCGCTGGAGTCTCGGCCTCGTCTGCGAGCCGATTCGCGAGCTCGGCGGCGACCAGCAGGCCGTCCTCGTCGTCGGCCCTGATGTACGTCTCGATCAGGATGCTCCACGTCACGGCGTTGGGCTCGATGCCGCGCTGCCGCATTTCCTCGTAGTACGAGCGCGCGGTGTCGACTTCGCCGCGGCGCAGGTAGGTGTGCATCATGATGGTGAAGTGATGCATCTCGGCGCCGCCCGGCTGCGAGTCGGGGTCGTGGGGCAGCACTCGCTCCAGCTCGGTGAAGATGTCCTCTGCCTGCTCAATGTCGCCGGCATCGGCTGCGCTTTGCAGCAGAAGCGAGTAGGTCCGTGCGTCGGGCTGGATGCCGGTGAGCCGCATCTCGTCAAACAGAGCCAAGACCGTCTGCAGCGGCGACGCTCGCAGCACGTGCGACTTGAGCAGCGCATTCGCAGCACCCGCCATCGGCCGGAGCTCCGGGCTGGGCTGCGACGCCAGCCAGTTGTACAGCTCGACGACCCGGTCCCACGCGGCAGACTCGACGAAGGCGTCGAGCAGAGCGCCGTATGCCACGCGGTCTGCACGCAGCCCGGCGGCGCGCATGGCACGCATCGCGCGGCTGGCGCTCTCGGCATCCTTGCGCACGCCGAAGAGCACAATCAGGGCAGTGTAGGAGGCCTTGTCCGGCACTGTCCCGGCAGCCGTCATGTCTTCGAAGAGCGAGATCGCAGACGTGACGTCTCCGCGCCTTGCATAGGCAGTCAGCAGGCCGTTGAAGGCGGGTCTGCTCGGCCTGATGCCCAGGGCCGCATGCCGCTCAAGCCACTCTTCGGCGCCGACAATGTCGCCTTTGCGGAGGGTCGCTCGCAGCAGGTCTCCCGCCACCTCCTGCGTGAGCGCGAGGAGTCCGGGCTTCGGAGGAAGACCGGGCTGTGGGTCCAAGTCGTAGCGTGTTGCCGCCACACGCTGGCACTCTGCGACGTCGCCGCTCCGCACGGCGCAGAGCATGCGGACGTGAAAGGCATAGGCGGCGAGATCTCTATCTTCGTGCGTAGCGAGGACGGCGAGAATGGCCGAGACCCTGCTCGACTGGGTGTGCCTTGCGTAGTGCGTGCCGAGAGCGCGCAATGTGCCCTGCTCTAGGCGCTCGAGAGCGCCCGAGGGTGCTCGTCGCTCAATCTCCCTGGTCATCTGCCAGGCGAGCGTGTCTTCCTTTGCAAAAGACATGCGCTGCAACATGCGCCTGCGTACGAGCTCGGGCAGCACTGCCTCTGCGCGCGGCCGGTCTGGGTCGACGAGGAGCTTGTCCGACGCGAGAAAGTAGAGATCCACCGCCGGCCCGTAGACTTTGCGCGCGCACAGGCCGAGCACGACGACGAGCAGAGTCGCATGGCCAAACAAGGCGCGCCACTGGGCGGTCTGTGCCTGCCAAGCGCGCTCTGTGGCGCCGACGGGATCGCGGAGCATCGCGATGAGATCGTTGAGAGGACGCACGGCCCACGCAAAGTCGTTGCCGGCCGCAAAGATCAGCGCGGAGGGATGCGCAAAGAGCCAGTCCAGCATGCGCACGGCCACTCTATTGTTGCGCTGCGACATTGCCTCGCCAGGCTGCCGCGTGGAGAAGACGTGGGCGTCGTAGAGCGCACCCACCGCCACGGCGAGGGGTTTCAGCTGCGGCACGGATGCGTTGAAGCCGGGCGGAGGCCGCGGGCCTATGCGTTGCAGGAGCGCGGCATTGTCGCGCAGAAGCCCCTCGACGCGCTCGTGGAGCTCATCGAAGTTGCCGTGCAGTGCGGCAGCGCGGGCGCGCAGGGACTCGAGACTCAGCCGGCTTCCGACGAGCTGGGTGCGCAGCAGCCTGCAGGAGCGAGACGAGGGCGACTGTCTCGCCCAGAGCCGGCACTCGAGTGCCCGGCGCTGCTCTCCAACGCGCCGCTCGTGCTGCTGCCGATCGAAGAACTCGTCGTCGGCGTCGGCACGCTTCAAGATGACGTCCATCCTGCGAGCTGCCTTCTGCCGGGCACGCTGAGCGGCCTGCCAGTCCCTGACCCCGAGCCATCTGCTCGCGATGCGCGCCCAGATGTACAGGCGCTCTGCGACGCGGTCGTGGAGCCCGGGATCGAGGAAGCCTGTGGCACTCGCTGCCCTCCAGTGCTCGTACAGCGCATTCGATGTTCCGAGAAACTTTTCGACGGGGAAACGCCGATGGTCCTGAGCGACGAGATGGTTGAGAGCCTGCGTGTGCCTCTGAAGCGCCTCTTCGAGTGCGCGTCGGAGCTTGGGCGCCGCCGACGACCGGCGCTGAAGATCGGCGCCAGCATGATTATTGCCTGCTCTTGCCACGAGCTGCACCTCTGACGAGCTGGGCTCACCGGGCGCCTGGGCCTGGGTGGGCAAAGGCGCGAGGGGCACTGCAGGCGATGCCCGTGCCGCGGCCGACGTGAAGATGGATCGGTGCTGCGCCGAAGGTCTGGTGCCGCTGCCGCGTCGCGACGAGCCTTGCGCGACTCGTGGTCCGTGGGCGATGGCAGGCTGCACTGAGCGAGGCAGCCCCGTGGCGAGCGTAGGACACAGAAAGAGCGGCCAGGCATCGCCGCCGCAGTCTGCCGCTGCGGCGCTGCCGGCTATCGGCCGAGCGGCAGACGCGGACTCAGCCAGCACATCACGCAGGTAGCGCCGCAGAAACGACCGAAGCAGCTGCCGCTGAGCTGGCAGACTTGTGGCCATGTCCCGCCAGCCGGCACGTCCCGTCGCCGAGGAGCGTCGCGTGCCCCGGTCACGCGAGCAGTCGCCGAGAAGGAAGCGGCACGATTAGACGAGACTGCCAGCAGGACGCGGTGAGCCTGGAGGATGCTCAGGCGCGAATGTGGCTAGCACAGGCACGATGCGACTCACGAGACGTGGTTGCTTGTGCACGAGGGCATAAAGAGCACCGACGCTGCGTGCCAGTCGAAGGTGCGCAGCGCCGCGGGCACGGTGGCGCACGAATCGGCCGGCGCTGCGGCGCGGGATCGATGCAGCAGCGGCAAGACTGCACGGCTGTGCAGATGCTCCTCTGCACGACAGCCGGCAGCGCCCGGCCGAGGGCAGTGCACGGACGCTTCGAGGCTGCTCGAGCTCGGCTCGGGCGCGCGCAGGAAGAAGCGGGCGGCAGGACCCGCAGCGGCGCGGCGCGGCCGAGCTGGGCGGCGAGAGAGGGAGAGGAAGCGCCGCGGACGCCAGGAGGCAGCGAGAGAAGGCGGAGCGGCAGACGCCGTGGCGTGGGGGGTGATGGGGCGGGAGCGAGGGGGCGAGCGTCGGGTCGTGAGGCGCCTCTTACCAATCTTCTCGCGCCGCGCAGCAAGAGCAGCAGCAACCGCGGATCTGCCGGCGCGGCGCCAGACCCTAAGCGGCGCACGTGACGCACCCTCGCCGCTGCCCCTTCCGCCGCCTCCACCTCGAGTCGCGCCCGCCTCGCCTCCGCCTGGAGGGAGGCCAGCTTGAGCTGCGACGGAGACCGGCAGAGCACAGCGAGAGGCAGGGCTGCAGCGATCGTGCTGCAGGGCCTTCACAAAGCTGCACCCCGCAGCGAGACGAGCTGGATGCCGGGCGTGCCTGGCGTGCGCTGATGCGCAGCACCGCGAATGCACCCACCAGTCTCGAAGACGCCTCTGCAGCGACGACCCTTGAGCGGCTGCAGCGAGAGAGTCACAGAGTCAGAGTCAGAGTCGGATGTCGGAGGGAACGCGTCAGAGCTCTTCCGTGCGGACCACCGCACCCGACGAGGCATCAGCACCAGGCAGGCGCTGCAAGAGCGCACACTGCGATGCTGTTCGCTGATCACGCTCGCGATGCAAGATCGCCGGAGGCTCGCGCACGAACAGGAAGACGCACGCCGCGTCCGCGAGCTCGCGCGCATGCTGTGCACCCGCGCTCGCGCCGCGCCAAGCTCTCATGTGTGCCCCTGTGCTGCGCCGTGCGGGCAGCGATCGAGGCGGACGAGTCTAAATGGATGGTACCTGGGGGTTCTCGAGCAAGACAGGAGCAACAGGAGACGGCGAGGGCGAGCCCCCCAGGTGCAGCGACGCTCGGCCACGCGAACAGCACTCGACTGGGGCGTGGACCGCAGCGGCTGCGGCGATGCTGCGGCTGCGGCCTTTAGCGCTTGGCCTTGGCGGCTCGCCGTGCCCTGCAACGCTCCTCTTCTACCAACCACCACGTGCTCCGCCGCGTCCTTCTCTTCAAGCCCGGATCCTCTTCAGCGCCGTTGCGGCCTGAAGCACTGCACGGCAAGCTGCGACAGCCCCACCGTCTCGACGCAGCCGTCGGACAGCGCACGCCCAGCCCGCCTCCGACCGCACCGGCGCGCTCGGGCACCATGGCGCTCACGCTGCGACGCACGCTTGCGGCTGCCTCGGCTGCCGCCGTCGCCCTGCTGGCGGCCGCTGTCTTCAGCCTCGCGCGCGAGACGGCCGGCGCTGGCTGCGCGGAGCAGGCGGCGCTGCCGCCGAGCTTCGTCTCGCGCAACATCTCGGACATCTTCGACGCCCCGGCCGCACCGACGTTCCAGCTGCAGCACACGAGCGGCAAGGCTCTTTTGGGCGGCGCACCGAAATCGCTGCTGCTCATCGAGAAGAGCGGCTATGCCTTTGCGCACGAAGCGCCCGTGTGGTGTGCAGAGTGCGTCGACGCGACGAGCGGGCGCAAGTAGAGTGCCGAGACTGACTGCCCGGCGCTCAGCTCCGACGACGTGTACTTTGCGTCCAACGCCGGCGCTCCATTGGGCAGGAGCAATCTCACAACGAACAAGTGCGTGCTGCACGCTGCTCTAGTGCTCCGGCCGCCGCTGATGCCTGTCACAGCGTCGTCTTCAAGGTCAACCTCCGCAACCTGACGGAGCGCGCGGCAGCGGGCATTGCCAGCTTTGCAAGCGATGTGCACGCTGTGAGTTGCGTGCGGCTTGGACCTCAGCAAGGGCTGACCGGGAGTGCGCAGGTGCCCATCGACTCGGACTCTGTGCAGATGACCAACGGCGGCACCTCGTATGCCGGGGAGCTCCTCCTCATCAACACGGGCAGAGGCTCTCTGCCAGGCTCGATTGCACTTGTGCCTCGCGCGACGCCGCAGCAGCCGCAGGTGCTGCTGAACAACTTCCGCGGCCGAGGCTTCAAGAGCCTCAATGACGTCGTCGTCCATCCTGATGGGCGCATTCTCTTCACCGACGCCGAGTGAGTGCTGCCTGCGCCGAGAACCAGGCTGCCGTGCTGACGCTGCTCAAGCTACGGCGTGCTGCAGGACTTCAAGGACGAGACGGGCATGTGGAAGGCAGTGTGGAGCTTTGACCCGCTCAGCGGCGATCTCGCTGTCCTTGACGCCTCGCTTACCACGCCGAACGGCCTGACGGTGCGGCATCTCAGCGTCCCTCCCCGCGCATCGCTGACCCGCGAACCTGCTCAGCTCTCGCCGGACGCCAAGACGCTATATGTGTGCGTCCGGCGGCTGCATCAGCTGTGCGCTGGAAACTGACTCGCCCTGCAGCACAGAGACTGGCTTTGCACGCGGCTTCTACCCAAGTGACCCCTCCGTCGCGCCGTTGATGTCAGTCGGGATGCTCGGGCTGTCGACGTTGGCTCACGTCGCGCTTGCACAGCTACGCTTTCGATCTGGCCGCCTCCGCACGCCACGCCACAAATCGCCGGGTCTTTGCCGTGGCAGAGAGCGGCATCTCGGACGGGCTCAAGGTCGACACGGAGGGCAACGTGGCGAGTAGCGCATGTGCTGGTCCTCTGACGTGCGTGCGCTGACCGACCACTGCAGTACTCGTGCGACGGCGCGGGCCTCCAGTTAGTCACGTCGCGCTGCTGGGCTCCAAGACGCTGCTGACCGCCTTCTTGCAGAGTGTACTCGCCGTCGGGCACGCAGCTGTGGCGCTTTGTGCTGCCGCCGATCGGCTGCACGCAGGTCGTGCTGGCCAGCGGCGGGCGCATTGTCCTGCTGGCCGAGGAGCGCCTGTATCTGCTGCAGGTGGCCGCAGCCGAGCCTGTGCCTCTGGCCGAGCTGCCCCGCCACAACAGGATCGCCCGCAGCTGAACGCTGCTGCCTTCGACTAGACACACCTCTAGAAGCATCCGCCCCTTCTGCTCTCTCTGCTCCCTCCCTAAATATCGTGCCTCGACCTTATCCTAGACGCTCCGCTAGACCTTAGCCTAGACACGCTCCGCTAGAGACGTCCCACCACATCTATGCTGCCGCAAAGCCGGCAATGCCATCTACAAGTGCTCGTACTCGCGACGGCGAGAACGGCGGAAAGGGCGTGAAGGAGTCCGCGCTGCGCGTGAGGACCCTAGCGAGGTCGTCTGGCAGGGTGCTGTCGCGCGGCAGTCAGCGATCGGGACAGGCACGACACGAGAAAGACGCACGCGACATCGCCCGTGGCGCAGTAGTCGTGCTGTGCCATGGCCGCAGCCAGCTCGGCCTGGTGGTCGTCCATGAGTGTCCTGTTGGGCACGATCAGGAGCTTCGGGCGCTTTGGCGCCTCGACGGCGCCGCCGCGCTTCTGCTCCGTGTCTGAGCGCTCGCGGAGTGCGTCGAGCAACGTGCCGGCTCCTGGTGCACGCAGCAAGCGTCAGCGGGGAAGCACTGGCTGCCGAGCGCGAGACGCACCCGCATGGCAGCACACGACATCCGCCTGCGCGATCTCGACGCTGAGATCGGCGACGTAGTCGACGAACGTGACTTTGATGCCCTCGGGCGTCACGAGCGTGAGCCGATGCCCGTCGTCTGACCCTGCCGCACCGGCTAGAGCTGGCCCCGACGGTCGTGCGTCCATCTGCCAGTCCATCGGACCAGCAGACTCTTCCGAGCTAGACGTGCCTTCGTCATCGTCCGATGCAGCTGGCGAATGCGACTCGTCTGCGGCAGGGATGCCCACCGAGTCCGCCGTCTCCTCGTCCACGCCGACGGCCCTCGCCGCGCGGCGTCTGCGCACCGCCTGCCGCACCGCCCGGCCGCTGGGCCGCACGGCGCCGGCGCCCTGCGGCTGCGGCGACTCGAAGGCGGCGCGCAGACTGCCCTGCTCGCCCGGGTCGATGCGTGCGCGTGTGGCGCCGTCGTAGCCGATGCGGCCGGGCAGGCGATGCAGGCCCCAGGCGACGTCGGGCCCCGGCTGCGTGCCGGCGAGGAACGGCTCGAGGAGCACGCGCAGCGGCGTCGCGCCGTGCTGCACCACGATGCGCGACGCCGGCGGCAGCACGGCCAGGCAGGCGGGCGCCAGCAGCGCGAGCGGTAGTGCTGGGAAGGATGTCGAGCCGACGGAGCAGAGCAGCGTGACAGGCGCCGTGTCGGCGCTGGCCATCGTGGCGCGCGGTCCTATCGGCGGCGAGCCGGCAGCGAGATGCGAGGCGCTTTGCTGCAGCGCAGCACCGGCATCTGCCGGCCGCGAGCGGCGCGCGGGTGCAGCGGGATGCGCGAGGTGCACGGCTCGGTGCGCTGAGCACGAGCTGATTGAGGGGAGGTGGGTGTCGGGGGCGGGAGGCAACCCAGCGAGCCGTTCGCACGCGCGCCGCACCTCCACGTTCGCGCGCCTCGTGCGGCGGCTGCTCCGCCGGCATGCCAAAGGGGCGGGAGGATGCTCTCTGCCGGACAGTCTTCGCTGCGTAGGAGCAGCATGCTTCACACTCCAAGGCATCATGCAGTCACCGGGCAGACGACTGCAGGTCACACGCGGCAGGTCAAGACTTGGTGCATTGCACCCGGATCGCCTCTATGGCTCGACGTAGTAGTTCTCCTTGATCAGGCGGGGCACGAAGCTCGGCGCGTGCTCGCCGACGTTTGTGATGAGCCCGTCGCACGTCTCGACGCAGTCCCATGTGGCGCTGACCACATCGGCCTCCTCGCTGAGCTTGCTGTGCTCGCGCGGCAGCACCAGCGCCGGGTCGCCCTCGGTGGCCGTCTGCGAGCCCGCGGCGACGAGCGCCCAGTCGGGCGAGATGCGGTGCAGCCCGGCAAGCGCAATGACCGGCGTGTGGTGGGCGCGCGCAGCCGAGGCGAGCAGCGCAGAGCCGGCCGGCGCCAGGAGCGCGCCGTTGGGCAGCACGCAGTGCGGCGCGAGCACGAGCTTGGACACTCGCGGCATGAGCGCGTAGACTGCCGCGTCCGGGACGAGCAGCACGGAGATGGACGGATGTGCTGCGAGCGCGCGGGCAAGGGCGTGGCCTGCGTATCTACGGGCCGGGCGTTAGCGAGCAGACAGCGGGCACGGCGTGTCGACGCACGAGGGCGCCGTCTCTGCCACGATGACGGTGAAGCTGCGCTGCTTGGCGGCCGCCTTGAGGAACACCTCGGTCGTCTGAGAGTAGCCGAGCGTCATGATGATCTCGCTGCGGGGAGGCGGTCAGATGCGTGGTGCGGCGCGCAGCCGGCGAGCTCACCCCGAGTAGATGTGTTCTCGCGCGTCCTTGGCGATGATGCCGTCGATGCCGTCGAGCTCGTCGACGAGCTCCTGGATGGCCTGCACCAGCAGCGCCTGCAGGCTCTCTTCGCCGTCTGCCTCTTCGCCGCTGAGCTCGCCCTCGGCGTCGTCGCTATCGTCGTCGTCGTCGTCGTCCTCGTCCGGATCAGCGGTCGCCGCAGCTGAGCCGTTGACGGCGCTGCCAGATGGGCCTCCTGAGGACTGCGCAGCCGACGTCGAAGCGGCGCCCGCACCTCCCGACGCGAGAATGTGCGCCTCCTCGTGCAGCAGATGCAGCACCCGCATCGTCGTCGCCATGATGGCCGGCTCTGGGAGCGCAGGTCAGCCTCGTGCGCTGGTCAGGTGGGCGCAGGAGCGCCGTGCGCCACGGCCACTCACCTCCGCGCTGCGCCTCGCTCAGCAGGCGGCCGGCGGCCAGGATCTCGGCGTGCAGCTCCTCGACGCTCGCCGCGCGGCTGGCGTGCACCACGGCACGCAGCGCGCGCCCCACGGCGACGGCGACGGCGTCGGGCCCGCACACGGCGCGCTCGCGCAGCGATGCGGCGAGCGCCGCGATGAGGCGCGCGGCCGGGCCCGCTCGTGCGCGGGTCATGGCTGCGCGAGACGAGTGGAGGGACGGTGCAGGAGGAATCCGCGAGCGCGGCGCAGTGGATGTGCAGAGTGTGGGACGCTGCGCAGAAGTAGGCGGTGGACGTGGGCCAGCGCAAGACGCAGGCGAGGATCCGGGGTGACGAAGCGAGAGAGGAAGGAAGCAGCGTGCTCGCGTCGCAGCTTTGCGTTTTTGGCGCGCGGCGCGAAGGCGGCGCGCGTGGCGCATGCAGAGAGTGCCGTTGGACCCCATCGCGCCTCCTTCTGCGTCCGCTCCACCACCACCGCCCCCGGGCGCCGCTCCTGCACATCAACAAGCACCTCGCTGCGCGCCTCGGCCCGCAAGCTCCTCCTCTCGGCGCTGTCGCACGGAGTGTGCATGCCATGCGTCCGTGTCTTCTCCTGCGCGCCACCTAGCCGCGCTGCTCCGGGCTCCGGCCCCACGTCGCACGTCCGAGGCCTGCTGCAGAGGCGCCTCGCCGCTGCCCGCACTGGAAGCGACGTCGTCGTCCAGCATGTCACAGCCAGATGCGGCGGCGGCGCCTCGGCGCGCGGCACGCGGCTGGTCGGCCCGCGCCATGCTCGCTGCCGCAGCTGCGGTGGTCCTCGCCGCTGCCCTGCTGGCGCCGGCGGGACGCTATGCGGCAGTTCGCTCCGTGGACGCCAAGCTTGCGATGCGTCCTGTCGCGGCATACGCGGCGCTCGCCAGCGAGCATGCGGACTCGTCGGCTGATGCGCTCGACGTCTGGCTCGCCCAGGGCGAGCTGCCGTTCGGGCTCTCGCTCGACCCCGCGGCCGCGCGCATCGACGGCCTCTGGTTCTGGATCAACGGCAGCGACGTGCGGCACCGCCTGGCGCGCGCCTACTACGCTGCGCAGCCGGAACACCACGCTGCCGTGCCCCATGCGCACGCCGCCGGCCTCGCCGCCGAGCCCGAGGCGGCCGTGTGGGTGCCGTCTGCGGCAGAGCGTGACGATGACGTGAAGCGCGAGCTCGGCATCGAGCAGGGCGAGGAGTCCAGCGAGCAATTCTTTGATGCCGAGGCGCCTGACGAGGGTGCTCAAGTGTCCGACGACGGCAGCGGCGAGGACGCCGCGGCGCTGAGCCTGCAGAACACTGCGAACCGCTTCAGGGACAGCGACGAGGTGAGCCAGGCGGCCAGATAGTGTTTGTCACTGCTGACGCTGCAGCAGCTGCGCTTTTCTCTGCGCAGTGCGCGGGCGGCATTCGGCGATGCGCTCGGCACGCAGCACGTCGTGTCGACGGACTTTTGGCCCGGCGGCCTGCCGCACGCCGACGTCGCCGACGGCCTCGAGCTGTGCGACTCGGACGCGTACCAGCAGGCGTTTCTCGAGTGGGCCGAGGCCGCGCCAGACGAGGCGCTCCCGGGCGCATCGCTGCAGAAGGTCGTCTTTCGCGACTCGAACGGCCTTGCCCGCCACGGCCAGGTCCCGCAGTGGCTCAATCTGTCGGCGAGCGGGGTCCACGCGCAGCCAGAGCGCCAGTCTGGCGACGTGCCGCTCCTGCGGCTCCACTTTGGTGAGCTGTGACGATGTGCTATGGGGGTTTGCCACTGACGAGCGCTGCAGACTGGATGCAGGCGCGCCCGCTGTCCAAGGCCCTCGCGCGGCTCACCGCCGCCGGCAGAGAGGCGCTCCTGCAGCGCTGGCGGCTCGCGACGCTGCCGACGTTCAACTCGATGAGCGCAGAGGCGGGTGAGTCCATCGCGAGCTGGCGCAGTGATGGGCATCGGCGTCGACCACCCTGACGCGCGCAGTGATGGGCATCGCTGACGCGCGCAGTGATGGGCATCGCTGACGCGCGCAGTGATGGGCATCGGCGTCGACGGACTGTCGGAGTTTTTCTTCTACAGCAACGACGACCAGTTCTTCCAGCGCACCCTCACCGCGTCGGACTTCTTTACGCCGCTGTACGGGCCGGTGCTCCGCCTGGACCCGCGCACGCTGGTGGAGGGCGATGCGCAGCCGGCCGCCGCCGCTGGGGTGAGTCGCGCGGTGTGCCAACAGCGCGCAGTGCTGACACGCAGCGCAGGAGGGCCCGTCGTTGTTCTGGTCCAACCACCTCATCTCGCAGCGCTTCGGCACGCGCCCGCGCCACTGGTTCCACCACTTTCAGAAGGCCTACTCGCTGCCGCACATCGTCGAGAGCCGGCGCATGTTTGCCGCCGAGTTCGACACGGCCGCCGCCTCGCGCTTCCGCGGCAGCGGCATCCTCGCCAACTCGCACTTTCTCACGTACCACACCATCATCGAGCGGCACCGCGAGGCGCTGCTGTGGAGCTTTCTCGTGCTGCGCGCGTGCTCGTCGGCGGCCGGCCGCTACTCGCGCGCCGACCTGGCGCGCGTCTGGCAGGAGCTTGGCGCCACGGACGGCCGGGCCACGATCGAGGTGCCGATGCCGCGCCGCGCGACGCTGCGCGGCATGGCCCGCAACCTCGAGCGCTACGGCTCTGCGCCGGCGCACTCGGCCCGCACGCACTTTTCCTCGATGGACGGCTCGGCGAGCGCGCGCCTGCCTGCCGACGAGCCCGACTATCCGTGGCCGCGCTTTACAGGCGGGCGCGCCGTGCCGGCCTGTCGTCTCGACCTCGCGCTCTGCTGGCCCGCCGACGCCGACGCCGCCGCGGTGTTCAAGCGTTTCGCCTTTGAGCGTCCGGCCGAGTGCGGCGACTGCCTCGTTGCGCTGCTCGTCGGCAAGAGCGGGCTGCGCGGCCTCTCCGCCTTTCTGCCGGAGAGCACGCCCTACAGCGGGGTGTCGTCGGTGCTCCAAGACTTGCGCATCGGCGCGCTCCTCGGCCGCTTCCAGAGCTCGAGCCCGCTGCAGCGCACGGCCGTGCACCTCCCGCTCGACGCCGACTGGCGCGTGCCCGCGTTTGGCCTCCGCGCCGTCGCCGCCCTCAACGGCTGGCAGCTCGACGGCATGTGCGCGCGCCGCCGCTTCGCGCTCGGCCTCATCCACCGCTACTCGTACACGGTTGCCAACGACCACGCCTTTTTCTGGAGCTGCCAGGACCCGGACAATGTTGCCGACGCCGTGAATGGCCTGCGCGACGTGAGTGCCCAAGGTGTTCGTTTGAGCGTCCAGCTGATGCACCGCCACCGCAGCTGCGCGACCAGGGCGCCGCTCCGAGCATGGTGTGTCTCAACGACGACCTCACGGGGAACGCAAGCGCCGTGCAAACGTCGCAGGCGCTGCTGCACGACTGGATGCGCGAGGCGTTCCCGCACCCGCTGCCGTACGAGCAGGCGTACGAGCAGGCGTACGAGCAGGCGTACGAGCAGGCGTAGCATCGCAACAGGTAAAGCATCATCGCAATAGAGCAAATAGAGCGTATCGCGGCAGGTGTGCAGCGTGAGCAGATCTCTCCGTGCGGAGAGATCTGCAGGCCGCCCTTGCCTGATGCGGCGCAGCGGCGGCGGCAGGCCAGCCTCTCGCAAGCTGGCGCAAGCAAGAGGGCTGGCGCTCAGGCGCACCCTGCATGTCAGGCCAGGGGGCAGCAGCAGAGCACCAGGCAGCAGCAGAGCGTTAGAAGGGGTTCCCCGGCAGGGGTTGGAAGTTTTTTTCATGTCAAAATGTAGCCAGTATCCCAATGCACATGTTCCTTGAAAAGAAGTGCAGA